CGACCTCGGATGGCTATGAATTTTGGGTCAATGGAAATAACGAGAGATCACTACTCCGCTCTTTGAAATGGACCAATGTACAACAAGACCAGGGTCCCCTCATCGTCTGCTGTGCTCATGGGGTAGAAGTTTCGATATGGGCAGCCATGGAGGTGAGGGCTCGACTGATTGCGGCATTGAGCAGGTCAACTTTTGTCACAAGTTTATTAGGTGGGGAAAGCCAATTCGGCTGTTCATATCGACCTTTCATCCTGCCCACCTCGTCTCATCTCCCGATTTATTCAGTTTGACAATGCAGACTAGGGAGTCGGCGGTATTGCTTTGGTCAGCCTGGGGTCATGGCTTCCGCCTTCCTCTGCAATTCCATTTTGAGGCATTGAATACACCGTATTGTCTTCGTTCTGCGTCTTGATAACGTCCCCAAAGGCTTGTGTTGACGATAAAGGAGGGTTAATGGATACCACCTTGCCACGCTTCGGATCCTCGGAGGAGGAGATGGTCCCGCACGCCATGGCAAGTCCCTGTTCCCACCGGCTTCTCTTGCGGGCAGCCAGGGGAGCCAGATGAGTGTCCACAGGTCGGGTCCAGGCCTGATCTTCCAGTTCGTTGATGATCACATTCGTCGTGAAGTGGGGGGGATGCACCAGCAAGGAGACGATATGCAAGTGTTCCTGGCAGATGCGGGCTGGACGGCAACTTGGTGGTACCCAATTTGCAAAAGCCCACGGTATTCCTTTCCATAGTTTCATCTCATCTGCCATGACAAACTCAACACTAGTTGGTCATTTTCTTGCGAGCTGGCTCACCAACGAAGTCTAGACCAAACGACCAAATTGGGAGGTGCTCCGCACATCTCTATTCGGAGCCAGATCCTTAATTGGCCAGTCGCTTTCTGCCATGTTTTTTCATCGCTCTCATCCTAGCCCAAGATGTCATCTGAAGAGGCCGAATCCATACGACACGGCATAGCCAGAACGAGATCCGACACAAAAATCACCATTGCACTAACGGCTTACTGAGACGACGACGACAAGGTTATGTCGCTCCGCTTCACGCTGGTTAAGCGGACGTTCCCCGGCGAGACGAGGTCTCTTCGTTCCATCCAGAGCCAGATACAGTAATGATCCCAGTGGTTGTATCTAAAAGTGTATTGTAGTGTCCCCGTTCCGGCCGACTAGGTTAAGACCACACAACATGGTTGCCGCATCCAGTCCAGTAAATCAACTTGCGGGATTTTTAGCATACACGCATAACCAACCGGTCAGAGAACCGGGAGCTCCATCGCGTCGCTCGCCCAGCTGGTGGCTCAGCGCTTTCAAAATACCTGTCTGTGAATGTCTTGCTCATCACCTCCCATGATGGCCCATGAACCCTGCCCTTGTCGCGCGGCGGCGGGAGAGGATAAGCAAGCCCATCGGAGGTTTAACCTCCAAAGGCGAAACAATGTTTGCCTCCCGTCGCGCCGGCTCACCTTTGCCGTGCCCACTGGCCCTTTCGACTGTAACCCCACCCTCAATGAAGGACAAGTTGACAGCGATCTTTTTCCACTAAGGACGAAGGGATGAGGCGGAGAAGGAGAGGAGAAGGAGAGGGCGTCACAAGGAGAAAAGTATACCGAGAACGAGAGAAAGAGAGACTGAGAGAAGGGTGGGGTGAGCACATCTGACGCGACGGGGGTGAGATCAAAGATGGAGAATGGCAGATGATGGGGCGTTTTGAGTATGGAGTATTCTCCCCACAAATAAGGGAGATTGAAAAAACTGCCTTGCGAACGACACGAGTCTGGGAGGCGGGGACCGAAAGAATGATGGAAAAGAACCGGTGGAAGGCAGACAAGGTCGTCCAACCAAGAGGGAGCGCGCCAAGAGGGGTGCTCTCGCAACGGCCACGAAATCTGATCTCAGCCCCCACTACCAGGGAGATGAGTAATAAACGAGTTCCTTATGGACCTGCGTCTTCCTGCAGAAGCAATTAGAAGAAAGACTGGAAAAGGAAAAGCAACACTGCCAAGCTCGAGGGAGGTCCCCAATAGGTGTGCTCTTTTCTTCTTCATCTTCCTTTCCGCTACCCTTAGCGGCTAGGCATCAGTCCAGTATAGTAACATGTGCTCCGTAATGAGGAAATAAACAAACAAAGTGGGCGCTCTCGTCAGATTTCGGCGTCTACCAACTTGTCATGGAGTCCACCAAGCGGGACTCGAGACTTGAGATTCACTGTATGTGCGTCCGGTTCTTCGCCTACCCCACACCTTCATCTGCGCCAGATTCCGCCCCCCGCCTTCCCTCTCTATCTCAATCTAGACAAATGGCTGAACTTTCGAAAGGACGAAAAACGCCAGGGAATGGTTGAGAGGATGCCTGCTGATCGTCGGGTGAATGCGAGATCTGGGCATGCATGGGAGAGAGAGAAAAGCAATGCGGAGCTGGGTGGGAGATGGGGGGGCAGCATGGTGGTAGGCAAGATGAAGGAGGGGTGTTTGAACTCAAATAAAGGTCCATCCAACATGGGATGATCCTGTGATCTGTGAGCTGCTGCATCATTAGTGAGGTTGTTAGGGACTGGATGGAAACGGACTCGATGGAATAAAGTTTTCTGTACGGCGCAGGGATTGCTGGATATGTTGGACGTATGCCACCCACATAGGACGAAATTCCAAGTCTAATATGCCATCACCACCAGAGTCAAATAAATACGCTCGATACATTACTAAGGCAGTCTTCAGAGCCTGTGGAGTCAAGCTTTCTTTCCTTATTGATGACGCTGTCTAACAAGTACATGCAGTAGAGAGGAACCAGGTGCCCATCAGCTTGATAATGGGAACGGTAGGTAGCGTTTCCGCGCCGGCAGAGATACCGCTCAAACTAGGAAGACAGAAAAAAGAAAACTCCGAAATTAAGGGAAATAAAAATAAAAATAAAAAAACAGATTGCAAAGCAGAACTTTTGCTCATCGCCAACCACCCGTTGTCAACAGCGAGTATGACTTCCCCACCTTTATGTGTGATTCTTTCCGTCTTGCGCTCTCCACCTTGGGTAGGAACCGGGTCTACTTCTTGACTGATTGTCTTACGAGTAAGGCCTCTCTTCTCCGTCGTGACGGGAAATGTTCTCTCCTAAATTTATCACGCTATTCCCCATGGGAGTAATCTCTCTGAAATGACAATGAAAGAACGGTGAGAGGGATTGTCCGGTGAGCGGGAAAGTGGCTGAGGGCTGGAAGCGGGCACTGTTATGAGATAACACATTTCGGAGGAATTTTGGGTAGACGAGGAAGGGAGGGTCGAGTTGCCCATCGTCATCAACACAAAAAAGGGTGCTCCGTAAGGGCGTGGATCAACGACGGGGTCATTTGATGCTCTTCAGGGTTCCTGGCATGGAGTTATTGCAGTCACTGACGTGATTTTGCCCAGCTGGAATATGCTGGCCTGATTAGAGAGACAGAGAGTCATGCCCTCTGTCAGCTACGCACGTAGGTAACCACGGAACACAAGGATTCGGCAATTCAACCTTGTTCGAGATGCCATCTTTGAGCAACCCAAGCCAAGCCGGAACTCGTGCCCAACATTGCGGCCCCGCGCCATTTTGATCCTGTACGGTACCAGTTATTATCGCCTCAGATTCAGGCTGGCTGTCACATTCTCGCTCGGGAGTGGGAAGACGGAACCAAAGTCTGAGTTTGGATACACGTATCGCCCCCATCCACGCAACAGATAGTCTGAGACTTCCGGGGCAGGATTGCAACCACCCGCTTCCCGATGTTCGGCGGGTGTTGTTGGCGATTGTCTAAGACTGGGACAGCCCCTAACCTAGAGCCCAATGTTTATATGGACTGATGAGTACCCATGAGCGTCGTTGAGTGCGCAAACTTCTCACCAGAGGGTTGGTGGGCAGTTAGCGACAAGTCAAGGTGGAAACATATCGGTCAAGATCCTAACTTGGGCTGACGGTAAAATAAGGGGGCAGATAAATACTACGTGCTCAGGGAAGATGGCGGTTAGAAAATGAAGGCTTGTCCTTTTTACCACCTCAACTACATCTGCCAATTGGCTGATCCAACTCCATTTGTGGCAGTCCGTAGATCTCTCGACAACACCTCCCAAGATCTCTACTCAGAACAATGTAACATGGAGAGGACGTTGTAGGGCTGTTAGACATGTGGAAAGACAGATGAATCGCATTCAAGAGGATCAAATAGTAATAGAATGTATTCCTGGGGCGCTTTTGATTCCCATTCCCCGCTATCGAGGAAACACTCCCGCCAAAATAAAAATAAAAATCAAGGCATACACAAACTCCAGTGACAGAACGCCGTCCCATATAGGATAATGCTGTTCCTGTCATCGCATGCTCTTTCGATCTCCGGAAACAGCTACTTCCGCTTCCTTTGTATCAGCCTAAAATGCTGTCTGAGTCGATTTAAGCCAACTCTCCTCTTCCTTTAATGACGGCCTAACATGTGCCGTTGTGAAACATCAGTATTCCCCCTCACTCCTACTTCTTGATCCGGGGCGGGCAATTTCTTTGCCTGCTAGCGGGTTCAACTAGGGAACATCTTGTCTTTACTGCTGGAACCCTGTGAGCTAATGCTATTGCGACTGTTGGTATGGTAAGGCAGATTCTCCGGCTTGTTGTCGGCATCCATCGAAGATACCGTGCTCTGACGCTGCGGGGTCCTTTTTGTGAGGACTGCTCGCGGCTTCTCGGCTGGAACAGATTCGCTGTTGTTCCGGGACTTGGTGAGCTTCCGCGATGCTCTCTTTTGCTGAGATTGCGTCTCGGTCAGTGAACTTATGTCGGTAGTAGACCGAGTGTCGCTTGAGATGTGACTGGGCGTTACATTGCTGCCCGTCGGGCGGCTATAAGCTGGATTATCCCTAATAGGCAAGGTGAAGTTGGTTGCAGCACCGTTCAGGTCTGTAGTTGCATACGTTGGTGAAGTGGCAGTGGTACGAACTCCGTCAGGGGAGGAAGCATTCTGAGCGGCGGTTAGCTTGGGAGCCTTCAAATCCCCAGCGGAGTCTCGCTTACGGATACCTGAGGGCTAACGTAGGTATCCAGTTTCTTCTTTAGCACCTCCGACCTGACAGGTTTTGCCAGGTAGTCGTTCATACCAGCTGCCAAACACTTCTCCCGATCGCCTTGGATGGCCGAGGCCGTCATGGCAATAACCAAAACCTTGCGTACGACGTCAATCGAATCTTTTCGAATCATCTTGGTCGCCTCGTAACCGTCAAGCACCGGCATCTGTACGTCCATGAGAACCACATGGTATGGCCGGCCGTCTCTGGCCTTTTGTCGCAAGCCCTCGACAGCCTTCAGCCCATTTTCGTACGCATCCACCGTGCTATACCCAAGCCGTTGGGCGTATTGAATGGCAATCTTCTGATTAATGGGGTTGTCTTCCGCAATACAGATTCTGATCTGATCCTTCGGAATGGCAGTAAGATCCAGGAAGGGATTAGGTGACGCAATCCGCCTCTCGGAGACGGGCAGAGCAGATCTCTCAATGGGCGGCGGCGACTTGATTTGTTGTGCGTCCCCGGCAGACACGTCTGACTTGGCCTTGTCAAATGTGACTGTGAACCAGGCTGTCGTTCCCACGTTTTCTTGGCTTTCCAACTGGATCTTGCCCTTCATCATTGTTTCGATGAGGGACTTGCAGATGCTGAGGCCGAGGCCACTGCCACCGTACTTCCGCGCCGTGCTGGTGTCGGCCTGGCTGAACGGCTGGAAGAGCTTGACAAGTTGTTGCTGCGGAATTCCAATACCAGTGTCTTGTACTCTGAAGGTCAGCGTCGCCTTGTCCTTGGTTTCAGAATCAACCCGGGCACCAATGGTGATTGAACCGTCTTCGGTAAACTTCAAGCTATTGCCAATAAGGTTCCCTAGGACTTGATGCAGTCTGATTGGATCTCCATAAATGAGCATTGGTGGCAGATTGATATCTTGAATGATCTTGACATTCCTCCGTTGCGTCTTTTGCCTGTTGCTGTAAGAAACAGCGCGAACAACCTCCCGAACCATTTCCTCTGGATTAAAGGCAATGACGTATAATTTCATCTTATCAGCCTCCATCCTCGAAAAGTCAAGGATGTCGTTGATGACGGTCAGCAGCAAGTCGGCTGACACTCTTATTGAGTCGGCCATCTCCTGCTGGTCCTTGTCCAGGTCGCTGTCTCTGAGCAATTCTGAATTGCCTATGACACCGTTCAGTGGCGTCCGCAGTTCGTGGGAGACATTGGCCAGGAAAATTGACTTGGCCTTTGCAGCTTCTTCAGCCAGCTTAACGTTGCGCTTAGCTTCAGCCTCGGCATGCTTAGCTTTGGTCTCTGCTTCCAATGCCTTGGCAAGAGCACGCTTCTGGAGAGCCACCATGGATACGTTCTCAGCCGAGACCTTTTCAACGGCTTTCATTGCCAGAGCATTGGAGTAACTGATGCCGATTTGATTCACCAGCAGCTGGAGGACAGATACGTTGCGGTCAGTGAAGGATCCCGGCTCGCCCTCCAGATATAAGACCCCCAGTAATGGTTTCGAGCCGTGGCAGATGGGAATGGCGATGATGGCTTTGCTCAACACATTGCGCTGCAGCCAGGCCTCGCTAACGTTGCCAAAACGCTCATCGCTAATAATATCGGGAATGAACACGGCTTCACGGAATCGGGTGCAGTATAAGATCACGTTCTCCGCGACAAGGGATGTTCCAGCAAGGGGCAGCCCCGGAATATGCGCTGACGCACCTTTTTCCGGATCACCGCTCGCCGCGAGGCACCAGCCAGATTCATCCAAGTCTTGAACGACAATGGCGGCGAGTGTGGCTGATCCGCCGCAGGTCTGTAGAATGACATCGCACATGGTCTTGAGCAGCTCATCGACTCTGAGGACACCTGAGATGACCTGCGAAGAAAGCAGAATCGCGTGCAAGTCAATCATGTCGAGCGCAGGGAGGCCTGCACCGGGTTCGTGGTGTTCATGCATGGAGCCGCGCCACGCCCCAATGCGTTCGCCTTTGATGTCAGCTATGGCGGTCTGGTTGGCTTGTTGGAGGGAGTCTGGGCCCTCTTCCCCTTCGACCGCGCGGTAGTCGACGGTACCGCTGTCACCGGCGAAGTCTGTCTGCACGGCGGCATCCGTCGTCCTTGGGTTTCTTGTCGGGCTGTGGAGTAATATCGCATGCTCCTCTTCCAGACGATCGGCTACAGCTACCGCGCCAAATTGTCGGTAGAACGCAATGGCATCCCTGAAAGAGGAGCGAGCCAGTCTTCGAGCTTTGCGCCTGACTAGGGTACCCGCCATCAGCGTATTGCCCAACGCCGCCTCAAACAAGTAATTATGTTCCTCGGCGTTATCCAGGGCCTCTTCGTACAACTTGACCGCACCGCCGTAATCGCCGGTCAACTCGCTGATCTGAGCCTCCAATATTCTAGACCACGAGAGGTAGTTGACTTCAGTGTAGACTTCCCATTCCTTAATTCTCTTCGTCAGCTCACGAAGTTTGTGCAGAGTCTCCTCCGTTTCCCCAGTTAGACTGCTGGGATCCATGCGAGGGTCGTTGAGCCTGCGGAGCATTCGTCCCGCGAGAGCAAGACCGTAGAAGAACATTACCAGCCTGCTGTTCCGCGCAGACCAGAGATTCTGGACGTTCTCATAGCATGCTTGTCCAATCTCAATGGCACGGTCATAATGACCGTATATGAAAAGGGGCACAATCTCAATACTTTCGTACCACAGGATGGATCGATTACCGTTCTGCGTGTTGGCTCTCAGCCAGGATTTGTAGCTCGCAGAGTTATGCTGGTCATCGGTCATGACTTCGAGTGCCTCAGTTGTTCGGGTCTTCCCTTGCAAGGCACGGCAGGCCTGTCGAACTGAGATGAGAAGAGTGCCACCTCTCGTATCTTGGTGCCAGTTGGGAATCTCTTCGCACCCATACTGGCAAAAAGACTCAAGGTCGGAACAGTTCTCGCTGGAGAAGAATTTAAGTTGCGCAGCCAGGCCGAAGCTAAGGATCGAGGAAATTCTATCTCCTGCAGCCGCAGCATACTCAACAGAGCCTTCCAAGTGACTTAACGCAACGGCCACCGGTATTTGTACATGACCAAGAAAGTTGGCATATATCATGTAACCTCTAGCCATGGAAAAGGGGTCCCGGTATCGATCAAGCAGCTCGATGCAGACGTTGCCCACTTCGACAGCGAAACTAACCATGTTGAACCTGGCGAGGGCAATGATTCCGATGTGAAGGAACGCCATCCCGGATTGCGGGAATGCGCCATGAGTGAGATGTAGGTCCAACATGACGAGAGAAAGATGGTAAAACCGCAGGTAGTCGCTCCACCATGCGGCGCTGACAGTCTCTGCTAGCACTGCGCCAATAGATGGCAGGCCGGGATCCAGGGATGGTGCTGGGTTGAGGAGTTCATTCTTGTCCATTGTCTGAATTCTTACTGACATCTTCTCAAATTGGTCGTCACACTTCTCAAATGTCGGCTCGTCGTCGAACTTTACATCTAGGGCACGCAGGCATTCTTTCAACGAAGCCAAAGCTCCTTTGGCGTTGCCACTCTGTGCAAGGGTCCTTGACTGCAAGACGTAAGCGGGTGCTTTGTCCAAGGGACTTCGGGCGCATTTGAAGACTGTTTCGAGCAAGGCATTTGCTGCAACGTGATTGCCCATGTAGAGATTGCATTCGGCAGCGCGGAGGTGTAGTTGCATAGTCTCATCGTAAGAAACATCTTCCAGTTCATCGTCCCAAGAGTCTGATTGCAAAAGTGCTACTGCTGCGCTGTAGAACTTGGAAGCGGTCGGCCTAGCACAGTTTTCAACGGCGGCCTGCGCACACTCAAACAAGAGCTTCCTATACGGTTCACGACGGGGGACCCGCTTTTTGATGATATCGACAGACTCACAGATATGTGAAGCCGTGTTGTCCTTTGCCCTGGGGTCGGCAGAGTAGTACTTCAACAGCGTTTGTGCAATCACAAAATGCATCTTTCGTGCATTGCACTCCTTCAACGCTGCTGACGCCTGGATGAATCGGTCGTGGGCGAAGCGGAATCTATCATCCGTCTCGCTTGGAACAATGATATAAGCTTGAACCGCAGCTTGCAAGCCGTTGATGGCTTCTTGTTGAGAATATGATGCATGGTATTGTTCGTTGCCCGATCCTTGACATGTGGTCTCATCATCGTCCTCGTACTGAAACTCGCCACTAAGGAGCCTAGATATGAGCTCAAATGAGAATGATGACCCTAACAGAGCAGCCCAGGCGAGTATCGCCCTAGAAGCCGGCGGCAGCTCGTTCAACCTCCTCGTGATGAAACCTGTGTCGAGGATATCGTAGTCGCTTTCGCCTTGAAAGTGCTCGAAAAGTCGATCTAGGTCGAAATGCCAATTACTATCTCTGTAGTCGTACCAGATACACTTTTTCCGGTAGCAGGCGCTCAGCATTTCCCGCATATAGAACGGGTTTCCTGCTGTCTTTGACTGTATGACTATGGCTAGCGGCAAGACCTCTTCCTTTGGCCTGCAAAGCGTCGTCGAGACATATTGGATAATTTCTTCCTCGCCCAAAGGAGCCAGTCTGATTCGCGTAACGACCGGGCCACCTGATCGTGGAAATTCTAAAGGTTATCAGCAGGTTGTGGTAGTAGGAGGAACATTGGTAAGACTCACCTTCGGATTCGGGGGGTTGGATGATGGATTGGACTCGCTCGGGAGACAACTCCTCAGGGCGATAAGTTATGATAACAACCATCTTCATTCGCGCCCCAATAATTTGAGTGATCAACTCCATGGATTCGTCATCGGCAAAGTGGAGATCATCTAGCACAAAGCATATAAACTTGTGTGATGTGAACATACGCAAGACGTCTAGGAAAGTGTTCATCAAACGCATGGTTTTGGTTGCCCCGCCAGCTCTCAAGAAGTCTTGAGATGCCTGGGATGAGATAACAGTGGGTTTTGGCAGGCGCCCGGGGGAGCTACCCGGGGATGATCCGCGTCTCTTGAGCCCTGCCCTGATGCTACGAGTCTGGGCAACGCCGTGTGTAATCGAGGCAGATCGCGGCAGGGAGTTGTCTAGTGCGCCGATAAGGAAGTCAGGTAGCCCAAGAACCTTGTGGAGCGTCGGCCAAACAGGCCGGACGTACTGCTTCAGAGCCTGGTGGAACGGCGTATCCGTATTACGCTCCCCGAAGACCTGCTTGAACAGTGACGACAACAACTTGAGGAGCGGTCCAAAAGCGGTTCGACGAGCTGTATCGAATTTGGCCGTTGCACAATACCCTCTTCGTCTGGCTTCCGCAAGAACAGACTGATATAAACAACTCTTGCCGAGTCCACCGGCACCTTCCACTAGGACAATCTCACAATGGCCGCGCCTCCGAAACTTTGCTGACCCAAGTTGACGCGACAAACTGGATGACGATGACTCGACAGCGCTGTGCCGGTTGCTGTCTGTCGGTGTGCCCATTCCATCTATAAGACTCCGAGTTTCGATGGATACAGACTGGTGTCTCTCCCAAGGCCTCGTCATGCGCGCAAGTGGGCCGGAGTTGGACGAGGCAATGGTGTCTCCAGATATCGTCTGCGTATCAGATAAGATGGATGGTACAAAGCTAGCCTTTGATTGCCTAGGGTCAGAAGACGTAGTATGCGTGAAGGATCCGCTGCGGCGCGTTGTGCCCTCTGCTGAGCTGGCACCTTCGCTTGATAGATCCACGCAGTCTGGCAGTTCGCTCGAGAGTTGGGATCCGTCAGAAAACCGGTTGTTTGCTGGTTTTTGGTTCATTGAATGGCTCTTCGCGACCCGCTCAATCACTCTGATTAGCTCTGCCCTTTCCCTCTGACGCCCGATCATCATGCTGGGCAAAATAAAAAAGGATGATATATCCTTCTCTCCTATCTTCCACTCCTTGAGCGCCAGCCAGTCGCCATCGGTCAAAAACTGCTGTACCTTCAACAAGTCATGCTTCAAGCCGCTTGCCGAGTGATAACGGTCGGCGACATTCTTGGCTGTACATTTCTGTATGATGCGCCCAATGACGTCGGGTATGTCAAGCCGAACCTGAGAAACGTTGGGGATCCTTCGACCCAGAACACCCTGCACAATGTCCAGCGGTGTCTCGCCCTCGAACACAGGTTGTTGTGTGAGCAGTGTCCAAAATACGACACCGAGTGAATAAATATCTGTCCGACTATCCGGCTCAGCTGGCATACGTCCAGTCTGCTCCGGGCTGATGTAGAGAAGCTTGTTCTTGGCGCCGAGTTCTTTCGATAAGCTAGACCACGAGGTACTCGACAAGCCTCCCTCGAAAGATCTCGTACCGGTGCCGAAGTTTATCAACTTGACAGAATTCGTCTCAATATTGAAGTGGAAAGAATCGGGCCGAATCTCTCCATGGGTTATAACCTGTCCATAGTGAAGGATCTCCAAGCACTGACTTGCGCCAATGGCAAAGTCGAGAAAATCTTGTAGGTTGATCTGTTCCTTTAGGCGGAAGTTTTCCTTGCGATATGCCTCATATCTATCGTCCACCTTTCTGGCCTTGTAGAAGGCGGGCCCCAGATCTACGAGGTCGAATAGGTAGTTTTGCCCCGGATGCTGGTAAATTGCGACGACGATGGAACCTCGGTCGCCCGGGTGTGGTGCGAGGCGAATGAGTTCAAGCGGTTTTACAATATGGAGCCCATTTGGATCGGCCGTGGCGAACAGATTTTTGGCTATGTGAAAGGCCCTCTCTTCACGAAGAACGTGGTACGAGACGCGGGCGACGACAGGCTCTTCTATGTATGAAATCTCCGCAGCGCCGACCGAGTTCGCAGGCGGTGAGGTGGCAGAGAAGTCGCTACTGGCATCGCTAGGGAGGCCCGAATGAAGGCTCGAGGAGCTCGCATGTTCTGAGGGAGAGGGTCGACCCGACTGTAGTCTCGCAGTTGATCCAGGACTCGAGGCGGGGTGGGACGAGGACGAAGAGGGCTGGTAGGGGGACACAAATCTAGTACCGCATATGTGCCTGCGATAATCAAGTTAGACAAGGGACCGTCAGAAGAAGAGCAACGAAGTGTCGCGCAAATGAGATTTGGACGTGGTTGCACAAGGACGCACCAGATGTCGTAGGAGGTATGAAAAGGAAGTCTAGACTCGTCCCAGGTATAGCCAGCGATCTGGCGAAGGCGCTCGAAGAGGCGCGAGGGGGGGTCGAAGTGGTCATCCGACACGATGGCAGTGCCGTCCATCGTTGAGGCCAGTCATAGGCGCAAGCCAGTCGCTTGGAGGCCGGGTGTTGTGGTGATGATGGTGGGGGGGAGGCCGAATTTTGGGGATGAAGTAATCAATCCAGAGGGTCTCGCGGTATAGATCGCGACGGGCTAAGGAGAGCCTGGAGGAAGTCGAGCGGGGTTCAACGGCGTCAACTAGGCACGGCAGGCCATATCATGTTTTGGTGATGTTATCTGACGATGTAAACGGCGAAGTTGTGCGAGCTGTGCGTGGGGAGGACGGTGGTGGTAAGTCTATGTAGCAAGGTCCCGCAACGGCCGAGTACGTGCGTCCGATGCAGTGTGATTACGCGCAAGACAGGGACACAGAAAAAGATGGAGAGGTAGAGACCGGGCGCAAGCGGGTTTACGGGTCTATATTTTGCAATGAAGACGACGACAACGGCGACAGACTCTCCGAGAGCACGGAGACGACAGGTGACAGCGAGGCTGCGTCTGGCGGTACGTCGGCGGCGCTTGTCGGTGATTGACGGATCGGGAGGTGCAGCTGTCGTCGGTGGGCGAGCAGGGGCAGAGAGTGGTAAAGAGGAAGCTCTCTTTGGACCTCACCTTCACCTTGGCCTGGACTCTGCGGTTCAGCGACAGCGGCACAGGGAGCATAAAAGAAGCATGTGGAGTACGTAAGTGGTTGGTTTTTTCCCCCTTCCCTTCTTCTTCCCTGCGGCGAGCGGATGGAGGGGTAAGGGTGCTAGAGCGCAGTAACGTAGTGCATTAGGTACTGTTCCAGGCACTGCAAAGAACTATCTTAGGTGCTGCGAGGACAGGTAAAGACCCTCCCCCCATCTAGAAAATACCCACTGACTTAGTGGAGGAGAAAGAGAGAGGGACAGAGGGAGGGGGGGAAGATAAAAACCAGAATGGCATCAGTAAAAACAACTCAGGCTCTGTGAAGCTAAAACGATGGATCCACGCCGGTGGAAACTCCGCGTTACTGCTATGTCTTGTCATGCTAGACCCTTACTTGTAGAATAGATGGCAGTGCGTTTCTCACCATGCCATAATTGCAGACATGTCAAATATCCTATGTACACCGCCAGTAATAGCAACAGCGACGGCTACCCTGTGCGGCACATATTCCTATAGCTGCGACCCGGAATCAGATGCCAAACCAAGAGACGCTCGAGATGGTGGTTTCCAGTCCCCTGCTAAAAATGCAAGGTGGAGCTGGAATCGATCCACTCATTTGGGGGCTCCAAATGGTATTACTATGTGCTTGACCAAGCACGTACCTTGCAAGCTCAGCAAACCAAAACAAGCTCGAGAAACAAAATCCAGCAGCGGTCAGTGGCAAGCTATTGCGACGGGACGCACAATCAAACGACTAAGAAGTGGCAGGGACGAAGGGGCAATGATTGGCAGGGGCCGGACGATTTTTGCCGGCCTGGTTGGCCGTTCACAGTGATCAGCATCTCCCCGATCAGCAGAATCCTTTTCGAAATTGGGTATGAGGCTAAAAAAAAAAAGACTTCACAACTTCACTATGGGGGCGCCGCAATATTAGCAATATCAGAACGTGGTCCCCGCCCCTGTGGGCAAGTACACCGGTCTTTTGTCCGCTGCCTTTCCATCACCCAAGTCAGGCAGTAACGGGTCGCTGGGGATGTGGATATGCTGTTGATGGTATAACCGTTTGACAGGAAACCTTCAAATTCGCTACCGTCTCGGCGCGACTCGCTCTTACCACTATTGCCGCGTATACATTGTATAATGCCAGGGAACATGATCCGCTTCTTTGTGCCCTCTTTCCACCTCCCTCCCGCTTTCTCTCAGGGTCCAACTGTTTCTGCCACTCTCCCAGCAGGCCCACCCCGTCTCCTATCCTTAGTACTATGTAGTCGATGCTAGTAGGACTGCCTATTTCTGCCCGGGACACTGGTCTTGTCTCAGTCTCACTTACACCACCCACATACACACACCCGGCCCGCTTGCCTTACGCCGCGCCGTTAGCTGCGCCAACCTTTGCGGACTTCTGCTGTAGCAATTACTTCAAATGCTGACATGGCACATCGTTAGGCGCAACCACAACAACGCCGTCGCGACTCAGACAGCCAACCAAGCAACAGACCCCTGCTGCAAAGGCCCCTATCACGTCCAACATCAAGCAACCTGAATCGCGGTACCCTCGCATTTGTCCCTCCTTAAATGCCACGCTCTTCGTCCTTGCACACACCAGACAGGCGTATGTTGTACACATGACTTCCTAAGAGGCTATCCCAAAACTCGGGACGGAAATGATGTCATCCTCGACCGCCTGCACGTTTCTTTTGGTCCAAATTGTTTCGCACAGTCCTCATCCTGCCGCCTGCCACCTGTTGCCCAGCTCGTCTTAGGACCCCCGACGCTCTTTGCAAGTCGAGAGGTAATCCGCTGCAACAAAGCCTCTCAGAACTTGGATGATAACAAACTTGACGAGACCTGTACCCCTCCGTCCATCCAATTTTCACCTTGTATAATTCTTGAATAACCTGAGGGAGGAACGTTGTAAACAAACCAACCCAGCCTTTCGCTAACGACCACACTCGTTAATTGCTCCCTCAGAATAGCTCTTGCCAAGTTGCAGCATCGTGAAGAAGAAATCTCATTTCCACCACATCATCGCAGTTGGATGAGCCAACACAATGCTACCAGTTAAACGTGTTGTCGTGCTGAGCAGCGATACAAGCTGTTGCCCACTTAGATGAAGCTATTCAAAGCTCTGTCACAGAATTGTCTTCATCTACTGTGAAAAGGGGGAAACCCCGCGGCATAGGTCTAGTGCGTCACTTTCGTAATTTGGCAATCTTACAAACACCGTGACAGCCTGCTCGTCAAGTAATAAATGGTATCAGCATACACGCCAAAATATATCTATACTCTATATAGGTATCCCTTTTGACAAGGTCAAGCAGGCGCTATGCCTACGTCTGCGCACGATTCGTTGATATCGTGGGTATGGCGCAAAGTTAAAATTCCCCCGAATTCAACAACATAAAACTCCCAGGTATTCTTATATGTTTAGCCAAAGCTCTTTTTCCCTAAGCTTGCCTCCTTCCATTGGTCATGCTCATGCTTTCTAATGCTTTACAGCCAAAAGACGAAAAATATCAACACATTCCTACTCCTGCCTCAGGATATCCCGCCACCACATCGCAGCCTTACTTGCTGTGCGAGGGGAGGGCGGTGCCGTTGACATTAGACTTTGAGGCAAAGTTGTATGACTGGGCTAGGCGACGTTCCTCGTTGCGGCGCGTGTTGACGAAATCAGGGTAGTTAAGCGTCAGCTCGACAGCGCCGTTGACGATGTTGTCAGCGGCCTCGACACCAAGCATGAACGAATGGTCCTGGTTGCCGACCTCGTATCTCCAGCTGCCGAAGCGTCCACGAGAGTAGATGTCGAGATCCTGAAGCTTGGGGAGAAGGTCCTTGAGAACGCCCTCTCTCTCGAGCGAGGGAGTGGGGTAGCCGTGGTCGAAGCGGCGGTGGTAGGTAGACACGATCTCGTCCTCGGGCTTAATCATATCGGTGTTGATAAGACCCTGAATGCACTGCTCAAGAATCTTCTCCTGGTCGACGGGCTTCATAGAAGACTCGGAGACCTCCAACATGATGGACCAGTAGGGGCCCTCCTTGGCGTCGGCAGAGTCGGGCTTGTTGCCATTAGCCAGGTAAAGGGTAGGCAGCTTCTTGCTGGACTCGGGCTGGTTGTAGGGTGAGTAGTTGGAGAAGATGGTGGCGCGGTAGAAGGGGCAGTTGTCCTCGGGGAAGTACAGCCAGCACTTGTCGCCAATACGCTCGGGACGCTCTCCACGAATACCGACACCGATAACGTGGGTAGAGGAGTAGAAGAGACCCTTGGACAGGTTGACGAGCTCTTGGTTGCCCATCTTCTCGACAAGGTGGTCAACAGCCATGGTGGAGACAAGCTTGTTGTACTTGACGGTTGTGCCGTCTTTGAGAGTGACGATCTTGCCCTGGGCGTCAACCTTCTCGACCGAGCCCTTCTCGCCAAGGCGGATCTTCTCCTTGGGAAGCGTGTTCGCAACAGCAATCCAGATACCACCAGTTCCATCGCGGGCGGGGAAGCGGAAAGTGGCGTTAGGACCCCAACCTCCAGCAACCTTGTTCAGGACGACGTTCTTGGTGACGAGCTTCAGGTCAGGAGCGGCGACGCGCTCTCCGAGCCAGGCGCATTGCATCTGTAAATATTGTCAGAGGCTTGGTGCAACATGCTAATTCGAGAAGTGTTTACCTTGGTAGTAGGGACAGCCCAGACCTTGTAGTTGTAGGGGCGCATAAAAATGTCGGCCACACCCTCACCACAGTTGCGAACAATCCACTCGTCAAAGTCCTTGGGCTTGGTGTTCGAAACGCGGGCCTCCAGAGCGGCGTCAATGAGGCCATCCATGCACTTGACCTGGTCCTCCTTAGGCAGAATGGAGATATTGTTTTGGAAGGGGTAGGGAACCCAGAGGTTCTTGTAGCGGACATAGGAGATGCGCTGGTGCGTGAACCAGTCATCGTCCTTGGGCAGGGCCTCATCGATACAGTCGTCAAAGTACTTGTAGTGGGAGAAGATAACATGGCCACCGACGTCGTAGAGCTGCGTGCTTTGGTCAGAACGTGTCGGCGCAACATGAGGGAAAGCTCAGCTGAGGGGAAAGAACTCACGAAGCCCTCGGGAGTGACATCAGTAGAAGCAAGACCACCGGCCTTGTCGGCGGAGTCGACAAGCAGCCATGACGGGCCGTCCTGCAAGCACCGGTTAGCACGCAAAAGTAAGGAGACAGGGGTGGCTGCCAATTTGGCGGTGAGCACTTACGATCTGGTTCAGGCGTTTGGCGGCACCAAGACCGGTCGGTCCAGCGCCAATAACCAAGACATCAACGTTACTGGATGACAAGAGGTCAGTAAGTGTTCCATTGTACTAGTCTGGAATGCAGCAGAGTGGTTTATGGCGGAGTCCAAGACGAGAGCGAGCCCAAGAGGCGGAGAGAACGGGTGGGAAAATACTCACATGTCAGCCATGGTGGGGGATGTGTGATGTTGTTGCTACAGGAGGTCTTCAAGACTAAAGGCGCGGCAAGGAGAAACTCTCGATTGTCTAGCGATAACACAGCTTGCGAGACAGCAGCAAGAAGGTGACCGAGAGGATATAAGCAATGAGGATGAGGAGCGAAAGTTGGCAGCAAAGAGAGAAGGAGAGGAGGTCGCGCGTGGCAGCAGTCGTGGCTGTCGCTGTAGATATGGGTTTCGTCCGGTTCCAAAGAAAAGGGGACCGACTGCTGTGATGGAGGGGCCAAAATTATTATTTGGGACAGGGGGGATGGCGGGGCCCCCTGGTCGCGACCTCGAGGTGCTGGAAATGTGTGTGAGTGAGAAGTTAGGTAGGTGGCCCGGTGGCAGGAGGCAGGGACGGCAGGCGGAGGTACCTGCAGATGGACAAGATTGTTAGTGCAATTGGCTCCCCCCCCCCCCCCCCCACTTGGAGATGTCGCACGCGTTGCTGGCTTTCGCAGAGAAGAGGAAGGAAATGATGATGATAGTCCAAGAGCCATTAGCTACCCGTACTGTACGTACATGTGCAGTTAAAGTTCAGGTATATTGGATACTGCATACGTTCTGCGTACCTGGGATATGCCCCCATTAGAGCGAATTGCAACTGACAGTACTTACCTCAAGGCAAGTGAACGTAGGCGGGGAGTAGTGACAGGTACTACAGCAACGAGATTCTTTCCTTCTTTCGTTCTTTCTTTCTTTTTTTTTCCTTTTTGCCTTAGCTATCTTTTACTAGCGTTCGGTGCGAACTCCAGGTAACGTCCCTCGACTCGCAGGCTGGTTCCTATGCTAATTAGAAAACGGCCCTTCTGGGAAATAGCTTGGCAGTATCTTTAGACCACAAATACTTGTTCCTACATGGCTTTCCATCACAGCCGCCACCAATAATACGTACAACCCTCACTAATATCCGCACCGCTGCACTACGCAGGTCTTCATCGTCGTCAGTATCCACTGTTGTCATTGGGCTGTTAGAAGCTGGTCCTGGGTCTAAGGCAAAACGGCTTTATTGTGCTCGCCCTATTCTGCACTGCATTTGGAATGACAACTGTGAGGACATGGCGAGGCCCAGCAGCAAGCAGCAACCCCAGGTCGACCCCTCGTAATCCTTCCCCTACCTACCCTGCGCTGCCCTGCGCTGCCGAGAGCCACATGTGTGATGCAGCAGCGGACGTTGGTCAGCAGCACAACGCAGCCCACCGCAGGGCAAGCGAGTATGCGGCGGGAAGAAGGAAAAAAAAAAAAACGAGAGGCGGTGGTAGTGCAAGGGGGGAGGGGCAAGCGGACGGGTACTAATGCCAATGTTACAGCCACAACAGTGGAGGCCAGAAGCTTGTCAAGCAACCGCAGATTTCAGTTCCCAGCAGCGGCACTGGATAAGTCTGGACCCACGGCTGGTTACAGAGTTGCGACCAGGTTTCTGATTGGGATATGCCTGAGGGTGAAGTCACCATCCGTGCCTTTGAAAGACACCGTTATGTAGTGCGCTGCAAGGTACAGGTCAGCCACCACATATGCATACTGTCTATACTTACAGCAAAAGTTGCAGCGGCAGCAAGGGGCCAGAGACACTACAAGACTTGGTTGTCTAACACTGTCTATGTGAGGCACCTTTCGTTAAACCAAAATTAACCCAAACTGGCTATCACTTATGGGCCCAATGGCTGAGACGAAAGATGCTGGGCAAACCAAATGGATCACAAGAGATCAGATCAGTCTAGTGGGATGAGGATGGAGCTCCTCCACTCAGGTCTGGTCTGGTCTGGTCTGGTCTGTCTGGAAACTGGGAACTGGGGGAGAGTTGTGGAGGCAAGTCGTCTTCGCTTCCCCAAGTCCTCGAGGACACGTTCCCAAAATTCCCGGTTTTTTCCCTTCCCATCTTTTTTTTCCCTCCCCCCAATGGTCCATGGCCTTACAACCACTTACGCACACGCACGCATGCACACCCACCCGTCAACCCATTCCATTCCGCTAGTAGGGGTGCGTGGGACTGTTTCCACCTCTGTCCAGGGCTTCAGGTTCCCAGTCTCGGGACCCAGTCCTGCTCACTTCTCACCCAGCACCCCTGCACCTCCTTCTCACCCGCGATGTCTATTACAGTCCGGATTAACGAACTGGATCACACCTTGGTTGTCAACACGGTAAGCTAACAAACTGGCAGACGGGCAGACAAATAGACAAACACGGGATAAACAGGATGCCCACATCAACAACGCCAGTAGCCATGTATAGCCTGTATATCTTCCCATCTACCAGTGTCGATGAAAGGATACATATGGGGCTACAGCATGTTTCGACCCTCGCATAGATTCGTTCGTAGCCGCTCGTCATTCTGATTGATGAATCTCTAATCTACCCTCATACGCCGCCTTGCAGCACACACCACCCTTTCATCCCAGCCCCATCTTAACCTACCCAACAGCGATACATAGTAGACCGCCAAGTGGATGGCTATGCTGTGCCATCTGTTGACCGCTTCCTGCTGAGAAGGAGCAGACCGGCACAACCAGCACACAACCAGCGCGCTGCTACACTAGGCTCAAGGGAAGGAAGGTATCGACGCAACACCGGCAAGGATCCTTGTCCTGCCGTCGTACTATGTAAAAGCAAGGGACCCGAATGACCCGCTACCGCCAGCCTGTTGTCTACGGAAGGACGCTGGATGGTGCGGTCGGCGTCGATCCGGACTGCTCCTGGAGATATCATCAGCTCGGCCACCGCCTTCTCTGCATCTTTGACTTGACATCGTCCCCCCGTTCGGCAACAGGAAAGCATACAACTGTTTGATACCCAAAAAAGCCTGCAATGTCATGCCGGTAGCTGCGCAGGAGTGGGTTCTCTGTGGCTTGCGCTAATATTCTCTCATATTCCGAGTCAAATCCACTACCAATCTGCATTCACACGTTATTTTCGCCTCCATTTCCTAGTTGGGCAGCTGCTGTCCGTCATTTCGCTCAAACTCGCACACTTGTGTTGGAGCTACAGCACATCGCTGTCACTGCTTGCGTGTGTATGTCTGTGCCTTGCCCCGCGGATGGCTCTCCGCTACCGCTACTAATGCATGCTGTTGTCGCTACCGACTTGTCACGCTGTCGTTCTCAGCCATCTCTCTGGGTCGAGCTAAGGTGTTTTGGAGCCGCTGGCCGATGGCAAATCCCTTGTTTTGGCTCCTGTCCGCGTTGTTCAGATTTGGTCAATGGTTTGCGTGCTCTGAAGCGTCCATGGTGACATAGAGACCAGTTCTTTAGGAGTTGAAGGTCCCAAGCCAAGTTGATAACGCCTCCAGATAACTGAACCCTGCTCAACGTAATCTCTTAAGATTGAACGCAATCCCACATTGGTTGGTACGCTGCAGCTTGCCATGAATCCATAATACAAAGAGAAACTTGGTTTATTAGATTATTCGAGCGAACGACAACAAGATCATCAGAGCCAAACACTTCTCTCTACTGGACGGGTCATCTGCGGTCTTGCCACTGTTTCGGCTTGGCGGAAACTCGGCGGTCTCTCCTGAATGCGTGGCCTGAGTCGTTGCCGAATTGGCAGTTAATAGAGTGAAGCCGAAACGGATAGAGGGGAGAGGGGAGGGGAAGAATGTAGACGTTTTGGACTCTGGTTACGCCAACGTCCCAAATATGTACCATCCCTGACGGCCAGCCAGCAAGCCGGATGAGAACCGAACGGCGAGCGTGCCGTATGCGACTTTGTGATTCAGTGTGCTCCGTTACCTCGCCTGTTCGTTATTTCCCTTGCCACACAGGACAGGAAGGTCGGCACTCCAATCACCTATTTGCGAAAGCCCATGTTCCCTCTGCTCATTTTCATCAACCTCGTGCATCGCCAATCAAGATGCGGACAGGGATATCGCTGTCTCCCTTGATAGTGCGTGGTTGTCTGCATCTCGCCTCCTGGCCAGCGATCGGCACTTAAGAAATTGAAGTCAACCTTTTGTTTATTTTCTAATAGCTCAGCGATTTAGGAAGGGGAAAGAAAATCCCCTCCAAGATGAGCGAGGGCAGAAACACTCGAGCCAGGTGTCATTAGTTGGACTACTGGCAATCTAGAAATCTTCCCGTCTACTGCCCTCCGTCCGACTGATCCTGACCGTTGTCGTCACCACTGGGCCAGGGTCGGACTGTTGATGGAGCAGGCCGAGTCAATTTCGATCCGTCGGTAGTTGTTACAAACAGACGCTGTTCTGGAGCTCCCCTCTACTGGCTCTCTGCACTGACGGTTGACACCCCCATCCCAATGCGGGATTGCCCCTGTCTTTCATCTGCGGAGTAGAGTAGCAAAGGAGGCTGTGAGAGAAGATCACCAACTTCAACATCGGTCCGCTGGTGGCCAGTGGCTCGACCATCTAGTATAGCGACCTTGTGCGAGTGTGGGCGCACCCATTTGGAGACATGCTCCGTGTGTACACTCTACGTGATTGCGCCAGCATGCGTGTCTCCTCCACCCAAAGAGGACCACTCAGTGAGTGACGGCCACTTCCCCGAGCAAGACACATGTTGGAGAGGCTAGCCCGACAGCCGGTGCAGGGATGAGGCCCACCCATCTCATCAGCATTCTGAAACGGACAAACTGGATCTCATGTAGATCGACCGGGTCAGTTTCGAGACACCGCATAAACCTCGACGTGGCCAGCAACTGATTCAGGACGATTCCAAACAGCGTATTCTATTAACAGCTCAAGTCAGATGTCAAAAATAAAATAAATAATACAATAAATGAAAAAAAAAAAAATAGTTACGGCGGAGACCTTCGCCAACAGAATGCTTGGTAATGAGGCTGTTCACCAAGTCGACGTGGGATTAGGAATGGTTTACTGGATCATGTATATTCGTCCGATCAAAGCTGTTGGGCGGCTGGTACATGGTATATTCGAATACCGTTCGTAAGACAGGCGAATGGAAAGTCTAGCCATTTGCCAGATCCAATACGACGGATCCAGAGCTGTTTGCTGCGGCCATGTGCAGAGTTACGTCCGCAGTTTCCGCACCCGCACCCGCGCGCACACACACACACACACACACACACACAAGGGTTCTGCGACATAGGCAAGGGCGATGAGCAGCTCCAGAATCTTAACTGTCATGCCATGCGCTACGGGCTTGGTACGGCAAATGTGGCAGCCGCACAAGACCCGGTCAGAGTAAGGCTGAAGTGAGACCTGGTTGGGGACGGAAGTTCGAATGAACCTTTCTAGGGCCCGAAAGAGCGAGGGAGACGGATTAAGGGAACATGGTACTCGTAGCTGCGAGGCGACTAGCGTTAAAGCTCCCTTCCGAGGCCAGTAGACGAACCAGCTGGTGCCCACCATCTGTCATTTGTTTGAGGGAGCCCGAGACTGACGAAAACGCCGAGCGGATGCGGCCAGTAGCGGGTGACGAAAGGGAATCATGATGCTTCACGTCTAGGCAGGGCGGCAGGCATATCAGAAACAAGCTTCAAGCTTTCAAGTATTGCACAGTAATACTCGTCCCGGCCATTGTTTGCCGGAGCACATTGGCGGTCGACATTATTGTTGAGTCGCTCCGAAAGGGTAACTACAGAATATACCAAAGATGAGGAAGCCTCGCCGTGATTGACGAGAGTCAATGCTGCTCGGTTGCCGTCGCCTGCGAGCCTACCTAAGGCCAACCTGGTCGAGGCTTCCTCTCTGGGTATCTGTACCTATTACGTAGTGCGGAGATACTTGCTAACTTAACACTGAGATAAGGGTCCTACCCTGTCGCGACTCACGGGACGGGAGAGCTGCCCACGATACCACGAGGATACAATGCCTCCCTCAAGGACAAACCTGAAATAAACGGAAGGTGCCTTGCCCTACCACGTACTGCCATGGCTTTGAATAGACGGTTACAAGTAGCAGTTAAGGTAGTTCAACCTCACGCGGCAGCCCCCGGCTTCAAATTGATCTTCTCCCGATACGTTAGGTTCAAGTGTAAGGTTTTATCGAGAAAGGGGAATGGACAGACAAGCATTCATGGGATCTTAGCGGCCCTCTTCGACGAAGAAAACCGTCGGGTCTGTAACTAGTAAAGCAAGCCCCAAGTTCCGATTTGATTGTGGTCCCCCATTGCTCTACGAAGTACACCACTAGGTATCAGTGCCTCTCTTTTTTTCAGAAAAAAACTGCTCCCAAGCTGCAGCAACCTTAAATGGAGTAAAGAGGAAGAAGTACCATGTAAAGCGCCTTGTTTTGAAATAGCTGGTTTGTCTTTACAAATTCTCCGTCGCTCGGTAAGGAGCTATATCCTAAAACGCAATAATATCATCGATGTTCATGTTAACGCACACCTGGAAGAAAATCCACTGATACCTGCTACTCGCCGCTGGAATAGCATGGTCTTGGCCGTGGCCGCGTTCCCAACCATGCCGCTGCTTTCAGTGCCCAGGCGAAACGGAGACCAGACATGGGGTGTGTGCAAGAGACGACCAGGAAAGGCATCTCAAGCCCCTCGTCTCTTTTTTTTCCCTGTCCGTTTGAGGCGTGCTGCTGTCCAGCTTCCGCAGCCGGCATGAGCAACAGCCGCCGTCAGTCCAGCACTGGTGCCAGAGCTAACAGCGTGACAAAATATTAGCTCGATCAAGTAGTGAGCTTGCTTGCTTGGAAAGTACATAGTGTCATTTGACAGATGAGAAGACCTAGTTCATAGGCAAGGTTCATGATTGTAAGTCCGGATATACACCCCAGGAATACTCGTCCTGGCCATGAAATACATTTCGCCTTGGAATTGTCTCCATAGCTGGTATCGGCTGGGGGGGCCTCCTCTGTTCATTCATCAAAATAGTCCATGCAATGCCTCGAGATCGTCAATTCGAAATACAGGTCGGGAAGGTAATCTGTAATAAAGGTACCGACCGTCACTTAGGTGAAGACCTGGTGAAATGCCAAGGACCAGAACGTGGGCGAGCGGGCAGAGCTTGATTTGCGGCCCCTATCCAAGATTGGCAGCACTAATATTAGGCCCATCGGAGCCCCTGAAAGGGTGGCGTACCACAGTGGCCCCTCCAAAGTGGCTCTCGTACCAGATACATGCGGACTGGACTGAGGCAAACTTGTCACCACCCACTAGGTCTTCCTGGTAGTCTCGTGGGCCCACTGCATCAAGTATCTGTGACTGAATATCGCCTGCCAGATCCTGGATTGGGCGGGTTCGATCGCGTCAACGTGAACCTCAATTTCCAGAAACAAGAGCGCAACGCAACAGTAGGGAAGGGGGACTGGAGGGTGAAAAAAACCATTTCGAGGTTTTTTTTTTTTTTTTTTTTTTTTTTTAAACTGCCGGCACTTATCTTTACAGCACCACAACCTCGTCGTGACCTTCCACACCCCCCTTTCCACTCTCCTCCTTTTCACTTCCCAAGAGGAAAAGTAACCAGGGAAACACCGCACTTCTCTCATCAATTGACCTCCTCTCAAACTCTGTTCCATACAAGTCGCAATTGTCGACATCTTCTCGATTTTCTTCTTCACTTACTCCCACTTTGACCACAAGTTCGAAGCCAAAGCCGTGCTTAGCCAAGGTTTAGTTGCGGCTCAGGCCAAAAACCCGTGTGTCTGCTACCCATTTACCCCTGGGACCCCCGAACATTGTTAAAGTATTTGTCGCTACCCCACGACACCTTTAACCAGTGCTTGGCCGTCCCGTCCGCTCGCTCGCTCGCTCTCGTCTGGCGCGTCCTATCCTTTTTATTGCATTTTATTTTGCATCTGAGTTGTGTCGAACTTGCTCCTTCGACAACATCAACCACCGTCGTCACCACTCCCTCGCAATCCTTCTTTCCAACACGAACCCACCCCCGTCTCTTTTCCCACGCACCTGCAGTACCGTCACAATGGGCGCCGACGAGAAGACGCGCGTTTCGGGCGAGGTCCCTCGCGGAGAGAACAACGGTTCTATCCTGCCCACCACGAATCCTGACCTCGAGAAGTCTCAACCTCCTAAGGCTTCGATTCATCCTGTATTTTACGTTGTGTAAGGATCCCAGAAATCTTGCAATTCCTTCTTGTCTACTGGCCGCAGCGACAGCTTTGCTGACATTTTCTTCGCCCAGTGTTTGGATTTCACTGTCCTCTTCCGTCATTCTCTTCAACAAATGGATTCTCGACACACTCAAATTCCGTAAGCCGGTCACCGCACGAAACGATACTTTACCTGGATGCTAATGGACATAAGGTTACCCGGTCATTTTGACGACCTACCATTTGACCTTCGCGACTATAATGACCCAGATCCTTGCTCGGTGGACTCACGTTCTTGACGGACGCAAGTCGGTCAAAATGACTGGTCGTGTCTACGTACGGGCTATTGTTCCCATCGGCGCCTTCTTCAGTTTGAGTCTGATCTGCGGTAACTTGACCTACTTGTACCTGTCTGTCGCTTTCATCCAGATGCTCAAGGTAGGAACACCGCCACACTTCAAAATCGTCAAGCACTAACGACCTCAGGCCACCACACCCGTTGCTGTTCTGCTTTCTGGATGGGCTCTTGGTGTTTCCCAACCCAATCTGAAGGTTTTCCTTAATGTCTCTGTAATCGTCGTCGGTGTTATCATTGCTTCGGTTGGAGAGATCAAGTTCGTCTGGATCGGTGTCATCTACCAGATTGGAGGCGTTATCTTCGAGGCCTTGCGCCTGACCATGGTCCAGCGTCTGCTCAGTTCTGCCGACTACAAGATGGACCCCCTCGTGTCTGTCTACTACTTCGCCCCAGTCTGCGCCGTTATGAACCTGGCTGTTGCCCTTGTTTGGGAAATCCCCAAGGTCACTATGGTTGAGGTCCACCACGTGGGCCTTTTTACTTTCTTCCTGAACGGTCTCTGCGCCTTTTTGTTGAACGTCTCTGTCGTTTTCTTAGTAAGTTATGGTCTAAAAATCAGTTGTGGCTCATCAGCATATATTAATTTTATCCCAGATTGGCAAGACCTCTTCCCTGGTTCTGACCCTCTGTGGAGTTCTCAAGGACGTCATGCTGGTCGTTGCTTCTATGATGATCTGGAACACCCAAGTTACCGGCCTCCAATTTTTTGGTTACAGCATCGCTCTCGGTGGCATGGTCTACTACAAGCTTGGCTACGAGCAAATCAAGGGCTACATGGGAGAGGCTGGCCGTCAGTGGGCCGACTTCGGTCAACGCAAGCCAATTTTGCGCAAGCTCAGCATCATTATCCTCTCCGCCTTCGTGCTCTTCACGCTTCTAGGTGGTCTGGCTCCGACATATGCTCCTGAGTACGACCCGCATAACTTGATCAACGAGGTCAACAGCCACTTCGGTAGCAGCAGGGCGTAGGTCAAAGATATTCAGACCCCTGTTTTCTTTGACCTGTCATTTCCTACTTGTAAGCGTAGAGATGTGACGACTCCAGATTCTCTCCGCGACGAAATTACCCTGTTCTGAGTACATATTGCGAACTTCATTTCATCCTCGCGCCTTTTGGCCTCTGTCTTCATTTTAATCCGGAGATCGGACTTTTCGTATGTTTGGGAGTTACACGTGTACAGCTATAGAGCAAAAGCGCAGAGCGCACAAGGGCCTGGGTTGCATGGCTTGCATCAAGAAGTTCTAATCTGATGTACTCTAGAGGGCAGAGATTCATAGACATGTACGTACGCAATGATATACAAAAACTTCAAACATTGGAAACAAGGATCCGAGGCATGATTGTCGACTGCTGTCAGGAAACAATTGGGTGAACCACGTAGTTCTATTTACATCAAACTGCCACCAATCTTTACAAGATCATCCAAAGAGTTATTTGGTGCTGGTCGTATGCTATCATGACCACATAACAAGTTGGATTAGCCCCGGCATGTCACAAGTATCAGGTCACCACTGATACAAGGTCATTTGGAAGTTGATTTAGGCTTGCTTATTCATGTTCATTGATCATGGCCGTCTCCCACAGCCGAGGGCTGAATCGTACCCATCAGTCATCAAAGACCCTTCCATCACTCTCTTCGGTCACAGCAGCTGCATCCATTTTTGAGGTATCACAGGCAAAAGTCTTGATTTCAATGGTTTCTCATTGGGAGCCCTTAAACCGAGGACCTCAGATGCCAATTGATGCTCTTTACAAGCCAGCCCAACTCCCCGACCTGTTGACGATTGCAGAAATGGTTTCCCTTTTTAAAATCCTGTGTCATTCGTTAGCACAAACTTCGTTCGTCCGTACGTGATATGCTTTCCCCATCACTTCTCGCCGTCACGAGTAATTGAAGGACGCAGCAGGTATTCCAGCGGGCGGGGGTTTCCACATACTCAGAGGCGTGAAGAACCACCGGTTCTTGCCGCTCGTGTAACGCTCCTCCAGAACCTTCTTCACCGTCTTCTTGGCGTCCTCACGCTGGGTGACCTCCTTGAAGGTGTCGTTGGAGACGACGCCCTTCAGACCCTCAAGCTCAAGAGTGTAACGAGTAGGCATCAAGTGGTTGTAGTTGACGAGCTTGACGAAGGGCTTGATCTTGTTGCGCTTCTCCTGGCGGGTCTTCGACATGCGGCGGGTGATCTTGGAGGGGTAGCGCTCGATGCCGGCGACGAGGGCGTGGCCGAAGGGGTGAGCCTTGTTGCCAGAGTCGACAGGCTGAATGATGACAACCTGCAGAGAAAAAAACCTTGTCAGTTTCGCTTCACTATGTCGATTTGAACAATCCTTCCAAGCTCAAGAGTCCGTGGGAATTCTAAAGTCAGCGTCGTCGTGGACTGAATTGTGTTTGCGCGTGTTCCTTCTCTTTAATCTTGGTATTGCAATTCATTTCCTTCTTCTTAGACCCAAGACGCGCCGAACGATGTGAATTTCCCACCCCTCTGTCGCCAGGAGAAATTGTGCATTGTTGATAAATAATCGTGGGTTCGTACCTTCTTGCCGGCGTAGCGGCCGTGGGTGATGATGGCGACTCGGCCGACCTTAAGGAACTTCATTTTGACCTGCTGTCGGGGGGCTTTGGGCGTGCTGATGAGAAGTTTCGTCGTCGTGAGGGCCGCTTGCCTAAGAATTTGACGAGAAATTGGAGTTTGTGGGCTGGGTAATTTTTTCGGGGAAGCGACCTAAGCATGTGCGCGGTCACCTGACCATAAATTGTGGGGGTGCATGGCCCTGGATGACAGTGCAAGGTCCATTTTTTGTCTGCTGTGGTGCCTGAGTGTCTACCGTACCCGTTCACAACTGGCTCCACATCTGCTCAGTTACTTCGCTCCATTTCTTGAACATGTGTTAACCCAACTCGCCTCACGTTGACCACATCAGTATTCCTCTCTCCTAAGCAGCTCCTTCTATATAGCAGGACAACAACATTACTATTGCACAACATGGCTCCTCCGCCGGCCTACATCATTTCCAAGGTTGCCGACCCCATATTTGCTCTGGCTATCGGTCTCGGTGCTGCCGCAACGAGGATCAACCGCGAAGAAAAGGAGAAGGGCAGGAGCACACAGGAGACGATGACAGCTGCCAAGAGGTACATCAGCCCCCGTTTTACAGGCTGACAGAATGAATGTTTCTCGTGGTGCTTGAGCTGAACAGTGTGTGTGATATAGACGCCTAGGATTGGCCAGAGCTTCTGCTTAGATTCAAGCTCTTTCAATTGTTGAGCACAAGAACCGACGCAACACTGGGACATCAATTTTGATTGAGCAGGGCTCTATCAGAATACATTGCCTATACATCTTAACCACCATATGAAGGGCCGTACTCCTTCTTCATCGCCTCCCGAACCATTTGCCCGCACAACTTCGCCGTTGGGTTGGTGCTTACGGCCAGGCCTTTAGCTATTTCGTTCCCGTATCTGCCGCCCATTGCAAAGTCGCGCGATGCTGCTTCTTCGAAATCAAGCTTACTCCATTTTACCTCGCGCCTTGTCTCGTCAACATTTATACTGAGGCCAGTCATCGCCTTGGCTGTCATGTGATAGATGGCCGCCCTCTGTGTGTAGGCAAGAGACAGAGTTTTAGCGGCCTGAGGGGACATGGCGGCGAACATTGCTCGAGGTGTTAGAAGTGAGATGGACTTCTCAATATCTTCTAAAGCAACTTTTGATTGCTGGCTCATCACAATCAGGTGAGGTTCGTCGACGAGTCGCTGAGAAGAAGGCGCGCCTGCCAACAGCATCGTGTCTCCATAAAGACGCCTCAACGCCTGCACACGATTGTTCCTCGCGCTAGCATAGTTTGGGTATTCGGATATGAAGTCGCCCAGCTTTGCCAGGAGGGCCGTGTACTCTTGAACCGGTTCAGCCGCAGTCTTTGGCCTCAGCCCTGCCAACTGCAGTTCGAGCTGCTGCATCGATATGACGATCTCTTTTTCCTTCTGAATTACACGTTCGTAGACGGATGTATCGGTGATTTGTGGATCTCGGGGCAACGACGGATCGAGCAAGACGTTTGTGGAAGGGTCGGACTCAGGGTCTTTGATTTTGTCAAGCACATTAAAGTCGTGCCGGCTCAGCATTGAGGAAGTCATACTTGCAGCACCGACGAGAAGGGTGATAGTCAATTCGGGAAAAAATACCAATGTCCTTTCTTGGAGACTGCGGATTTGGAATGGTTGAGGCTACCGCGATATGTAACGGATTTGACGACTGTCTGGTGTAAAGTTCTGAGGACAATTAGCAGCAAACTCAAGTTGCAGGCAACTCTAAGGATTTATCAGACGCCTCAGTATCCGAGCGGATACCACGGGAGAGGCAGTCTGACCATTCCGCACTCCCACGGCTATGCAAGGGTTTCAAAGGAGCCGATAAGAGACGCGGTCATCCAGAGTGGATACCAGCACATTAACGTTCCCCGGGCACATATATCCCTGGAATGACGGAACCAGCGGCTAGGACGGGCATGTTATCAGGCTCTTTGCAACCATTACCTGAGGATGGCGAGTATAGCCTGGAGCATCCGAAGCAAGGTGGGGGCCGTCAAAGCCGCGCCGCGCACATCGCCCGGCCAGCACCGGCTTATCTCGGCTCAGCACGGCGAACTGTCGGCCGGCGGCTTTCCGCGTGCGATTATACTGTCAACATTGCACGGCTTTGCTCAGCCCGCTGCCTGCCTCTCCTTCTACTTTTAGCAATATTATCTGAAATCGAAACGAGTCTAGGATGGTGTCCGCCATGGATATGTGCCAGGTCACTAAAACAGGATCAGAGTGAACCCCGCCCCGTGATTAACCAGTGGCAAGCGTTAGATGCGGCGATTGCAACTGCCAATGCATGGTGCGGAACGCGAGACCACATCTTAATGCGCCTCCAGCCTGTGTGGAAGTCCGTCATTGAGACGGCGTGCTGTTTTAGGTTCATCCATGGTGTGCAGTGTCAGTATTTGTTTGAGTACTTATAGCAAGGACATGTACGCCAAACCATGCCCTTTCGATTCCTCTTGCCCCTTTCCAGCACAGTATCATAAGTTCATTGCAACTCACTTTGATCCCTTTCAACACAGAATCCAACGTATTCTAGGCATTATCCACGCCATTAGGTCCACGATACCCCCAAAAACTTCTGAGTGTCAATGTCCCCTTCTGCCATCACAAACTCTCCGCCACAGAACGCCGCCTACCCGGCATCAACAGATCTCGGCGATGGACTCGCAGTTCAGCACCCACCGCCGAACTTTCGTGGCTATGACCACGTAACATGGTGGGTTGGCAACGCGAAGCAGGCTGCTTCGTACTACAACAATCTCTTTGGATTCAAAACCGTGGCATATAAGGGACTCGAGACAGGCAGTAGGTACATTGCCTCGTACGCCGTCGCCAATAACGACGTCCGCTTTGTCTTTACTTCCCCAGTACGGTCCCATGTCCATCTCCCCGAGGATGAGCCCATCTCTGTTGCGGAACGAGAACTTCTGCACGAGATTCACGCCCATCTCGAGAAGCATGGTGACGCCGTGAAAGACGTTGCTTTCGAGGTGGACAACGTCGAGGGCGTGTACAACAAGGCAATTCAGGAGGGCGCCAAGTCGGTTCAGCCCCCTACTGTGCTCACCGACCCTGAGCATGGCGAGGTGCTGACTGCCGTAATCTGCACTTACGGCGATACCACTCATACCCTCATTTCGAGGAACAGCTACAGCGGACCGTTCTTACCTGGCTTCCGCGCCGCGAAACCCTCGTCAGCCTCCGTCACTCTCCCCGTCGCGCCACTAGCCCGCATAGATCACTGCGTTGGCAACCAGTCCTGGAATGAAATGGTTTCCGCCTGTGCTTTTTACGAGCAATGTCTCTCGTTCCACCGCTTCTGGTCTGTCGACGACTCACAGATCTGCACGGAGTTTTCTGCCCTCAACTCTATCGTCATGTCCTCGGCCAACAACCTCGTCAAGATGCCAATCAACGAGCCCGCTCCAGGCAAGAAGAAGTCGCAAATCGAGGAATATGTTGTCTTCAACTCAGGTCCTGGAGTCCAGCACATCGCTCTTCTAACCCCCGATATCATCACGACTGTGTCAGCGATGCGTGCCCGCGGCGTTGAGTTTATTGCCGTTCCGTCGACATACTATGATACTATGCGCCATCGCCTGAAGACGGAGAAACGTAATTGGGAGCTCAAGGAAGACCTTGCCACCATCGAGTCGCTTAACATCCTTATTGACTACGATGAGCAGGGCTACTTGCTCCAGCTCTTCACCAAGCCGCTCATGGACCGACCCACTGTCTTCATCGAGATCATCCAGCGTAACCACTTCGAGGGTTTTGGCGCGGGCAACTTCAAGAGCCTGTTCGAAGCAATCGAGAGAGAGCAAGCGGAGCGTGGGAACTTGTAATCACGTCACTTCGTGTGCGTGGCTCTGTGGGCAAACAGCATTGTCATTCAGATTGTCCTTCTGATTGTACTCGCAAATTGTACTCGTGAATAAACAACGGGTAATCCAAAATCGCATATCATGAAGAGGAGCGTGTATTGAAGCATGTATCAAGGATTCTGCGGTGAGGGGAGTCACCTTTTATTCTGATATGCATAATATCATAGGTATCTCTGAAATACGTTTCTAAATCGGACACCCCTTGCGCCTGTTTGTTGCTTCCATGTTCACTTTCCCCATGCTACCACACGACCGTCATTTATCCATTATTCGGATCTTTCGATGGAGCAGTGGCCCTGCAAACCCTGTTTCCTAATGTACATGTGTAGTGATGTTTATTTTTGGGCATCTCGCTGTGCTGTCTCTTGCTCCAGTGATATCTCCCCACCCCTGGCCAGACGTAAGCAAATGGAGCCCACCTATGGGTTAGGATAATGCCGCTGTCAACTCCCATGTCATGAATCGACCACCATAGCTGTTCCATTCGTCTGATGCTCATGTGCCCCATTAGTCTCGACAACAACCTCCATCCCCGCCCCACGGATGTCGCTTTGGCAACCCGGGCAGTTATGGATGACCTCATGGGCGTATACATCGCAGTCGATGCAAAAGTGGTTGTTGCATACTGTACAGGCATAGCGCCCGCTTTCGCTCACTCCTTTTAGTTCCGATGGTGCCACAGGAGTAGGTGCAACAGCCGGCGTGGTGGACACACCATTTCTATCCTTTTCCTTGTCCTTTTCCTTCTTTTTGACCGCTTTGGGCGGCTCAGGAAATGCCGTAAGGCAGGAGTAGCAAGCTTTACTCTTGGCAGCATCGGCCCAAGGGACTTCGACCCAGTTGCGTAGTGGAAAAAGATGATGATATGAGCGTGCAAGATGGGTGGACAGAATAAGGGTCAAACTGCAGGCTGGGCATTCGATAGGCAGACGACACACGCGGGTACGGCAACGCGTGCAGAGATAGCCCTCACGGACTGGTTTGTTGTGACACGCACAGAGGGCGGTGGTCTCGCCCTGTGCAAGTGTACGAGAAGGGAACCCCATCATGAGCAAGGAGGCCGTGCTCTGGGCAGCGGTACGGGTAACGGGCGGGGTTGTGGCAGCGAGGAGTAGGTCCCGGAAGTGAGCGTCATTCATGCAGACGCTGTACTGAGCGTCGTCCCCGACATTTGTGCGAGTGCATAACTCGGCGCAGATAGCGACCTGGGCCGCAAGACCAACAACAGAAACACGGATCCGGTCGGTTATGAGAGATGAAATCGTATCGTGAATGTCACCGGGATCCGAGGAGAGCAGAGCGCCGAAAACCACAAGGACTTCTCGTGTGCCATGGGAGGGGGCATGGCTAAACAGAGACAGATTAGCAAGCGGCTAGGATAAGTCAAACATAAGACTGTACCTACAATAGTGCTCCGCGACACATCTCAAGCGCATTCTGTAAGCTTGGATTGCCAGACGGATCTTGACCCTCGAATGACCTCAGCTTCTCGAGGTGGTCGGTAGGGTTGCCGCTCATGTCGCTGATCCTCACTGCTACACCATCGCGCATGCCAATAATTCCCAGCTGAGATATTGGATTTTGCTCGAAGTAGTCCTTGACAAAGTCCGCAGCATATGCCCAGGCAACGCGATAGCGATTCGGCAGCATATCCTTCTCGGTCATGGCGAAGGACATGTCCAGCACCAGGACCAAGTGCCGTATGATGCCTCGCTGTAGCGGTGTGGTATCTCTGAGCAGTCTTCTCCTCTTCTCCGCCTCGAGGCTTGCGCCCACCGCTAAACTGCCATCAGCGCCCTCTGTGACTTCCTCCCAGCTGCGCTTCACATCCTCCCACCGCGCCTTGGAATGACCACTCTTGCCCTTTTTGCCATTTCCACGCGCTTTTCCAGATTTTCCATCGGGACCATTATCTCCTGCTGCTTGATGATCGAGAAGTTCGTCATCGGACATGTCCTCGACATACTCGCCGTCGGAGTCGGCCATAGCGAAGGGTGTTGGTTACGGTTGAAACCCTAGGTCTTTGTACTCCCTTCGTTAGCAGTCTAGGTTGAGAAATCTCAGATCGTGTTCGGTATCAAAATGAGCGAATTTGGAGGTCAATACACCACGGTAGCGGGATCGAACATAGGTTATGGTGATGACGCGGGACAGATTGGACAGACAAGGCTGGATAATAAGATCTCAGCCTCGTAGTTTCAGACCCCAATTAGCTGAAACAGCCAATCAAAATGAGCGTAATGCACCCCCCCCCCCCCCCCCCCCCCCCCCCCCCCCCCTTGTCAAGGTCACCCACCCATCAGCATGCACAGAAGCAAGCAGTCAATCTCATGATCATGTTACAAGTCGATTACTGCCAGCTCATACAGTATGTTTTCTCGCTCTTTGACCTCTTTGATGCTTTCTTCTTTAAGCCATGGCAAATGGTTTGGCGTCTTATGCACAGGTCGTATCAGACATAAGCGTGCAAGAATGGTCTAAGCCGTAGCAACCATACGGAAGGAAATAGGGCAGCTTAATTCGACCAAGAGCCTGGCAAGCCTAACCTGCCCCGAGAAAAATCTTCGCCAGATGAAGTGCTTCATAAGTTTTAAAGGAATAAGCGTTTCCTGGTGGTTTTGGTGAAGTGTTCGCTCTGGCCTGTAATACTTCACCAACGCCATCCCGGAGTAGAATGGATCAGTGGAGTGTTTTTTTTTTTCTCTTTGCAACTTGGTTCAGTTGGGTAGGGACTCTAATATAGATATATCCTCATCACTCTTCATGACTCATTCTTTATCACGTATATGGGTGAGGCTGGTACGTAACGGTGCAGAGCCGACAGCTCGCCTTGGGTGGACTATACGATTGGGTATATTTCACGACGGCTGCAGGTGTCACCATCGCATAAGGAAATTTCAATAACCCTCATGTGTGTTTGTTCGTGATATTATCAGGAGCCGCAGTTGAATTCCAAATGATTAGACAAGTCAATTATGTCATTCGACCTTCATGTACATTAGTCGCTTCATCAGGGTATAACTATCTGCTACTACGTAAAGTGTCTGTGTCATGTGCTATACAGTCATCAACGGGTTGGTTGATAATGTATCCTGTCGTTTTATACATCCAAGCTAGATCGACATGAAACCATATCCGCCATGTTATTCTCATCCTACTCATAAACTTCACAGCAAACCGGTCTCCGCCACTTCGCCCCAGTAGCAACGTAAATATGAAGTTGCTACCCTGGCCAGTCTCATACGCCGACTCCGGCGGTGATTGGAGAATGTGAATACAAACAAGCCGCCAAGTGTGTCTCACATCTCAAAATTAAATGTTTGTCGCGTATAATTCGACCTCGTTGGTCGTCCGCAAAGAGCGTCTAGAAAGTGCGCAACCGCGGCCCAGTTCTTCATCCTCCGATGTTTTCGACATAGCGTTAGATACTGGCGCTTTTGTTTCTGCCTGCTGGCTGGTTTGGCGATTGGATGTCTGTCCAGGCCAGAGTAGTTCCCCCAGTGTAGGAGAATTTTCGCCTTTCAGGGTATCAACAAAAGTCGGTGTGCCAAAAGTCATCGTTGTTGAGACTGGTCCGATGCATTAGGAGCGTGCAGGAATCGTAAGCGTCCCAGTTGCTGCAATATCATTAATACTAACTTGTGCCTATTCTTATGGCACAGTCTTGAATGTTCTCGGCTGTCGAAGCGCCGATGCTTCTTCAACAGTGTCGCATCCTCCAAGCTTGACCGGAGGGTTCTCGCGGTCTCACTCTAGGGATATGTGTTTCCGACAGGCATCGGCCAGTCATCTTCGGTAATACTTGACCAGAAAATCCACACCGTCGCGACAGCCAGAAGAGTGAACAGTGTTTGGAACAACGAGCCATCGATCTTACCGGCGGTTCCGTTGCAAATGTGAGGGCTGACGACATAGTTGAAAATCTGGCCAATGGCGAAGAGAACCAAGGCGGCAGCCAAGTAGATCATAGGTCGCATTTCGCCGAGGATTCGGATGACGAGGATAGCTTCTAGCACGAAAAAGGCAACGAGGAAAACAAGCGGCGCTAGCTGATACAAAACGTAGAGGGCAATGTGTCGGTTTGGTGGCTGGTACGACGAATCCCAAAAGTTGGTCCATTGAAAACCGGTATCGAGCGTGATGTAAAGCGTTCCGCCGAAAAGGATGAAGGCAGAGCCGATAATCAGCCCCATGGACAGCGGCGTGCCGTCATCAACAATTTGGTAGCCAACGACGGCGTTCAGCATTAGTATCCAAGTCGTCGCTATAATCATGCCAATGTGAATGCCAGTAAATGCCTAGTAATGTGTTAGTTACACGGCAAGTGAAAAGAAGAAGAAAAAGCAGAAAAAGCAGCAAGGTTGCAACTGACAATCCGAACAGTGTCTTTTAATGGAAACTCTCCAATAGTAAATATTTCGCATAATTGAATGATGCCAAACCCGATGAGAAACAGTTGCATTTCCCTGTGTGTAATAGATTAGCACGATGGAAAAGAGCTGTGCAGATGCAGTCCTCGAGGACTGTGATAAGCTCACCTTCGGCCCACCGCAGCCTTCTTGCGCTCTGATCTGAAGTAGAGGTAGCCGGTTGTGAGGATAGCAATGAAACAAAGTAAGATGGAGCCCAGATTGCCCAGTTTGCGGTCATCGCCGAGAGGGATGCCGGTCAGCTCACAACCTCCCCAGGGCCCCTGTTGGCTGTGACTACTCGAAAGCACCTAAATTATGTCGTGTGAGAATTTGAACTTGACCAAGCTGAGAGGGACAGCACACGACGCGGGTGATTACTTACATTGCAGACTGGCAGTGTGGAATCTCGGCAGAAGTTCTATGGTGTGCAATCAGCATGGAGAACAGCTTTGGGGTGCGTTTGCATGCAAAAGATGTGCTGCGTAACTACTTACAAAGAAGTTGCCGAACTGCGTGGAACCCATTGTTACGGACGTTTGCGATGGAAATCAATGGCTAAATGCCAGTGGGTGTTAAATGTTTACTTTGCAACACCAAAGCCCCCAATTCGTGTCGCGGGGCGAACAATGGCTTTGAGAGCTGAACACAATAGGTTCAAACGGCACTGCTTAGACTAAGGGGTGTCGTGGATTCCGAGCACGAAGCCGCAGCCAGATATCAGGAATAGCTGATAAAATTGTAACCGATGCGACTGCTCTCTTTACTATCGTATACGGAGTAGATGCTTGGAGGACAGCAATCAAGAGTTTGCGTTGTCGAGTGGCTGGTCGAAGGGCTGGTGGTGTTGGTTGTGGATATTCTCTCTCCTTGTTTTGAGGCCTCGTATTAAATTCTTTCTCCCAAATGCGATGCGACAACTCTCCCTCTTTTCGGCAGATTTCATAGGCGCCCGCTTAAAACAGTTTCAAGCCCTCTCCAGGCTATTATTGGAAGGCTTTGCTCGACCAAACGAACGGGTGAAAGCACTCAAAGCGAGCCGTTCGAGTTTGGAAGAATAAAGAGAGCGCGCGTAGTTTTTCGTTTTCAGTGTTGCGACGAAGAAGCAGTGGGTGCAGGTTGCACGTGTAGGCAGGTGCGTGCGGATGCGCAGGCGCAACTGACGGAAAAGGCGCAAAAGAAGTTGGAGGCGACGTAGTGGGCGGTGGGACAATATAAGCCAAGTTGGTAGGGAGTGGAGGCCATTGAGCCACTCAGTGGTCGCACCGCTTCCCTTCAGTAATATCGCCAGGGGTGCTAAGGCAGGAACAGGGGCAGTATCGACTGGCCGTGGGGCCCGCTGCCCTGTCCTGCTGCCAGCATTTTGAGCCAGCATTTGAGCCATCGTACACAGAGAGGAAGAGCGTGATTAAGGTGGGTAGGTCACAATCAATGCGGAAGGATACGTACTGATCGCAAAATAGGCAAGGGTAATCAAACGCATCCCTGCTTGATGACGCTAAACCAATTGGCACTCTCAAACTGCGGCTGCACGCGCCATAATTGGATGATGCAACTTTGAGATGAAGGCTTTCCCGGCCAGCCGCGAACAACTGGTGGGTCCGCCAAAAGTGTATTCTGGCGACCCTCGTCGCCCGCCCTGTGTGTTTTTCATGTTCGCCGACAGCTAGGCAGTAGTCATCCTCTCTACTAGTAAATTCCGAGGACATTTCTTTCCACTCGTTCCTTCTCTTTTCCTCTCTCCAGCCACTCTCATTCTCGGCGCCTTGTGTGCCGAGCGATGGTCAACCAACGACGATTCGCATTCGGCTCAGCAGTGGATCCTTGACACAATCAAGGTCCCGAGAATATAATGCTCGTCCGAAGTTGTAGTTTGGGAGGGGAAGCGCATACATCGTAACTATTAGGCCTCGGAGTTATTCACTAGTGAATGCGATCTTCTACTACATACTACTGGTTGTCGTCACGATAAAAACCACCCATCCCCTTCCTTAACCCTTGGCTCGGACTGGCATCCGTCAGCCTTGGGATGCCGCAAAATACATCATACTACCGGTATGAAGACCGAGCCGATTCACACCAGGCTCATCGGTGGGCAAAGACAGGACAAAGCGCATCCATAACTAGGTTAAGACACGATGTAGCTTCATACGTTGCGTTGCATTGAGCTTGCAGTGATGTGATGGGCCGGGCCAATGTAGGCAGCATGTTGGTAATTTGGCATTTATTATGCAGGATGGGCTCGAAGACCAATGGCAGTGCTACTAGTGAGTAATTTGACACTGACATTGGACCGGTGCACACACCAAGAGCCAGCCACCAGCCACCCACATCCGCCACCACGTTCTTGAAACTGGTATTCTCCCACTCCCTTCCTCCCTACTTTACTCCCTCCGCATTTGTTGAACGCCGATAGAATGTGGCCGCTTCTTGCCATCTGGTACCTCGGTTCTGGAAATTGGCTTCCACTGTTTAGCTTCGCTGCCACTGTCCTTGTGCTCACCTCTCTCTTACCTTTCTTTCTACTCTCTTGGTGGGGACTGAAGACATCAAGCCTCCGACCTTGCACGCGATCCGTGCAGCAAATAGGTGCAATCTACCGTTATAACACACTACGTAGAAGCAGAATCTTCAAGTGGGTATGCATTGGCCGATTCCCCGTCTGTTCCATGCATGTAGCACCCCGGAGCCCGTGCTTTGCGACATCGTCACGTCCTTGACAAGCCATTTCTGAATCTACAACGGGTGACAGGCTGCGATTGCTAGATTCACATCAGAAATTCCTGGACTATCGCCGCACTGTATTATGTGTTTGATCGTATTGCTTGCTCAAACTACCCGTTCCGAACAGAATACTCCTCACGAACAAGGCACATGGGAACGTAAATCCAGAAAGCAAACAGCACTACTAGGATTCCCTCTGCACCCCCCTTGTGACACCACTGGCAATACCGATTTCAAGAAACAATCGCCTGGGTCATCCCTCCAAATGTCTGCCGACCGCCCAAACACTTCCTTGTGATGCATTGCTGCGATAGGGCATGCCGTTTGGCGCTAGAAGATCGCCTCTGCGAATGCAGGGAGCAACGACGAGCACGATAGGAGGAGTGCAAGCCGTTTCGATAATGTGACACTTCAAATCATTTAACTTATTGCACAAAAACTGGTACTACGGAGACAGGAACAGTCAATTGCAACGCGTCGCGAAAGAATCCGAACAGGTATGGATGCCACCTTTACACCTATGCAGAACGGTCCTCACACAGAACACTAGCACGGAACCAAGCCGGGACAGGAAAGCCGCTAGCCTTGCTCTCGCCCCAGCCCCCCATTCTCACGCGTGACGTCCTGCAAGCTCAGTCGGTCAACCTTTGCTTATTTTCATCGCCTCTACTATGTAACCTGGAGAACCCAGGTTGCCCGTCAACCAACCTTGCAAGAGGGCCGTTTTTACACCGATTGTTTACAGGCAATGGAGGTCATCAGCGATGTGGCCACCGCCCACTGTTAATCGGTGAGGAAATGCCACGAGGACCACCCTGCCATCACCGTAGCCTCAAATCTATTCGCTGTCAACCGGTTAACGACTTTGTCGGGAAAACAGGGATGGCCCCATGGCCTTGGCAACATTAATGGAGCCTTCTCGTCGCTCCCACTGGTCAAGGAGTCAAGGCATGCCGCGAGCCTTCGCTGCAACCACCATTTGCCTATCGTCACCGCTACCAACCCAGCCGGCTGGCTAGCATCTGCTGTTCGGGTACCTAGGTGAAAAGGCTCTGTGAGAAAGGTATTGGCTGAGCCAGTGTACCAATAACTCAGTCCAACCCATTTAGATGAGCACGTATCAGGGCACATAGAAGAACAGACTGTGCAACTGCGACGGAAGCAGGTCTGCCTGCCCTGATGCCTTGTCTCTTAATGCCGCCTGTTGATGGCAAGGGTCCTTCCTGGTGTCCGATGGAGTCTGACGTTTTCTATACGGGCAGCATGATGAATCCTCGCCACCCCTCACCCAGGTCCGACACCTCCAGAGGCCATAGTCCTACGATATGCCTGAAAGAAGTTTTATCATCCTTTCTCCCCCCTTGACAACAAGAAAAGCAGACCATCAACACCAATGCAGCCTAACTTCAATGGCGGACGGTTTGAACTCGAGCAAGTCTCTGTTAATAACCCCGGTTGCCACTTTCTGTCTAGATTTAACACCATCAAGGTACCATTAAGCTATCTGGTCAACACGCTTTGATACTCTAGTTATTCTTAAAACCCTGTTCTAGAACGTTGCGTCAGAGGGCACCAAGTAGTAGCATTTTCCGGCCACGAGCCCTCACATACTTGGTATACTACTTACCTAATTTTGCTTCCAAGCTATGGCACGGCTTGTTTGTTTGTCAGCAATCACTGCAGATGTATTCGACGTAGGGGCACTTTGCCATCAGAAACCAATATGCGGCTCGCGGTACTTTGCTCCTGTATTTTTTTTATTTTCGAAGCGGAGAGACGTGTGTGCCATATGAGTTGGTTTGTCGAGTACGCACCACTAGGACTATCCAAGAAAGGTTGAAGTGAATCAACTTGAGCTGACATTGGGAACTACTAACTCCGCTCTTCCAAGATGCTTCCGCGAATCTCAGATTGTAAAAATTGCAAGATGCTCAACCCTTTCTATTTTTTTTATACATTTACTTTTTCTACATTTCTGAGATCGATGACCTTTCCGCCGCAAATTAGCCCCCGCAATCGTGGGGTCTGGCATCCGAAAATAGAGTCGCGAGATCCCTCGCGACGATCATCAGCTAGCCTGAATCGAGTGGGTTAGACTATTAGACAATCTGAGCTACCAAGGAGTGAGAACGTAATTATTCCCTTGCTGGGTTGTATTACCGATTCTGTTGTTCCTCGGCGGCTTGCAAGTCACATTCATAATAATTGAAACTCCCAGAAGATGTTGGTATGCTTGCAGTCCTGGCCCTTGCAAGCCTTACGAGTTACTTCAATGGGCAAAATGAGACAACCCATACGCATTAGACAAAACTGACAGATTATGTACCTTTTATTTTGAATGTAAATCGAGCGTGGTTGTCCATTGATAGCTGCTTTCCCGTCTGACATTGTCCGATAGAGTCTGAATAAGTTAGGCATGCTGCTAGAGATGCGCGGAGGACCTCGTGAGAATCACGACTAGCCCTGTCACTTGGTTCTCTGCAGCACGAATAGGTCCTTTCCTCGCCGTGCTTGGCTTTTCTATGCCTAAATTCTCCCAAAATCAATCTCTATTGGGTTCCAACAAGCGGGTTTTTCAAGTCTGTAGTTTCGTTATCCGAGGCCCTCTCTGATATATGTCTACCTGAACTCAGCCAAGCGTTCAAGTAAGGGTTAAAAATGGTGCGGGATACCATCAGGTTCCTTCTGTCTCAGTCCTAATGCCAAATTCAATACTTAGACAATGCTGTCAGCGAAAGCAACTTACTCAACCGCCCAAAGTTGTCGTGGGGGCTTATCATTGTGGTTGCAACATTGTTTTTCGAGGCCCAGCTCAGAAAGGTCTTGAACAAATCAAGTGCTTTGGCACGATTGGGCATGCACGTCTTTTCTGTTGTATAGTCGTGCTTCCGCTACAGGATACCAATGAAGCGTCCCTCTGTAATGTAGACTACTGAAACTTAACGTGGCATGATCGCGACACTCGTCGTTTCTTTCTTACACGTACGCCTTGGGCTGTTTGCCTTTGTATTATCGAACCTTTCCGAGTTTGGCATCTTGTATACAGGCATCTTACTAGCGGCCCCCGCCTCACTGCAGGCAGAGCGGGTGCCTGACCAACGGAGCCCAAAAGCACAACCAGTGTGGCAGGGGCAGCTGTGGCTCGTTGCCCCGCAACCGGTCAAAATAAACGCCTCAACGGCACTGCGCGTCCTGGTTGGGAGGTATCACCGCCGACGCATCACACCGCAACGGACCAACACACTTCGCAATCCCTAACAACTATCGGGACCGCTCATAAGAAGGGACCCATATCAACAACGGTCACCACCGACCCGAACCAAGCCCACGGCCTAACCTACTTGACATTGCTCTGCTTTTGCATCCCTCTTCTGCGCCTCGTTGTGCTACTTTATTCCCCCTCTCGATCACCAGCTTGCTCCATCCTTGGAGGACACCTCAAATTATTGTATGCTTTGGTTGTAAGACGAGTTGTCACAAGCGTATTACTCGCTCGGTCATTAATTAGGATCAGAAACACCGTCAAGGTTTTTATTTGCGTTTACCACATTGGCTTCGACTTCTCCGCTACGACATTCCACGACTTTACGACTAAACGATTCTCTCTTTCGCTACTCAGCCACGACAGAATTCCAGAAAACAGTCGTCTAATTCGAGAACAATGGCACCCGTGGAGCGTGAAGCTCCGAGAGACGGGGATCGTCCTCTGAGACACCAACATTCAATGTCCTCCGATCAGGGGAGAGCGTTGGTGCCTATGTAAGTAATCAAAATACAGCCTTCCAACACAACAACCAATAGCTTTCTCCATCCTCTTCCGACATGAATTGGCCATGTCTGTTATCTGGCGTCGACTAATGAAGAATAGGTGGGATAGCTCAGATCCTGATAGAGCGCCGCCGCCCCTACCTTTAAACCCACAGTCGCCCAGCGTTGGCACCTCTAGAAAAGGAACATCGAGCGCCATCCAGTCTGCCCATGCCGCTCTCACAGAGAGAGCGAGAGAGAGCGCAATGCTTCCGGCACCGCTCACCAAGAGGAACACCGATATGTCGCCTGACCGTTCGCTTATCAGAGGCTCTCAGCACAAACGGATGCAGTCCCTCCAGCCAGGAACTGTCAGAGACCTCAGTTTACTCCTAGAAGGTGGCCAGCAGTCAAACCCCCCATCCCCAACCAAGTCGCCAGAGCGATCTACTCGACCCTCAACCCCGGCGTCGAAAAGGCGAGATAGCTTCTCAGATACTAAATCCTCCGAAAAGGAGGCCACAACTCCGTCGTCAGCTCCGAGTCTGACACCAATCGTCCGTCCGACTGTTAGGAGGCAACAACAGAGCATTTTAGGCGAAAATACGCCACCCCAGTCTGCGACGATGCTTGCTATTCAAAACATGCCACTCCAGGGGCCAAAAGAACAGGAAAACACACCCTCCAATGGTGGTAATGGCTCAACTGCCCTCATGAAAGCACCTCAGTCAGTTGAAGCCCTTTCTGGACAGCTTCTTAGCCTCACCAGCATTGCAACTGCTCTTCAAAAGGACATGGCTCAACTGAGCCGTAGAAGTCGGGACAACGCTACGGACTTGTTGAGCCTAAAAGAAGCTACTAAAGCGAGAGATGAGGATATTCGCAAGAGTTTGAGAGAGCTCATCAACAATGCCCACGACTCAACCGTAAGGCCGTCTTCCCGCGATCATTTCACCAGCAGTCTTTTCCTCGACACGAAGTCTCAGCATACCTCCCCGCCTCCTCCCAAAGCTGCTCGCCCCTTTTCATTGCCCAGAATCCCGTCCCCTAATAGCTTCGCTGCATCAATTGACAGAGACTCGCTGAGTACTCCATCCCTCTGCAACTCGGAATCTCCTGCCACGATAGCCATACTGGACAAGATTATCAGAGACATGGGCACAAAGGAGGGGCATGATCTGCTGCTGGCCCGTCTGACTGATGTGGCTGAAAAGCTTGCCGGTGTTGCTCCAGCTTCCAAAGTGGATGAACTCATACAGTTAGTCAAAGACAGATCAGACAACAATGTTGCCGTATCTCAAGGCAACAACGGAAATGGGAGCGGTAATGAGAACCGACCCCGTATGGCTGGGTTTGACGACTACGAAAACAGCAGCGTTTTCGACTTCGACCCTGGCTACGCCAGCCAATTGACTCATAGATCAGAGAGGGCGGCATGCAATGAGCCGGATTCAAGATCTGCCACAATGCCGACCAACGCCTCTGGCCTCGTTAGTGACGAGCTTCTCAAGATCATTCGTTCCGTGAAGGACAGCGTCGCTCAAGGCGGTGGCCTCACTGCTGAAGTCAAGGCTCTAGTGAGAGAGCTACGCGGGGAAGTGTTGGGAATGGGACGTGAGATCGGCAGGAAGTTGGACGAGGTCAACACGCAGATTGTGCCGTCAGAATCTTCAGAAACAAACGATCAAATGTCGAGGATCATCCACGAGGGCCTTGACCAAATGAAAGAGCAGATGGATGAGGTGCTTCGAGAACATCGAAGACAGTCAACAAACTCCGTGTCTTCGAGAGCCAGCGTGGTGGACTACCAAGAGATCTATAACGCCATGAGAGCCGCTCTCCGAGACTCACAGGCCTCGCAGGCCAAGGCTCCTGAGCTGAGTCGCGAAGATGTAATCGATGCCATCAAAGATGCCTGGGAAAATTATAAGCCCGAAGTTGAGCACCAGGACCTTGGTCTTGGACAGGAGGAGATCTTGGAGTATCTCAAGGAGGGCCTGCAGGAATACGTCAAGCAAGACCCACATCCCGTTGGAGCTTCCAGGGAGGAGGTATTTCAAGCAGTGGTTGAAGGCCTGAAGCATTTTGTGCCACCGCGTGTAGATACACCAGCCAGCCTCTCCAGAGATGAGATACTTGACGCAGTCCGGGAGTGCTTGGAAGAATTCGAATTTCCGGTAGCCCCCTCGGCTTTCAATTCGGAACTCACCCGGGAAGATATGCTCCATGCTGTCAAAGAGGGCCTGGGTGAGTATGAGCTACCGACCGCGGGTTCTCTCGTCCCTCATCAAATCAAGAATGATGAGATTGTTGCCAGGCTGCAGGAAATAACGGACTATATGCGGAGTGAGTTCCGAACGGCATCAGAGGTGGCAAAGCAAAGTATTGCAACCAGTAGCCGCAACTCGGAACAGCTTCTGGGAATGACTAAGGACGGTCTCGATAAGTTACGGAACGATATGCAGGAATACATGAGCCATCTCAGTACTAATGCTTCTGGTAATGATGAAATCACCCAGACACTGCTTGGTACTTTGGATACCTTCAGAGACGACATGACTTTATTAGTCGATCGCGTTTCAAGCGACTCAAGATCAACCATTGAGAATCATTTCGAGTCTTTGCGCGACACCGTCAACTCATCCATGGTACCGGTAACCCCCCAAATTAACCAAAAGGAAATTATCGAAGCTGTGCGGGATGGTGTCGACAGCGTGCGTGCAGAGTTGCGTCGTCCCTTTGCTGGGGTCACAGAAATTCTCGATGCCCTTCATGATGGGTTGGCGGATCTGCGCATAAGTATAGACAAGGTCAGCAACCGCCCTACAGATCTAACTGCAAACGACGAGATTCTTGACGCATTAAGATCTGGGCTTGACAGTGTTCGCTCAGATATCGATGGACTCCGAGAGCAGCATGGTCAGAATGACAGGGCTTTGACGACGATGAATGATGGCGCTGTTGTACCGGCAGATGCACTGAAACAGGACGATATCAAGAACCTTGAAGTACTCATCACTCAGCTTCGCATCAAGATTGAGGCGATAGAGCCGAGCAGTCTTGAATCAGCCTCCAAGGAAGATCTCATGCGCATGGAGGGCTTGCTTCACTCTCTGCAGGAATCCGCCTCCAAGGACGATATGCTACGCCTTGAGGACATGCTCCGACTTGTTCAGGAGTCGGTGTCCAAGGACGACTCATCCCGAATTGAAGAAGTCTTACTTAGCACTCAGGATTCTGTATCCAAGGAAGACCTGGCACGACTCGAGGAGGCGCTCCACGATATTCAAGAGACTGTTAAGCCCAAAGGCAGCGGGACAAGCAATCCGGCCAGCAATGAAGCTGCTTCAAAAGAGGATGTCCAAGCTATCGAAACTATACTCCGCAATACCAAGGGCCGGTTAGATGACCTTATCGACAGCGAACAGGCAGTACGCAAAGAGCACCTGGACAGTCTTGAGAACATTATCCTAGAGACTAGAGAGACTATCAATCTCATCACCACCCAGATGGACAGTCTTTCACGAAAGGACGATGTTACGACTGTCGAGTCGCTGGTCACACAGGTCGCTGCGGGCTTCGAAGAAATGAAGGAAAATGCTGCGAAACAGCTAGAAGATCCCGAACGCGTGACTAAGACCGATGTCGACGCTGTCGAGGCTGTTTGTTTGGATATCAAGAATGTGTTTGATCAGATGCTTAAAACAGACCTGGCAACGCTTGCGACCAAGGAGGATCTGAAAAGGACGGAAACAGCGCTCGAGGAACTCAGGGCACCGGTGGAGGGCCTCAAGGCTCCTCTAGACGAGCTCAAGACTCCGCTTCAGGAGTTGAAGTCGCCCTTAGAGGAACTCAAGGCACAGCTTGATGCTTTGAACGAGTCTCACGCCAAGGGAAGCGAAGAACGTCAAGCTGAAATTGTTGGTGTTAGTGAGAGGATTTCCGAAGTCAAGACGTTTCTGGAGGAATTTCAAGGTCTGTTCAAGAGCAGGCTTGGAGATGGAGTTACTGGTATTGAAACTCTTGCCAAACTCCTCGAAGGCGTTTCAACCACGGTGGAGCGCAACTCGTCAATAGGCCAGGAGCTGAAAGATCTCACTGACACGATGAAGATGGAATTCGAAGAATCCAAGGCTGGTGTAGTTGGCGCCAAGCTAGAGTCGGATGAGAAGTTCCAGCAGACTACCGAAGCTCTGAGTGCCAAGATCGACGAAAAGGTAACAGAACTCATGGTCAAGTACGACGAATTCCAAGTTGCCCTCGAGGATCGCACGAGGACGGGAGAGGCTCGAGACGCCGATACTGCAGCAGCTGTGCTGGGTACCAAGGCAGTCGCGGAGGATCTCAAGTCGCTCGTCGACACATTAGGGTCAGCTGTTACCGATTCGATGGAGAAGATGGAGGAAGCGTCCAAGACCGTTTTTAACAAGGTGGAGGACCTCATGAGTCGCTCGGAGGAAAACCACACAGAAGGAAAAGCTGAGCACCAGCAAACCCGCGATCACTTGAAGCAAGCTCTTGAAGCCGTCGAAGGCCTGCAGGGACATGTAGGCGAGGTCCAACCACAGATTCTCGAGGCTGTCAAGAATATCTCCCTCATTGTCGGTCAACATTATGACTATGCCAAGGCGTCAACAACAGATATCCAGCAACTTATTGAGGAAGCCAAACCACCCGAGCATGCGCTCCTACCACCGCCTGAAAAGTACTACGACGACACAGTGTTGCTTGAAAAGCTTGACAAGCTGACCGAATATGCTATGATTCCTGTCGAAAAATATGACGATGCACCAGTCCAGGAGAAACTAGACAAAATTGTCGAACATGCATTGGTACCTATCGAAAAATACGACGACACAATCACTCAAGAGAAACTCGACAGGCTCGTCGAACACGTATTGATGCCTGTTGAGAAGTATGATGATGCGGCTGTTCAAGAGAAACTCGATAAGCTCGTTGAACACTCACTTGTGCCTATTGAGAAATACGACGACGCAGCTGTTCAGGAAAAGCTGGATAAACTTGATACGCACTTACACGAGAAGCTTGACAGACTCGTTGAGCATGCCCTGCTGCCTGTGGAGAAGTACGACGATGCAGTTGTCCAAGAGAAGCTCGACAAGCTTGTGGAGCACTCGCTCGTACCTATCGAAAAATACGATGACAAGCCGGTAAACGAGAAGCTTGACAGGCTTGTTGAGCATGCCCTGTTGCCAGTGGAGAAGTACGACGATGCAGTTGTCCAAGAGAAGCTTGACAGGCTTGTTGAGCATGCCTTGCTGCCAGTGGAGAAGTACGACGATGCAGTTGTCCAAGAGAAGCTTGACAGACTTGTTGAGCATGCCCTATTACCCGTTGAAAAGTACGACGATACAATGGTTCATGAGAAACTAGACGGACTAGTCAATCATAGCCATGCAGCTGAAAAGGCGTTTTCCCAACTCGATACCCTGGAAAAGGTCCACCAACAGGTCATTCAAACAGCTGCGGATATATCACTCTTCCTCGCCAATCAAACCAAGAGAATTACGGATGAGGATAACGAGAAAGAGAAAATGTTACAGGAGACGATTCTTGCCTTGGAACGCAAGCTAGTTCTTAAGGAGCAAATCGAGGCAAATCTTCTTGATCTGAAGCAAGAGGAAGAGCGGCTAAAGGCGTCTGTGCTTGGACTCAGGACGGAGCATGAAAGTCTTTTCCGACAGAAGACAAGATTGACGGGTGATGTATCATCTTTAGAAACAGCGTTGCATTTGCGCCGAGAAGAGCTTCACGACATGGAAATTCGCGCTGAAGGGTTGGAGCGTCGCATCCTAGAGGGTGTTATGGACCATTCCCGAGTCCTCCTTATGTCAAAAGCAACCAGGGGACGTGACGCTATGAGCCGGAAACGCGTCCAGACCAAGAAGCCCGGCGGGGAATCAGGAGCTCCTGAGAAGACCTCGCCTACCGTCAGCTTGGCTCTGTCTGCCAAACGTAATTTGAAGCCGCCAACCCAGACGGGTGCAGCTCGTCGCATCTTGTCGCTCAGCCAAATTACAAACAATGTGCCCACAGGTGGTGTTCAGCGTAGCCAGAGCGTGAGAACTGCTGGCGCTGGCGGAAAAGGCATGCGGAAATCAAGCTGGGCAGGCAGTTTTGCCAAAGGCTATGGAGATTTGGACAAGGAGAACATGACCCTGAAAGAGAGCGAGGAAGAGAATATGGCAAATATCCCATTATCTGAAGATGCTGTTATTGAGGCAGAATCTCGGATAAGTGGCGATGATGCGAGCGACGCCGAAACCTTACGACGAAGCAGCCGTGGCACGACGGTTATTACGGAAAGTACAGACAACTATACCGGCGACGGCGATTACTCGGATTACTATGATGACATCCAAAGCGACCTGCAGAGCGATTGGACAGAAAGCGTTGTGAGTTCAACGCTTAGCCAGGAGACATTGGGAAATGAGGTTGTCGTGTACGGAGAGCACTAAAGGCACAGTTCAGAGTTGATGGAAAACGTTTCATACTAATTATTGGGCGGTTGTTGAGAAACTGTTAAGCATGTCTATTCCGGTTTTGATGTTTCTGGTAGATTGTATCAAAAGCAAAGCTTGGTCAAGTGCTTTTTTATTTGCTTGTACTAGGCGTGGTACGATGACTGGTCCTGGTAATCGATTGCGGTTGTCAGTAGCGTCGTTGTTAGGTTGATAGAATGATAAGAATAGCACCCAGAGTCGCTACATGGCATTGCATCAATATTACTATTAGGGTTCTCTCGACACTTCAGTCCTGTTTGGACTTGCCGCTTGTGTCTGCTGGTGTGTGTGCCTAAATGAAAGCAAATCATAGTATTGTAATGTACAAGAAAGTACTCGTATCTCACTGTTGACGGCCAACCTACATCGACGAGGCGGCTCTCCGCACAATCTTTTCTTTCCCATCCATCCATGGCCGCAGGCATACTGGAATGACGACCGACATGTCCTTTTCGTCCCATCCCGCTTCAAGAATGGCTGCCAGCACTCTTGGGATGGCGAGAGCTGTGCCATTGACAGTCCACGGGAACGTAAGTTTGCCATCGATTTTAGCCCTCGTAGCAAGTCTTCGGGTCTGGTAGTCGGTACAAATACTGGTAGATGTTACTTCGCCCCAGCCGTCATTTTGCTGCTGGCGAGACGGGAAAAATGCCTCGATGTCACATTTACGTATGGCTGAGGCGCCAAGGTCAGCGGTAGGCATTTCGAGGACACGGCAATGCAGGCCAAGGGAGCCGAGAATCTCCGTCTGGATATCCAGTATCTCCTCAAAGACATCGGTTGTAGCGTCAGCTCCTGGACTCGTCCAGGCAAACATTTCGACCTTTGTGAACTCGTGGACGCGGTAGAGACCTTTGGTGTTGGCACCGCGGGCCCCCGCTTCGGCGCGGTAGCATCTTGAGACGGCGACCCTCTTCATGGGCAAATCGGAGATGTCAAGGGTCGCCTCCGCCTTCATGCCGGCGAGAGGGATCTCAGAGGTGCCCGCAAGGCAAAGTTGTGGTTTACCTTTCTCCGCATCGTCTTGAGACTGTGCGAGGGTGTAAATTTGTTGTTCATCGTTTTGGTCGCGCGGCTGGAACCCGCAGGCAGAGGCAATATGGCTGTAGACCACGCTCGGCGGTGCGACTTGACGCCAGCCATGCTTGGTTGCAACAGCTAAAGCGTATTGGATAAGAGCTTGCTCTAACTGGGCAGCCTCGTCAAGGAGATAATACCATCCCCACCCGGAAGTGATGCCGCCGCCGGTGAAGTCAAGCAAGCCAAGCTCCGATCCAATGTGGACATGTGACCGCCATATTTTGTCAGAATTACTGGCGGGTTCAATAGGGTGCTCGTTAATGTAACTCAGAAGCAGCGGCTTCTCACCCACAGGAGTCACTTCGCTGGTGAGATTTGGTAGGCCTAAGGCGAGGCTCTCCATCTCATCGACCAACTTCGCCTCGTCTTGCTCGACGGCTGATAGCTTCTGTTTCAGCAACCGGGCTTCTTCGAGAAGCTCTTCGCGCTTTAGTTTTCTTATGTCAACGAAATCATCATCGTCGCGGCTTGAAGATGGGTTGGCAATCTGGCGCCGGAGCAGGTTTGACCTTTCTCGGAGGACGCGGCTGTCTTTCTGTAGGGTCTGCCATTGCGCAAAAAGTTCATTGATGCGGCCAGGGCTCTTGCTTTGGGCCACGTAGTTGCGATCAAGACAGTTTTGCTCATAGAGTTCTGGATTTTCTCGGATGTGCCTGATGTCGATGATGGGCTTGGGCGCAGTGGACGGCCGCTTCAAATCAGCAAACGTGCGAAAAGATGCGATCCGACGCGGCGTTGCTGAAGCCGGTGACCATAGCGATGGCTGCGATAGTAGCTTCGCCGCCTTAAGCGAGTAGTGCAAAGAATTTACACGACACTGCCTCATCTCTTTAATTGGGCTAGAGCGTCGTTTCAAGATGGGCTAATGTCCTTCCGTGATGAGCTTCCATCAAATGGACTGAGCTATAAGTATGTGGGAGATGATTCGATGTTTGCTGAATTGTTTACAGGGATATGGACATGGATCAGGGGGTTTCCTATCCGCTTTATGCAATCAGACGGACGTTCTTCACCCCATAATTACTGATTGGAGCTCACCGTCTCCAGTTAACTTAGGCTCCGGCGCATGGGAAGATGGAAAGAATTCAACTAGATAAGGCTGGCTAGGCTACAGAAGTATTGGTGTATCTTTAGGGTATCGTTGCCGTTGCAGTGCGTTTAAAATAAAAGTTGGTGTGCTTTTACACCCAATGCTAGTCACAGCCATCCCCTAGTGGTAGGGGGGTTGGATGCTGCACAGGCGTTGACCTTTGACCATTTGTCTTGTTTACTATTTAGACTGTTCCCCAGGCACCCAGCGTCCAGGTTGGTTGCCCTCCGTTGGCAGCAGCCCGCATCAATCCACCCGGTCCTATGCTTTGACGTTGCTGGGCCTTGATATCTACTTCACTCGGTCGCGATGCGCCGTTGAGACCCTGTTGAAGCCAAATCTCGCGGTCAATGTTGGCCATGGCCACAACTTTCAACTGACAAGTCAAGCTGGCCCCTCCCCATGGTCCAAGTGACTCCAAAGGCCGTACACAGCCCTGTATCTTAGGATAATGATCATCTCGCTTCATCAACGCTTCTTCAATGATGTCCGCAGCGGTTCGAATGTGGCCTTGTTCTGAGCTTGTCTCATCTGGTAAATTGGTCGAGGGCATGCTTTCCGTTGAATCGCCAGTGGCTGGCTGAATATTGTGTCTTCGCAATAGGGTATTGTTCTTGTATTGCACGGGAGCGTGCCCCTGTACAAGATCCCAGCCATGCTCTTGAACTAGGCCCGATACTTCATCTAGTATCCTGCGTCTCAACCCAATCACCTTGGAGCAGCCACCAACGAAGACAATCCGTGACATACAGATTGCTCGGGCGTCGATCGGTAATCTCAAAAGGTGTTGGTAGATAAGATACGGAACTGGAATCTCATTGTCGTCGAAGCTGCTGCGAGAGCATTGTGGGGCAAAGAAGGTGTTTTCACACGGCTCGGACAATTGCTGGAACTGTAAGTTAAGAGTTTCGGGTGGATCAACGGATTGTATTGGGATTTCAGCAATCCCATCTGCAGGTTGGGGAGCTGTGGGTGATGCAGGGGCTGACTCGTCCTGCTCTTCTACAGTCGGCAAACCCTCTCCATGGTGCTGCTGCTCTCTAGACGAGATGCCGCTTCTTTCTAACTGACGACACCAAACCAAACGGCAGGCAACCTCCTCGCACTCCTCAAAGCTTACCGAGTGTTGTCCACGCTCTTTCTCTCGATTGACTCTTTGCGAATGGGCAGATGATAGCGAGAGTGCACTTTGAATCAGACCGTGGACTTCCCCAACCAGCATCTTGCCGGCACGAGTAGTTCTCGTGGTGCGGATCTCACGGTATTCATATACACTTGTTACCACGGTTTCCGACCAGCCAAGGTCCACAACCAAGGCTGAGCGAGCGCCGGCTCCAACCGCTGACATGACTGCAGAGGATACAAGCGAGACGGTCGGCGCCTGGAATCGATTGAAGAGCACGTCAAGAGATATGGAAAGCAACGGCAGAGGCACCGATGATGATAGAACAAGTACAGTTTTTCGGGGTCGTGAATCGATAAGTAGAAATCTGCAATGCAAGAAGAGTAAGCAACGCGAGGCTCATGAGCAATGCATGGCATGGCAAGGGCGAATTACTTGGTCAGGGCCTCTCGAATGGCCCGGTCAATCTTGTCTTCGACAAGTCCTAAATCGAGTGACCGTACATCATGCTGCCAAAGTTCGTGGTCAACCCCCCAGGCCTTGCCCATCGGGCGGCGTCGCCAATCATCTTTATGATCTGGATCCCAGGCGCGGAAATCCCCAACGCGACGATGTTCTTCCGATCCAAGTGATAGTACCGCTTTGGGCGCTGGCTCACCAGCGAATCCAAGTTTGATAAATCGGGAGCCTATTTCAATCACGATTGTATCTTCTTCGGCGCGAAGGCTGGACGGCGAGCCGAACGCGGAAGAAATCGTGCGGGATGGCGTATGCGGGCTGACGGGTCCAGCGACAGTAGGATTGTTGCCAGGCTCAGTCCTTATGTTAGTGACTGATCGATGCGTAAGGCTAGGCCCTACATCAGATGACATGTTGCAGGCCTGGCTTTGTGAAGTACAGCGGACTTGCGATACAGAAGTCCGTTCAACGCCATTAGATGCACTATCTACACTCACATTGATTACGTAATATGGACTCGGAGATCTGGTGTCTGGTTCAGGAATAGCGTAATCATTCAGTGGACGGAGTGTGCACGCCAGGGGCTTTGGCGGGACCGTCTACAGCAAGTCAACAAAAGTAGTGTGGATAGCGGTAGCCCGAGTAACCAACCTACGGTCCGTTTCACAAACCAGTATGCCAGTTTACTTACTTTCAACCGCCATCATACGAAATCATCTGCCCGTCCTTGAGGCATTGGCATTGTACGGTGCTTGATTTGGGAGCATTATCCCATCTGACTAATTCATAACTTCCAACGTATCCTGCGTCCGATATTGGTGGCTCTACCAAGCCCTATTGTGAGCGGCCTCAGCGGCTGGCACAGCCCAAAAACAACCCCTGCATTTGGACTGCATGACACCTGCTGAATCGTCGATGAACTCAGCCATCACCTCAACTCAATCTGCTTCTGTTTAATGAACGATCCGCGCCACAGGTCAATGTCACCCAATAGCTAGATGGCCAACAACTACAAAGATTACAGCTGATACTTGCAATGGGCATTAAAGGGTAAGCCGGATACTGAATGACCTTCCTGGTTGTCTCTCCAGCCATTACTCACCCTTCTAAATAACAGCATCTATCGTGAGCTGGGACCTGGCAAAAGGGTTTCACTTTCCAGGTTGGCGGCAGAACACCTCGAAAGTTCCGGCCGGCCACTACGCATTGCCGTTGACATTGCTATATGGCAATTTCAGGCACAGGCCGCAAAAGGTCAGGCTCAATATACCACCCAAGTACTCTAGTAGACTCTGACATTTTCGACAGGCGGCACAAACCCTGCCATAAGGACTCTGTTTTATCGTCTGGCACGACTTCTCGGCCAAGCAATACACCCTATTTTCGTCTTTGATGGCCCTCATAAGCCCGCTTTCAAGCGCAACAAGCGCTCGGGCAGAGGAAATGGGGGCGCCACAGCTATGGCCAAAAGGCTCATTCGTCTTTTTGGATTCCCTATTCATGATGCTCCTGGTGAGGCCGAAGCTGAGTGCGCCTTACTACAACAACAGGGCATTGTCGATGCGGTGCTGAGTGAGGATGTCGACACCATTATGTTCGGTTGCACAAGAACACTTCGAAACTGGTCGGCAGAGGGGAGTCGTGGGTCCAAGACACCTACTCATGTCAGCATGTACGATGTCACTAATCTCTTGTCTTCCGATACCGGTCTAGATAGGGAAGGGATGGTTTTAGTCGCCTTGATGAGTGGTGGTGACTATATACCAGAAGGTATTCCTGGCTGTGGGGTCAAGTTAGGCTGCGAGGCCGCTAAAGCTGGGTTCGGAAAATCTCTATGTCGGCTTAAGCTTGACGACGATGTGGCATTCAAGCAATGGAAGACATACTTAGAGCATGAGCTTCGTACCAACGAGAGCGGCTTTTTCCGAGTAAAGCACAAGGCCTTGTCCGTCCCGGACGAGTTCCCTAATCGACAGGTTTTGCGTCACTACACCCATCCAGTCGTCTCAGATTCTGCTACTGTCGATAAAATAAATACAGCAATCGGCCTTAGCCGTTCGATTGATGTGCAGGGTCTTCGATACTTCGTTGAAGAGACGTTGGATTGGACTAACAAAGTGGGTGCCGTGAAATTAATACGAGTTCTGTCCCAAGGTTTATTGGTCCACAAGCTATTGGAACGGCATTTATCTGGACAACCCTCTAAGGCAATCGAGCAAATGGAACAGGAAGAGATGGCACTGATCAAGCGAATATCCGGAAGAAGAAGCCACCATAGCATGGACGGTATGCCAGAGCTACGGGTGGCGCACATTCCGGCCCAAATCGTCGGGCTAGACCTGTCACAAGAATTAGACGAGGCTACGGCAGTCGATCGGCAGGGATTGGCTCTTAATAGCGACGACGAATTCGATACAAATATCAACAGTACCTTTGAGAGCGACAGAGCTAAATCGAAGCCTACTTTTGATCCAATGGTTGCCGAGTCCATCTGGTTGCCAGAATCTCTACTCAAACTAGGTATACCTCTTACTGCCAGGGCTTGGGATGAGAACCAACAGTCCAAAACTGTATCTCGCGCCTCAAGTAAGGTTAGTAAGAAGAAAGCCAACGCGGCTTCTCCGACGGAACCCGGTTCGCTCGACAAGTGGGTGCAAATCACAAAGAACGCTGGGACAAGAAGGTCAAAAATTACAACGACTATAACTACTTCTACCGGCACTATGACAGCGGCAAGCCAAGTCAAACAGGCAGAAGTATCGTTGCTTGACGATACTGGCGAAGCATCATCGGTTGCGAAGCTTCGGCCGCGGAGCTCACCTGTAATTGCTCCTGCTGTATCTTTGCGATCGAATAACAATGCAAGAAGTACAGTTACTCGAAGTAAGCAGTCCAGATCCAACGGGAAAGCGATTGCTGCAGAACCTACTGGGCATAAGAACCCCTGGGCATTCGCTAGCTCACAACACAGGCCTAGGATCACCAAATTTCAGCAGGCCTCAGAGCCGATTACTCTGTCATGTAGCCCCCTGCATTCGTCGCCTGCGCCTCCTTGTACACCGTTGATTGCAGCGCCGTCGCTGCATATCATTGATTTATCTGGTGCCGAAAACACTTCAACTTTCAAGGCAGCCACGACGCTTGTTGTATCCTCGGCATCCTCAGCTCAACGAATTGATTATAGTCGCGGGGCGGAGGCCACACGTCCGTCGTATCCCCGTACAACCAGCAAGGGCACCCAACCGATGAAGCAGACACGCATATGCTTTAACACCGATTCTTCTCGGGCACAGCTGAGAAACCATGAAACAAATATCAGAAAGACCTACGGGGTCGACTGCCAGCCGAAAGTAATGACGCATATGGAATGCAAATCCACCAGCCTTCCCAGTCAATCATATCTCAGACAAGATTTGTCGATACGAACGATTAAGGACAACTCAAGGGTGTCCTACACTGCAGGGCAGTCGACAAGAGCAGTACCTCGCATGAGTGCGGACGGGTTCTTCAAACTCGTGGAAGTCGTCGACGAAGAACACGATGCTTGCAAGACAACCGAGAAGCCGAAACATTCTGTCTCCAAGACAAGGAGGGAAAGTGGCGTCTCGGTCATAGATCTTACAGGAGACGACAAGTAACACCTTGTGCCCACATATGCAACTGAATCACAAAAATAAAGCATGATAGCTTCTGGTCTTGAGGGACCCTCACTTTGTTCCATTTGATTGTTTTCCTGTTAGGTCTTCACTATAGACACTCGTTAAAAATAGCACCTAGTATTATTCCTGTAAAACGCAAACTCCTTCGCAGTGTTCAGGCGCGGAACACTAGCTTCTCAGTGGGTATACAAGGCTATATATATCTGCCTTACTGAAATTGAATCACATAAAAGTCATTTCATAGATCGTTATTCAAACAATCGCCCAGGCTTCTTTACCCTTCTGCTGGACGACAGACGGGTATCCGTGCTAACCTGTTCAGCTGGCCTTAGCCCAGATGCTCAACATGCCAGGGAAGATCGTGGTCCCCCACGGTAACACAAGTAAGGTATCCAATCCCATCCGCTATCCTTCCACTACTTATGTCAAGCTCAAGCCCGCTCTCCATCAAAGGCCAGACAATTTCACGAGCCATTATCTTGAGTTCATCCACGCGCTTTTCGAAGCGACGGAGGTTGTCACGGCTGTACAACTCAGGCGTCAATTTCAAAAATCGCTTGCATTCGTCATGTCCAAGATAGGACTGCAAGGAAGCGCCAAGCGTCCGATACGTACGGCCAACAGTTGCTAGACGCGGAGCTGTAGCTGAGAATGCAAGTTGTTGGGAATCCATGCCGTGGCCGTCACGTGAGGTTTGAGAGCGTCGATCTGGTGTGTGAGGATTGGTGTTATCAGCCAACCATTGCCGAAACAGGCTGACAGCAAGCCAGTCCAGGTATGATGTGCCAGGAGTGACACGTTCACCTCGGGCTGTCATGAGGTTAAGCCGAAATAGGCGGCCCTCGATGCGGCTGACGATTTTCTCTAGTTCATCAGCCTTGTCCTCGATAATATCTAGAACCGTGTCGGGAAGAGCAGCACGCAGACTTCGCTCTCCAGCCGGCCATTGGCCGACTACGTGTATCAGAGCCTCCTGAAATATGACTTTGCTACGTGCGAGATAGCCAAGACGAAGATAGGAGATGGGATATTTGGCAATTTGCTTCCAGAGTCTCGACTGAAATTGTAACAGATGGTGATCCACCCGAGGCCCGACCACGGCCAGCGCGTCATATTGGTCCGCCAAAGTTAACAGCGATTTGCAGTGCACGTAAGCGTCAGCGATGTTAACACCATCCAGGGTGGGAGGGTAGTTGTAAAAGATGCGAAATAGATTGTCGTAGTCTCGTAGCAAGTCTTGGTCAACCTGAGAAATAGGTGAGGCAGATGTTGAACCAGATACCAAGCTCAAGTTGGCTACGGAGCGGAAGAATTTATGGCTCGAATGCGCAGACGAAGAATGTGAGTGGCTGGAGGTCTTGCTTCGCATAACGGGCAGCGCTTGATGGCTACTGTCGCCGGTGCCGGAACCAAACAAGGAGCCGGAGGCAGCACCAGACGTCTGGGGTCGGTCTTCGTCCTTCTGAACCAACATGGGAATATCCCCATCGCCGGTGCCTAGGTCCAGCTCGTAACGCCATCGTCTCCGTGAACCGGTCGGCACAGTCAAGGATCGGCTCGGAGCGGTGGCGGAGGAATCGGCGGATGAGCCGTCGCTGACACGGGCTAGATCGCCCAAGGCCGCATCTGAAACAGGTTTAGACCACTCATGGCTTGTGCTAGCCTCAAAGAAACCAGAACATCGAGTGAGGGTGTGGCGATGCAAAAGATAGCGGTGTTGGTAACCACCTGCCTTGACTATGATCTCGACATCGCCAGAGTTGCTGAAGACCGGGAACTCATTCTGGGGGATGTGGGTAGAGCCTCCGACATGGGACCTGTTATACCGCTTCGTGCGCGAGAGGGAGGGACGCGAAACGACCGAGGAAGGGCCTCGCAGGGTTAGGGAGGTCGAAGAGTCGGGCTGCGATACCATGAAGACGTCTCGTGATCGAAACTAAGGGTTCGAGCAGGAGACCAGATGGCCTACGGCGGCTTGGACATGGGGATAGAAGCGTAGATGAAGCCGTTTCTGCTGTTAACGAGTGGGACAGCCACAACAAGGCGAATCGATGTGGCAGCTGTCAAGTGAGGGGAAGGTAAAGACCGATGTTGAAGTCAGGCAAACTTTTCTGTAGACAGTTGAGCGCAAGAGTTTTCTAACTCTTCAGCCACTTTGGCTTGTCGATGTCGGACAGTATGTCCTTGTGACGTGGGGTCGCGCGATAGAAGCGATCTAGGAGTAGAACAGGCGCTAACGCCAAAACACACAAGGGTAAGCTAAGGCAATAAGAAACAAGAACAGAGCGGGGCGGACAAAAGTGACAGTTTCGCAATCCACAACATATACGTGCACGTAGCTAAGGATGATGGTGAGCGATGCTTTGCAAGAGTTAAATACTGCATTTGCAAAGTGATCGTTATTTAGGAAGAGGTGGAGATGGAGGGCGTAGAAAGTGCAGTTGACCTAGTTGGAAAAAGGGAAGTGAACAGGCGAATTAACTGGACGACAAGCTAGTAAGGGAAATCAACAAGGCACAAGGCCAAAATTGAAAGCAGGGGAAAAAAAAAAAATTAAAAAGGGAGGAATAGCTCGAGACCAAGACGGAAATGGAGACTGGTTGGATGGACGAGGGCAGCGTAGTAGATGCAAGCCGGGACGTGACGAGTAAAGAAGGCGAGAGCATAAGAAGCTCAGAGAAAGCGGTAACCAAGCAAATGGACCACAACAGTCAGTCAAGCAAGGTGCTTTGCACCGAGTGCGTCGAGATTGGATAACAGGAGCCGCCGTTTCGACGCTCACCACATAAGCGGGAAACTTGCATGTACTAGGCCTTCTTACAATGGGTGTGGGGAAAGATGCCTTGGTAAAAAGGCATGCCTGTGTGAGGGCAACGTGATGGTCGTAGGAAATGGGTGGAGAAGATGAATCTACTCATCCTCGTCTGCAAATTCAAGGCAGTAAGCGGATGCAAGGGCCATCATCGTACAGTGGCAAGGCATTATTAGCATCCACATGCGTGCCGCCTCGTCACCCACAACAACACGCCAAGCCAAGCAGGAAGTGCCAGTATAACTGGTCATGGGAGCAATGTGATCAGGCACTTTGGTCTGAGGGCGTTTCGTACGGGTCTGAACCTTTCTACCTCATCCTGACTGTTGATGCCCCAGGCATCAATATCCCCTTACATAATGCCTTACAGCCTAGTAACTTTTCGGGACTGTAATACTCCGCACTCCGTGTCGTCTCTGTCTGCTGGCCTTACGTGATGTATGCGTTCAGCTTTGTCCTGATCTTTTGCCGCCTACCCGCCTTCTGTTTAGGTTATCCTCCAAGCCATACCTCCATGCATGGGATCCGAACATCTCCGCCGTAACTAGTGCTACTCTTCTCGTACGCTCTTACTGTACTTGATCAATGTAGATCTTGCTAATTCGCGTTGATGCACCATGTCTGTTACCATATAATCAGGTACAATAGTATGGCCAGTGCGCACGTTTTCTTGTTATTTAAAGCGCAAGTGCATATTCAACGAAACTTACCATGAGGTAACAACGAACCTTGACTAGGCTCAAGCAAAGCACCTAGTCACCCGTACGACTTCATCACATCTACATACTATATATATCGTAAGAGAATTCAAGTCAAATTTGGATTTTAAATTCAGTTATGAAATTCCTTGATATGACTACCCACGTTCAATTCCGTTAAAGGAAACAGAGTAAGCCACTGGGAACAAACCAAACTGGCCGACAAAGGCCTGCTCCTGTTAACGATACGCCGAAATGGAGGTAAAAAAATACAATTTTGTCGATCGGCCCTCGAGGGCCTCTGGTAATGTGGGCGAGTACAAGTGCTCAATCCCATCGAACCCGAACCTGAACCCATCAAGCGAGCCCTTCCATGGAAAAATAAACGCGCCTCCACCTAAGCCTGTTGTTTTGTAGTATAATACCCAAATAAAAGAAAACAAAAATGTAAGTCGCAGGACCGAGTTTGGATATGCAGCGACGAACAGGTGAAGTAAAGCACTTCAGCACATTTCCATGTGGCTGTCAACCTCCGCTGCTGCCATTGTGTTGGATGCTTCGTTCGCAATGGGCGACTCGCTTACGATAAGAGTCTCCGGGCCATCAAATGCTGGAGGAATGCATCTTAGATTTCTCAAGGCTCCCTCAGAATCCTTGCTAACAAGCCGGCCTTGTCGTAAGTCTTCAGAGAAAAGGAAGAAGCCCTCGGCAGCTTCAACGAGGTACGACTGAAGGCCTTTACTTTCAAGTCGAATGACGACAGATGAGACAGGGTAGTGGTTTTCGATGTAACGAGCCCATCCCCGTGCGGCGGCTTGAATATGCTGATCCTCGCTGATGCGCCTCCAACCAATGCCAAGATGCAAGGTAAAATGGTCGACTACCGGGTGTGCCGAGTTCTCAAGAGGAAGAGTTTCAGATCTAGAAGCCACAAATTGCTGGCTAGCAGCGCCAAAAGTGGATGTAGTTTCTTGAGTTAAGCGTTGGGACTTGTTGCTGCGAAGAGACGGGCGTTCCTGCTGGTCGTGGAGACGCGTAATTGCGTCCTTAGCCTTGCGAACTTCATCCTCCGCAGCTTTCTCCTCGACCCAAGTGCCTGATTGACTGCTTGCATCGGCGACGTAGCCACCCTTCTTGATAAGCACCATGCCCGGACCGTACTCCCATTCGTCCTCTGGTTCTTTAGGTTCGGAATGGGGTTCGGGCTCGTCTGTTACAAGGTTGGGAGCGGCCTCATCGCGAGAACGCTTTCGACCAGCGGTTTTGAGATTTCCAGGGGACGCCATCAATGGCGCAGCGCATCGTTGGAACGTGGTAGAGTGTCCAAATGGCGTGGCTTGAACATTGTACGACTCCATGCCGAAGCTCGCTTGATGGGCAGGCTGCGGTGGCAAAGCCATGACGGGGGAAGCAGAAGAAAATGATCGACCGAAGGATGACATTACTGCTGTGTTAGACCTGTGCAAGGTAAGTTTCAGACGTTTGCTTCAAATAGCTCTTCTACGCATTCAAGTGGTTAGTGGCTGTTGAATAACCGTGTAAAGCCTGGTAGCAGGTGCAAGATGTGTCGGTAGGTGCAGGATGATTGTTTAGCGAGGTTAAAGGCCGGTCTTTCTTGGTCGCGATGGCAATTATTAGCCAATTCGGGATGGAGACGAGTTGTAACCAGAGTTTGATATAGTAATCTTGAGGTCGGACAAAATTGCAGACCCGGTGTGAGTGGTCGATGAAGAATGGCGTAGGGGACGACAGCAACCTGAAGGCGTGACAGTAAGGCAAGGTAGGAAGACTGGCCAGCGCAGAGATGGCAGGAACAAAATGACGGAAGTGCTCGATGGTTGATAGCGAGAAGGAGGCGCCAGCTCAGCACAACAGAAGAGTAACTTGACCGAGCTGGTAAGGGTTGAAGAACATCAATTGAAAGAGGTAAAAAAAGTAAAGAGAAGGTCGGATTGGGAACAACCCGAACTTATAAGCGTACAATGAGGCTGTCAGAAGAGACGAGACGAAACGAGATGAGGCACAAAGAGGATGGATGAACTGACGGAGGATGGAGAATCGAGGCCGTCACAGTCTGGGTGGAAGTAGAGAGGGCTTTCCTTTTGTATTTGGAGTATAGCCAATTGAGAGACAGGAAGAAAAGGCAAGAGCAGAAGGATAAGACGAGCAAAAGACAGGTCAGGGCCGACGAAAAAAGGTTGGAGGGTGGAAGACAAGGGAACGCCGCCTTTCTAGCCTTTCCACCCCAGTCCCAGTCGCACGTCGCAGTGTCGCTGCTCTTGAGGTGCGTTTGGTGCTGCCGGGAGAGCCTCTTGAGGTAAGGAAGTACAAGTAGACCGCCAGAGGTACGTACTGCATGCTTGACTCGGCTAAGGATGCGCCCAGATATCGTTCCCAGTAACAGAAAGAATCCTGGAAAGCAATCAAGTACTCAGACAAAGGCGGGAGCTACTTGATTAGCATGCTATAATTGTCTGGAGTAAAGGTAGTGAATACCCCACCGGCTGTCGTGACTTCTCCTCACTGTTAGTGTCTGTCAGTGTCGCAGCTACGTATCTCACCCCTTCTCGTTGCGCTTTGGTGCAGGGGCCCTCCATGTTGTTTTCCGTCCTTGCCAAATCGGGCTGGGTAGGCGGGCTGGTCGCCACAGTTGCTACAGCTGCAGCCGTCGTGTCGTGCCTTGGTGCCGCCCAGTGTTCTACGTTCCCATTCGCTGGCCGGTGGCTTAGATGCCTGGGGAATGATGCCAGGTGCAGCAGCTCCTGCATCGCATCCAAACACACATGCGTCGGCAGCAAGCAGCCAGTCAGCGAGTGTACCAGAAGGTGGATACGACTTTCCACCTAAGACTGCCCATTTCGTCGTTCTCCGATCCGCGCCTCGTGCCTCAATTCGCCCGTCATTCCGGACAGAACAAACGAGGTTGCTGTGTGTGTCGGCTACCGACCTTGGATAAAGCAGGCATATATGTACATTATATATTTACAATACACGGTAAGCGTTCTGCTGTATACGGAACCATCGGCGACCTGTTGGCCCAAGGCACGGGTGATCAGCTCGGTAGCTACATCCTTCATGCAAGATTTTGGCGGCGGCACACGGTCTGTCCATTGGCCATCTTACAGCTACCATAGCTAGCTAGGTACTCTGCTAGTGATTACCATGAGGGACCTGAGGGATGCCTGAGGCTAAAACACCTAGCAGTTTTTTTCTTGAAGTCGTTCCTTCAATGTGCTCTTGCGGTATGAGCTGCCTAAGGCCGAAAGCATTTTGGCTGAAACCTCCAGGATAGCCACAGGCATAGCACGTGATGCCAGTTGACCGGGCAAGAAGAAAGCGAACCAGAGCACATAACTTTCAAATCCGACGAGAAACGGGAAACCCCTGGCCAACAGCACTCGCCAGCGGCGCCAGATCAGCAACGCTTTATCTTTCGGATTGATGAACCAAATCGCCAGCTGGAATCTCTTTGGTCTTTTAGATGAAGCGTTACCCAGCTTATGAACTTTCTCTTTCCTTGATTCTGCTCAAACTCAACCTAGCCTATTACTGTGCTGGCGATTTCATTCTCCAGTCAACAATGTCAACCATGCATGTATTAAAATACAAGGTCTGCTGGGCCGACGATGTTTATTTTTCATACTCAACACAGCCTAGTGATGACGTAATACTCTCTATTGGTTGATTCTTTCGAAGACTTGGATCCAGCATCATGTACTTACTTCCTCTTGCCTCAACAGCCCTTCAAGGTATACGAGGTCAAGATATACGAGGTCGGTAACTTCTCTCTGGGCTTCTCTCACTCCCCACACTTGTCCTGCAAGTCGTCTATTTCAACTTTTCTGTCTCGATTCTCTGTCGACGGGCGCTCAGAGTTGTTATTCCCCACAGGACTGATTGAGCGGAATTCCCTCGTGCTACCACCGAACCTAGAAGTTTACAGTCTGACTGGTCTCGGTGTCCTCACACTGCGATGTTGGTTCGCTATGTTCCGAGACTTATTCAGCGTCATTCTATTTGGTAATTCAGGGAGTTGTTGTGTTTGTATCCACTTAAACCTTCCACATTTTATGCAAAGGCCTTCGAGTTGCTTTCTTTCGTCCCGTATGGTGGTATTCAAATGCTCTATGTATAAGATATCATTCAATCTAGATGCGAGAGCGCCCAAAACCACTTCAACCTTGGAAGAAGGGCATGCGCTAACCGCTCAAAAGCAATCGTTCCGGATAGCGCCAAATGAATGGCCATGTTTTAATGTCGGAGTATTATCCGCATGGCAAACTGGTGATGAAACTTTGCGACGAGGAAATTGCTACTTTGTCGTTTTCGTAGTACAAGAGTACGGGCATGGGGGCTGAGTATTGTGACGGGCTTCAACGGGTAGTCCTTCGGCTTCAGAAAAGGTTGAGGGGGGAGAAGGCGGTAAGTAGCGCCGATTGCCTCAGAGATGGCGACAATGTCTTATGCTTCCGTCAACTTGCCTTTTCATATCTCATTTGTCTTTTTTCAGCCGTTATCAAGTGGCCATTTACACCATCATTTGATCAACACCTTTGGAAATGTCACTATAATCAGAATGAATGCCTCAACTCGGTCGGGCCTGTTAACACACAAGAACGGAATGAATGATCTTGAATAAAGGTAATGCAGTTAAGTCATGGGTTGTCATGAAATGGGCGTGGGCGATAATGGAAATAAGCATCATCAGCTGATGAAGTGCTGCCATGTTTTTTCTTCACCCTGCCATGCTGACGATTATCTTGGTATCCATCTCACCTCTCTGAAATTAGATGCTCCTGCGTTCCGTATAACATTAGGTAACAGTCCTGTAACTCTTTCAAGTGCCACTGCCATTTAGTGGTCACCTAAAGCTCTAGCTCAGCAAACCCCCCCCCCCCCCCCCCTAAAGTGCCTACTTGCCTGTGGCACCCGACCATCTACCTACCTGGTAACCTAACACGACCAAACCACACTGAACAAGGCCCGACTCAGATGTGATGGTCAAATGCTTCCTGACTGACGGTGCTCGTTTCTTATCCGTTTTTAACGTGCTGCGCCGCCGCGTCGTACCTACCCAACCTGACGACGCTTCGCACATCGCACGAGGCACCTGGAGCTATTCGTTATTCCTTGCTATCCCTTTTTATTTCCTCGTCATTTCTTCACCTTCTGTCGTCCATTATTCCTTCTCTTCCACTCCCTTTCCACCCCACGCCCACAAACACGAATCATGAATGGGGACCTCAGTTTATCGAGGGCCCTCGGAGGATTACGAATAGCAAATCCAGACGATGCGTCTCCGAACAATCGCCAAAATGTCGACGCACCCGCTCATACCGATCAACAATACGATGCCCCTTTAGCACCCTTGAACGACCCCAGCGCCGTACAATCTACTTCCCCAAATGCCTCAAATCCTTCGCCTGAAGGTGTTCTGTCCTCAATATCTCACGGCCAGTCTCCCGAAGGGCTTCGCAACGCCCACCATGCCCCTCATGCCCAAGTCGAACCGCACCGAACAAGCCTCGGCACAGCCATGCGAGCAGATGCGTACCGGCAGCCCATACCTGACTGCTCAGATCCTGACAGAGCCCAAGGCAGTCGATCTTCGGCATCCCCGACAGCCCGTCCGATGTCCGGCATCTACGGCCACTCTCCCATGCCGTCTGATGATGGACGGGGACTGCACCACCAAGCTGTGCCACAGAACGAACGATCACGATCTTCAATGTATGGCATGCTTGCGAGGCAGAGTTCCGGCAATGGCTCGAGCTATCCGGGCTCCATACCTACGAGAGAGCCAAGCCACAAGGACAGTTCTGTAAATCCTGCTCGGCAATCACAGCTGCCTCCCGGCTCCGGGCCGCTACCACCACGAAGGAGTTCTAAAGGCATGGGCGCTAGCTATGTATCAGCCCATGCAGGCACCCCTTCTCAACGAGAGTCCTACGTTCCTGAGATGCCGTTACCCAACAGCAGCGAGGAGTGGAAGGATCGTGGTGCCGCCGTCGGAGTACGGAGGGAAACAGACGCGAACGGAAAGACGATTGTTCGACATGTCAAAAAGGGAGTTAGGGACTTCAGTTTCGGTCGAGTACTTGGCGAAGGCTCGTACAGTACGGTCTACTTAGCCACTGATCGACAGACGCTCAAAGAGTACGCCATCAAAGTCCTGGAAAAGAAGCATATCATCAAGGAAAAGAAGATAAAGTATGTCAACATCGAGAAGAACACCCTGAACCGCCTCACCGAACACCCAGGCATCGTGCGGCTCTACTACACATTCCAAGACGAAGCTTCGCTTTACTATGTCCTTGACCTATGCAACGGTGGCGAGCTGCTCGGGGTACTCAAGAAGACAGGCACCTTTGATGTAGAGTGTACACGGTTCTATGGCGCCCAAATTTTGGATGCAATTGACTATATGCACTCAAGGGGAGTCATTCATAGAGACCTCAAACCCGAAAACGTTCTTTTGGACGATCATATGCACGTTAAGATCACCGATTTTGGCACCGCAAAGTTGCTCAAAGACCCCAGAGAGACACAGAACTCTGGTGAAGGGGCAAGGGGGCTGCCGGAGAGCAGTCGCGGCGATGGAGAAGACGAAAGCCGTGCAGCTTCATTTGTAGGGACTGCCGAATACGTCAGCCCTGAACTTTTGACAAGCAAGAATGCTTGCAAGGCGAGTGACCTTTGGGCATTTGGTTGCATAATATACCAGTTACTAGCTGGTCGGCCACCCTTCAAAGCCGGAACGGAATATCTCACGTTCCAAAAAATTGTCAACCTAGAGTACGATTTTCCAGCCGGGTTTCCGCCTGCAGCTCAGGATCTAGTGGAAAGATGCTTGGTTTTAGACCCAGCGCGGCGACTTACGGCCGAACATATCCAGAACCACGAATTCTTTGACGGCCAGCAGTTTGGCAAAGGTCTTTGGAGAACCAAAGCTCCGCGGCTCAGGCCTTATAACCCTGCACCGCAGGAACCAGCTCTGATCCAGCTTAACAGCTCTACCGGCAGTCCCAACCCTGTTTCCACGAGAAATTCACAGCCACCGCCGCAAAGCTCAGCATTGAATGGGAGCTCCCGGCCCACCAGAATTATTACAGAACTACCCCCCCCAACTCAGCTGGACATCGAATGGTCGCCGGTCCTAACACGCAATAACGAAAGGATTCTTAAGTTGGGTGACTTGATGGTCGTTTCTAGTCCGTTACCCAACGGCTCTCATGGCAAGAGTGGTGAGCACGAAGGCCACAAAAAATTGTCACGATTTTTCGGCGGCAGCACGACAAAGAAGAGACAAAGGCTGGTTATGGTAACCTCTAGTGGTCGGATACTGCTAGCACCAGCTGGAGGAGACGAAAAGCGCGCAAAGCAAGAGATATCGCTGCTTTCGCCTGAATGTACATGGAGGACGCAGCTCGATGTGAAAGGACAAACCGTTTGGTGTGTCGATGCGGTAAGTGTCCTAGACAGAAAGTCTCGCCGCTCATCTAAAATCCGACAGGGCGGCGTCCACTATACGTTTGAGGAACCGAAGGGAAATTCCAGCTCCCCTGACAGTGGCTCAGCCGCCAACGATTGGATAGAATCTTTAGAGAGGGCCAAAGAATTGGCCGTTTCTCAAAATCTTGTCGGCGGTTACGTCAGCGATAATGGCTTTGCAGATATGTCATCGGCAGTGTCAAGTCCAGCAAGCACGTTAGGTGGACGAGGAGCCTATCCAGAGAGCTTCAGTGTCAGCGACCGGTCCGGCCGAAACCACCTTAGCAAAAGCCAGGCAAGCTTAGAAGACTCGTCTTCCACCAAGCGCAATCGATTCAGCAAACGACAGTCCAAAAATGGACTGGGAGCACAATTTTAGATGTTCAGAGACACTATGAGCATTTTCATGGGTGTCGAATGCTGGATGGACTTAGAGAAGAACCGACTCAGACATCTCGAACGGAAAGCAGGTGGGGGGACGGCTAATTAGGACATCGTAGTGCGAGGAACTGGAATTGAAAGTTGGCATTCGGCAGCGTGGCGTACCGTTGGCTATGCACCCTTCGATGAGTCGACCTCTTGTAAGAGGGTTTTGCGATTTCTTCGTTGGGTGGAACATTCATGAATCAAGGTCTTTCTTATTACCGGGAGTTCAAGTGTTTTAAGGGGAATCAATGAAGACAAAAAAGACAACTCTCTGGCTTAAAGAAATCACATGATGTAACCACTTTCCCGAACAGCACATACGTCTTCTGACGAGAAGACTCTTAATAGTTATCCTGGCTTGGGCCATGTCTCTGAAAGACTAAACCTGCAATTGACCTGTTTATAAGGAGTAGCGTCATTGGTAAATGAACTACATTATTCGTGGCCTGACAAGGGAAAGTGGGACTAATCGGGCCCACCGAATTCAGCCAATCGTTCCTCATGTTACAAAGGCAAGTGCCTCGCGTCAGTGCCTGTGCCGCCACCCATTTACTTTGCATCCGCGCCCTGAGGCGAGAAGCGACGCGACTTCTTTACCCAGCGAATTACTACATCGTCACGCTCAATTTTCCAATAGAAATACTTGCGGACTTGGACTTTTTGCGAGTCTCATCTAGAGCCATTGCCAAAATGCAGCCCCAATACCGTCAATATACAGCCCATGCTGGCGCGCCGCAAGTTCCCCAGCGGGCTCCACATGCCCCAAATCAACGGAGAGGCGGTATCGGTATGCCCGTTCTTTTCTTTAGCCGCTCAACCTGCCCCGTCATCCGCTCGATTCACCTGTCCTTTGCTCTACCCGAAGTTACCCGAGTTGTGACAAGGTCAAGTTCGCTGACGTCCAGCTTCAAGGGCCCATTATGCCCCCAGGTCATCACCAACAAACAGCGATGAATCAGGCCGCCATGGCGCAACATCATCCTTCAGGCCAAGCCCTTACGAGCGAGTTGGCTAAGCGACGTAGTCGAAAGCCTACCGATAAGACGCTGCCGGATGGTGTAGAGGACTGCATTATCGATGCCGAGGTTGCCCAAAGGTATAAGGGACTACGCGATTTCGAGCGTCGCCTGGATGCAACCATGACGCGAAAACGTCTGGACGTCGTCGAGGCTGTGGGTCGCAATGCAAAGGTTGGTCGCTGTCTTTAACTGACTGGTAATCCTTATTGCGCCTGGCACTGTTGCTAATAATTCTACCACATTAAGCGCTACAAAACTCTCCGTATCTGGATCAGCAATACTGTCGAAGATCAGGCATGGCAAGGAAGTGGGCTTAGCGTTGACAGTTTCGACTTTACACCCAGTGCTGAGCCTTCTTATCGCGTGAAGATCGAAGGCCGCCTGCTCGAGGATGGTGAAGATGAACCATCGGATGACCAGACCTTGTCTCGTGTCGACGGAGACAGCGGGCCTGGCTCAAGGCGGCAAAGTTCCGCAACCACGCCTCACAAATACCGACTGTCTCACTTTTTAAAGGCCCTCAACGTTGACTTCGATCGGAGTCGCTCACGAGCAGCATCGGATCAAACTGTTGAGTGGAAGAAGCAGCCTGCGCAGAACGCCGCGGCTGGCACAGACTTTGATGAATTTACTTTCAAGCGGAGTGGAGATGAGAACATGAACATCACCATCAATTTGCACAGACAGGAAGACCCCGAGCGCTATCTACTGAGTACCGAGCTGGCCGATATTGTAGACATGGCAGAGGCTTCCAGACAAGAAGCTGTGCTAGCTGTATGGGAGTATATCAAGATGATGGGCCTGCAAGAAGACGAAGAAAAGCGCAACTTCCGTTGCGATGAGCTTTTGAGAAAGGTATGTTGCCCTATTCCGATAAACTCTCGTTTTCTGCTGAGCTGACTGCTGTTTAGATTGTCAATGGTAACGAAGTCGGCATGATTCCCAACCTCAATGACTACATCCAGCCTCATCTCCGACCACAACCTCCTGTCAACTTACCTTACACGGTTCGAGTTGACGAAGAGTTTCATAAAGATCCTCAGCCCACTATATATGACGTTCGAGTCGCTGTTGATGACCCTCTGCGATCGAAGCTGCTACCATTCATGACAAATCCAGCATACGCTACCGCTCTTAAGGAGGTTGCCTTAATGGATGAGCAGTTAGCGACTGTGGTATCGGCAATTGCCAGTTCAAAAGCGAAGCATTCATTCTTCACCTCGTTGAGTCAAGATCCCACCAACTTTGTGAGGAACTGGATCAGCTCACAGAAGCGAGATCTGGAAGTGATCATGGGAGAGGCAACGAGGGGCGGCGGAGAGGATGCCACCGGTGACGATTGGAGACGTGGCGGAAAGGATAGTGTTTGGGCATCGTCCAATGCGCGTGAAAGTGTTAGTGTGATGCTGGCGAAACAGCCAACTCAGTCTTCTCGGTAGTAGACGTATGAGCAGTCTCACTTGGCTCCGTCTCTCATTGTAACATCTCGGTTTGGCCAAAGGAGTGAGGGTTCTTCCTAGGTGGGTAAGGACGGGAAATAGGAAGGGCGTCTAGGGTTGAGATAAGTTCATGATCGTGTGCTAACAGGGACATTTGGGCATTAATACCACGGTAACCAACCAGTTCAAAATTGTGACTGTTGCCGACAAAAAGCCCACAAATGTGACCGTATTTAGCTCGTCAAGGCAAGAAACAGTTTCCATTTGCACTTACACGTTAAAGTGGTCGACTGCGGCGCCGACGGCAACAACAACAACAATGATAATGAAGATGAAGATGAAGATTCCCTATTGAAATATCGAGACGCACCCTTGATGATGAAGTCAAGTCATTGACAGCATCGGATGGCAAGTAGATTGATCCTCCTATAGCTGGTACTTGTATAAAGGCATTAAAATATTCGTCGCCTGTGCTTTGTGGTCGCGTTCGGCAAGGACAACGGCTTGAAAAACTCTCTTGGTGCTTCCATGAGTGATTTCTGCACTCCTTCACTCTCATCGTTTCATCTTATTAGCATCGCTTGAGACGACAGCCTCAGAAATCCGGATTAGCTCGTCGTCGTCAAATGTCATCTGTCGCTACAGACCCCCAAATTGGACAACTTCCACCACATCCTTGAAACAAACTTGTACGAAGCCATCAATGGTGTCAGTTTTCTTCAGCTGTTGTGATCCACGCTCAATCGACAAACCAACCGCGATCCGTCCAGGCTCCAAACAAAAAATCTTCTCTTCCCACGGCAAAAACCGACCTAATTCTCAAGAAATGTGGTATTACGCTAGCACTATAACTCGAGATCAGCAATGTTGCGATGGTGGTACAACTCCTTTTGTGACAAGAAAATAAAATTAGGTGCTTGCATTGATACCCAAGCAGTACCAGTGGCATATTGCAATTAGTCGGCATAAAAAACAGCAAAAAAGGGGAGAGAGAGAGGAAGAAAAGGGGAGAACCAATCTTTGATTCTGCATGTAGCGAATCATACAGTAAAGGTAATATCAAGAATATTCAGTCTTGATCGCGGCTACAGTATTGACAGGATAGAACAGTACCGTACGAAATTATCTTCATATTAATGCCTGGATTGGGAATTTCTCGCCACAAACGCCAGACGCAAATGCATGTCCCATCGACACAACCACAACGCCACTTCGAACGAATAGGTATCCTGGCTCTGAATGGCCCATAAATAGCTCCCTGTGTGCGTACTCAGTCCAGGCTGTGCTCTACGTCAATAGTTGGCCATCGCTTTCCTCCTTGTAAATTAGCTGCCTCCAGGCACACCGTGCCTCTGAGGCTGTACTGGGTTCGGCGGCATGTTCCTGATCTGTTTGATCAGAAACTCCCTTTCATCAATGAATTGTTCGTCATCAGTGCGATCCTCCAGAAAATGAGACAAGAAAGTAAGCAGCTTTTCTCGGTTCATCAGTAAAATCTTCTGGACGGCAATAGACTTGTGTGGATTGGCGACAAAGACCTTGAAGACGTGGAAGCCCTCGTACTGAACCATTTTGCGATCATCCCTAAGGAGATTCATGCAGATCTTGAGATGCTCTCCACGGTCCACATAGGCGGTCATAACACTGTAGTTGGAGCGATCCAGCAAAATCTCGCCAAGTAGCTTGATGGACTGCCGTTTCGTAACATAACTGTTGGATTGCACAAGAGTGTTGTTGTATTTGTCGAAGAATAGGTCAAAGTTTACTGAAAGATACCGTGGTACCAACTCCTTGTGTTTCGTAAGTAGTTCCTGGTTGTAAGAGAGTGTGTTAGACAAAACCCAGTGAGCCGCGGGGCCGGGGAGGATGATTGCTCACCCTGAAGGTGGTGAAGGCGTCCGCTGCGACCTCAAAAGAACTCTTGTCAACCCAGTCGAAAAACCTCCAAAAGACACCGTTGCCGCTTTGCCGACGATCCTTATCGATCAAATTAAGACCCTTATTGCTGGAGCCAGATTCTTCGTTGTCGTCATATAATATAATGGCAGCAGCAGCCTCTGATTTCAAGACTTCTCGTAAGACAGATCCAGCAGGGGTTGCGCTTTCCTTGTGCTCGTACCCTCGGCAAAGTTCGAGGAGGACTTGTGGACGGTTGTTGACAACGTAGGATAATGCAAGTGGATCGCTTTTGGGCGAAGCAGTAGACGGGCGGAATCGGAAAACGTAGGAAAATATGACTTGCGTATCTTTACGAGATTCGAAGGGCAGGCGCCACAGGTTCACGGCAAGCAAGTACAGGAGGTCCTCCTCGATAAGGCCGGTGACAAGTTGGTATATCTGCTCTGGGCTACTATCAGCCTCTGAGTTGAAGTTAGTGGCTACGATTCGAGGCCCAAAGAGAAAGGGGGGGAGATACCCTGTGTGCCTTGAAGGATGAGCTTCATCTGACTCAGAACTTTAGCCAGTTCTTCAGCCTAAACAACAAAGACAGTTAGCGATCTAGGTAGTCATGAGCAAAGGTGAGGTCGAATTTGCAAACAACCTTTGCGGCGCCGTTTGGTCCTTCGAGTTTCGTTACGTGGTCCCTGGCCTGTTTGGGTAGATCAACAGCCGGCCTTGTCCTGGCCCTGCCGAAGAGAAAGGACATAACGGGCGAGATGGACGAGATGGAGAGTTCAAAATGGTTTGACAGTTGATGATTGGGAACTGCGGAATAGGGCCAAGAAGATTAATAGGAGCCAACCCCGCGAAGGGTAGAGCTAAATTCGGCTCGATTCGACTCGACGTAACAACTGAGGCTCGATGTGGTTCAGCAGGCCAAGCGTCAGGAGATTTGCCAGAGGCCGCTACGTAGGGAGCCTGCGTAGAAACGTGCTGGCATGTGCGGAGCTCAGCACCGCTCTGATGCACCGAGAGAGATGCAATTGTGCGGGATCGAGGATATCGTGAATCGTTATGGGGTTATCATGGAGAGGGGGAAGCGACGACGGTGTGGCGTTTGGTTGGGTCAGTTTGTTTTGCTGATGATCGGGACCTAGAAGCCAGAGTGGGCGTTGCTCAGAGACCTCCAGTCAAGGCTAGACTTCTATGACCGAGGAAAATAGTCACTGTCTGAAAGCAAATTATGGAAGGTACTACGTAGACCAGCGGCGGCGCTCCCTAAAAGAGTACCATTGGCACTGGATGTTCCTTACCTGGGTAACGGGCAACGGGCAAGGTACCAGGTCCCCTGCCCATGGTTGTGGGCATGCACCACCTGATGTAACCAACAACTGGCAGTTTGGTAAGGGTTGCTGGCGGTCAACACTTTCATGGGAAAAAGCAGTGACCACCCCTCTCCCATCAGAGCCTATCCTTTTAGCTTAGGTAAGGCATTGTACCTTACTGAGGGGGGGGGGGTAGTTAGGTTGCCCCGCGCCGCTCGACATAAGTCAATTGAAAAAACCCCACTGACTCACTTGCCCTCCAAAAAGACCCCGCCGCAAAGTGTCACACTCCTAAGAACTTGTGTGCCCTGCCTCCCCTTTGGTTTTGACTCACTTCATCCATTCTTCTGTTCTGCATCTTTTGTCTGCACCGCTGCGGCTTCTTCTAAGAATAAAGCCCGGTGCACCTTCGCAAAAGGCTGAGGCACAACGTCCTTGATCGTTCACCTATAACCCCAACAAAACGGACTCCTTCCCGCCGAAGACGGCGTATAAATCTTTTGATTGCTGCGCCACGACTTGTTGCGCTGCCACCGCGCCAGACATTGCTTCTGTCTAAGTTTCCGCCAAAATGTCTATCGATTTCCCAAAGGAGGAGGAGGAGGTCATCAAGAGATGGCGCGAGATCAAGGCCTTTGAGCGTCAAGTAAGCACACCCTCGGCGGATTTCCCGCCACTCGTGTATTTCGTATTACCTCGTCTCTGACTAACATACTTCCAATGTAGCTCGAGTTGACCCAGGGCAAGCCCCTCTACACTTTTTATGATGGTCCTCCCTTTGCCACCGGCCTTCCTCATTACGGCCACTTGTTGGCGTCCACCATCAAGGACATCATCCCCAGATATTGGTCTATGAAGGGCTTCCATGTTGAGAGACGCTTTGGGTGGGACACTCATGGCCTACCCATCGAACACGAGATTGACAAGAAGCTGGGCATATCTGGTAAAGCTGCGGTCATGAAGCTGGGCTTGGAGAAATACAATGCCGAATGTAGATCCATTGTCATGCGCTACCGCGAAGAATGGCGTCACACCATTGAGAGACTTGGCCGCTGGATTGATTTTGATAACGATTACAAGGCAAGCTTCCCATAACGCCCCCAATGTTCTGGCACTAGTTACGACGTGCAGGTGTTGCTAACATGATGGTCTAATTTATAGACCATGGATCCGACGTTCATGGAATCCGAATGGTGGGTTTTCAAGCAGCTATTCGACAAGGGGGCAGTCTATCAGGGTCATCGCGTCATGCCCTATTCCACTGCCTTGACCACAGCCTTGAGTAACTTCGAGGCCAACCAGAACTATCAGGATGTCACTGATCCTGCTATCGTCATCTCGTTCCCTCTCTGTGACGATCCCGAAACCCACTTGTTGGCTTGGACGACCACACCTTGGACATTGCCATCACATCTCGGCCTGGCTGCCAACCCTGACTTCGAATATATCAAAATACACGACGAAAAGACTGGAAAGAAGTACATCATTTTGGAGAAACTGCTCAGTACCCTGTACAAGGATCCCAAGAAGGCCAAGTACAAGGTCCTTGAGAAGATTCAGGGCAAAGACATGCTCGGCTGGCAGTATGAGCCCCCTTTCAACTATTTCTACGAAGATTACAAAGATGTTGCCTTCAAAGTGTTGAATGCTACCTATGTCACCGACGACAGCGGTACCGGTATCGTTCACCAGGCCCCAGCTTTCGGTGAGGATGATTACAATGTTGCTGTCGATGCCGGTATTGTTACCGAAAAGAGACCCCCCCCAGACCCAATTGATGATAGTGGGCACTTTACCTCGCGCATCTCTGACTTCGCGGGGATGCATGTCAAAGAGGCTGACAAGCACATTATCAAGCACCTTAAAGGCACGGGAAGAATTGTTGTTGACTCTTCGCTCAAGCATTCATACCCTATGTGCTATCGTTCGGATACCCCTCTCATTTACCGAGCCGTGCCTTCTTGGTTCGTTCGTATTCCCGAGATTATCCCTCAGATGCTTGAGAACATTAAAGGGTCTCACTGGGTGCCCTCCTTTGTCAAAGAACGCCGTTTTGCCAGTTGGATTGAAAACGCCCGCGACTGGAACGTATCGAGGAACAGATATTGGGGCACTCCGATCCCGCTGTGGGTGAGCGAGGATATGGAAGAGCGGGTCTGCATTGGCAGCGTGCAGGAATTGCGAGAGCTGAGCGGCTATACCGGGGACCTGTCTGATCTTCACCGTGATAACATTGATCACATTACGATCCCCAGTAAGCAGGGCAAGGGCACTCTGAGGCGAATCGAAGAAGTCTTCGATTGTTGGTTTGAATCCGGCAGCATGCCTTACGCCAGCCAGCATTACCCCTTCGAGAATGTCGACAAATTCAAGGCTGCTTTTCCAGGCGATTTCATTGCCGAAGGCCTTGACCAGACAAGGGGCTGGTTTTATACACTCCTGGTACTCGGAACCCATCTTTTTGGGAAGTCTCCTTTCCAGAACTGTGTCGTGAACGGCATTGTTCTGGCCGAGGACGGCAAAAAAATGTCAAAGCGTCTCAAAAACTATCCGCCGCCAGACCTGGTGATGGACAAGTATGGATCCGATGCCCTCCGTCTTTACCTCATCAATTCCCCCGTGGTTCGTGCCGAGCCTCTACGTTTTAAGGAGTCCGGAGTCAAGGAGGTTGTACAGAAGGTTCTATTGCCACTCTGGAACAGCTACAAGTTCTTCGAAGGTCAGGTATCTCTCCTCAAAAAGGTCGAGGGCATCGATTACGTTTGGAACCCCGAGGCCCAATCAAAGAACGATAACGTCATGGATCGGTGGATCCTGGCCAGTTGCCAGAGTCTTCTGCAATTCGTCAATGACGAAATGAAAGGTATGTGAGAAGGGCTCGGTACACGAATTTCAAGTTGTTGCTGACTTGATATCCTTTCGACAGCATACCGTCTGTACACTGTTGTTCCACGTCTTCTCGGTCTCATTGAGAACACGACAAACTGGTACATCAAGCTGAACAGGAGACGTCTCAAGGGCGAGAACGGTGTTGAAGACACCAAGCATGCTCTCAACACCCTGTTCGAAGTTCTCTTCACCTTATGCCGTGGCCTCGCTCCTTTCACACCCTTCATCACCGACACCATCTACCAGAAGCTAAGGCCTTTCATTCCGAAGGAGGCCGAGGCTCAGGACGCGCGTAGCGTTCACTTCTTACCCTTTCCTGATGTGCGCCAAGAGTTGTTCGACCAGGAGGTCGAACGCAGAGTGGGTAGAATGCAGAGAGTCATTGACTTGGTCCGAGTCTCGCGCGAGAGAAGGGCCATTGGGCTCAAGACGCCTTTGAAGACGCTTGTAGTGATACACCGCGACCCTCAGTACCTCCAGGACCTCGAGTCGCTCTCTTCATACATAAGGGAAGAGATGAACGTCAGAGATCTCATCCTCTCTTCTGATGAAACTAAGTACAATGTTCAATATAGCGTGACTGCGGATTGGCCGGTTCTTGGCAAGAAACTCAAGAAGGATATGGCGAGAGTGAAGAAAGCACTTCCTACACTCAGCAGCGACGCCGTCAAGGAATACTCAGAGAAGAAGGAGATTCTCGTGGACGGTATCCGATTAGAGGAGGGCGACCTAGTTGTGAGGCGCGGGTTGAGGGAGGATGAAGCATCCAAGAACTTGGAGCCAAACTCGGACAATGATGTGCTCACCATTCTGGATGCTGAGCTCTACGTGGATCTCGCGCATGAGGGTATTGCCCGAGAGATCATCAACCGTGTCCAGCGTTTGAGGAAGAAGGCCCAACTCCAACCAACGGACGACATCAAGATGGAGTACCGCGTTCTTAGCGACCCGGATAACATCGGCCTCGTGGAGGTATTTGAGACCCAATGCAAGGCTATCGAGAAGGCGTTACGCAGGCCGATGGACAAGCACGAGGTTACGCAGGTGGACGGAGAGATCCCCTCTGAGAAGCAAAAGGGAGTCATAGCGGAGGAGGAACAAGAAGTTCAACACGCGACATTCTTGCTTCGACTACTTGAGCTGTAAAGTCTGATGAGGCATGAGTAAGTCTACTTGAAACGCGCAATCATCCAGAGCCTGAAATTGCAGACAAATGTCTTTTTCGTGTAGCAATATATCTAGACTTTGAGCGAAATGATAGTAGAATTCTGAGAGGAGCACTGAACGTTTATGCAATCTTTGATATGACCTAATTTGTCCCACTGTAATGTTTATTTTCCTTTGCGAGCCGCTGCCTGCAATGCGCTTGGTGTTAATAATGTAATTGGAGTGTAAACAAGTTATTTTTAGGGGGATTACAAGATAACAATCTTTCAACCTTAGAAACTCCTTTAAACACTTGTCCTTGTGAACTGAGTTATAATCGGCGACAATGCATTTGCCATACAATGAGGTCTGTTGCACAACCCGCTGTCAATGCCAAGATCGTAGTTGAACCGAAGACCAGAGAAAGTGTCTGCGTCTGACAATGGGAACCAACCTCTGCTGAGCATTGAGACACTGCAACTGCAAACTTCTGAATGGGACGTATACGCGCCATGACGATAAAGTAAACCGGAGCAAAATGAAGAGTTTCAAGAAAGCGCAATGGATCTGATTGATGGAAGTGACAAGTTTATAAATTCGTGCGGCAAAGAGTGATGAGGTAAAGAAGCACAATACATTATAGAAACATCGAAGTGTATTCCGAAAGAGAGGTTATGCAATTATGCATTCAAGACATGGAGTCACAGTGCGGTGGTTGCTGTCCATGTCTCCGTATGTGTTTTTACACCGCCTATACCCACCAAATTGAACAGCGCTACACGGTACGCGATCACTTCACCACTACAGTGCATACAGCTACTGCTAGTAGTCCTTAACTCGATGACTGGCCAATCACAACACCGTCGCGTTCACAACGATCGTGCAGCCTGGCCAACTTAGTTCAACGCGAGGTCTCCACAGTGGTCAGCCTGCCCACCGCTTCGGTGCAACAAAACGGAGCGTAGAACGCGAGATAAACAGGACAGTCTGAAAAGACGGGAGGTCGGGATGCTCTAGCTTTCACAACCCACCCACCTGGCTACGAATAAGTTGCACACTCTTCTCTCACTTTGACAAGTTTGCCAGTTTGCTACCGCCATTGCCATTGAAGTATTGTTGCGCTCAATTGGTCTGTTGCTCAGCTGCATCTGTCTGCAAACCGCGCGATGGACGCGACAGGCTAGTTGTGTCGTTCAATTCTTGTCGCTAGTTTCAACAAGTCTTTACAGCGCGCCAAACTTGCCTGCAGCTCCTCATCTGCGAGAACTCGTCGCATCGCTCTTTTGTTCTGGCGAGGACTTCATTTGCTTCTTAGGCTTGTCGCAATTCGTGTATTTAATACACATGGCATACGGCTCTTACTGCGTTCTGCTTGACAACACCTCAACACCTGTTCCTAGTGTTCTGGCACTCTGGGTCGTGGTCGCGATCGCAACCATAGTTACTTAGTGACGGCCTCGCTGCTCCCCCACCACCATCGCCGCCCCTGCCGAGTTTGCCCTTTTATTATGCTCCCAGCACGCCGCCAGTTCACATGCCGTCGCTGCCGCATCGCCCAGCGCTGGCTCCTCGTGACGGCATATCCAGCTTTGTGTCGGTCCAAAGTTCAGACTCGTATTACAGCAACGAAGGTAAGCAGGCTCGTTTCCATTCTCTGCTTGACATACCTAGTTCTTCGAAAATAGATATGCCCCTCGTCGTGGTTTGTCTAACATGGTAGCCCAGAAATTGCTATTCTCCACGATGTCGTCGCAGCTGCCCAAGATAATTTGGACCTCCTCCCCGAGGGTGAGAGGCTGGCAACAAATGCCCTTTTCCAAGCCTACGACACCGTCCTCCCTAACTACGGTATCGATCCGGAGGAAGACCACCATATATCGCGTCTTGTCTTCCGGGTTGGTGGTGAGCGCGGCGATGGCTCGCTTCTGGATAAACTACGCAGCGTCTTGGAAAGGATGGGCATCGAGCTTGAATTCGACAGTCGCAGCGAGAGTTCAAGGCGGCTTTCATACCAGGAAGACGCACGAAACGATGATGCTGTTTCCCAGCCGTCTTCCCTACGCTCCATTGCCGGTCAAGGCTCTGCTGTCTCCGAAAGTGAGAACTCTCAATATATCCAGTCGCATCAGCAGGACGTTCTTAAGTCTCGATCTGTGTCAGCCGAGTCTGGATACCTCGATCATCATTCATCAAACTCAAAGTTGACATATGCAGCCTCGGGCCTGAGACACTTGGATCACAGGCCAGTCGGACCCCTGGAACACCCACCACCAAGCCACTCGCCGTCCACGGCTGGAATTACAGAGCAAAGCCGCCAAAGCCCGCGGTCTGGCGCTGGTTCGCACGAGCAACATAGGACGAATGACACCACTGTTCAGCCTGCTGGCCCTCCCGCTGTTCTCCATTCTGAAAAGAATAGGATTATTGCTTCTTTGCCTTCGGTTGAATCCAGACCTGTGCGAACGGTTAATTGGCTTTTACCAGATGATGCTAATGCTGAGCACTTTCCTAAGGGACATAACGCCCCCCTTACTGAGCATAAGACTCAAAACCAGCAGTCTCAGCAGGACCAGCAACAACTTGCAAATAAAATACAGCATTCTTCCGATGAAAAGACCGTTGATGACAGCGTCAACGGCCACAAGCAAGGTGTATCAACCAACGAGCAGCAGAATGTCGAAAACCATCGTCGTAGTGATGCCAACGTTGGGGAGCCTTTCATGCACAACGAACTACAGCAGCTGCAGCCACCAATATCGGCTGAACAACATCCTTCAAAGAGTGTCGAATCTGACCCGCAAAATGTACCTGATGGCGAAGAGCCGGAAGGAAATGCTGCGATGGAGGCGCAATATTCCGTGCTAAAACGTCGGGCGGCTAAGGCATCACGCTACCTGCAACTCCTCAGAGGTATATCACATTGGAAACAGTACGCAATTGAAAGACTTGAGCGAACTGCTGTAGCGAGGAGACATATTTTGCGGATGCGTCACTTTGACCCTTGGGAACTAGTCACAGCTGATACTAAGCTCAAGGGACGCCGCATCTTCGCCTTACGCATAGTGACTCTATGGCTTAAGCGGACCGACAATGTCATGGTGGATGGGCATCGAGCCTTGGTGAACACTCAACACCGCTTGACCAACAGTGCACTTGCTGCTTGGTTTACGTCCTGTCCCGCTTACACGGAAACTCTGAACCAACCTCGATTTCTAGCAGCCCAAATTCGCAGATGGCAGTTAAGCTCTTCCGTGTCCCAAGCTCTCTGCACTCATGCAAACGAGTTCGGTAAAAGATTCTTCATATCTCGGGTTTGCGGTTCCTGGCAGCAGCATGTGCTGGCTCATCACCGAGATATAGATACATTCCGGCGACTCAGGGTAGTCCAAGACTCCTTGAATCAATGGCAACTGGAAACGAAAGTTGAGCTTTTTAAGGCCCGGATGGGTTTCAGACTTATACGCGATGCACTGTCTAGATGGCATAGCACCTGTCGGTTCCCTCCTTCTTGTGGTCCACCCATAAGACATGGCCACAGACGATGCATCAACGATGCAGTCGATCAAACCCGGGCTCACTTGACAATCAGTATCGTTTCGCCCTTGATAATTTCACAGAAGATGCTTAGAACCAAAGTTCTGGATACTTGGCAACGACAAGCATCAGCATCAGCTAGGGCCAGCACAAGGTCGCGCCGTTTCGCCGCGCATCAAGGGGCACTAAAAGCGGTAAATTCTTGGTATCTCGGCGTTCATCAGAAGCAAAGCCTTTCTACATGGGCGCAGCGTGGCTTCTTTTACGTTCAAGTCACTGGGGCCTTAAGCACTTGGCGCTCAAAGGGAGTGTGGCGGTCTTCTACACGGAAGGCTTATGCACGATGCAGACAACATGTCAAAACTGCCTTTACGAAAGGATACCTAAATCAATGGAAGGCCTCCTCTCAACTCTACTCGACCATGGATTGGCAAGCAGCTAAGCGGTACAACATCATGAAGCAACATCGTTTGGTCTTTGTACTGGACGTGTGGCGGGACGAAAGCAACAATGACCGAGGCGCCTCCAGGCTTCTGACGGCTGCCTGGTTGGGAGAGTGGCAGGGCATGTCTCATGAGCTCGCTGGCATACACGGCCGCGCAAAAGAAGCTTGGAAAGAGAATTTGAAATCGCGTTACTGGGGCCAGTGGCAGTCCACTCTGCTGCGGCTCAAGAGCCGAGAGTACGTTGCCTCAGATGTCAAGGAACGAAACAAAAAGAAACTTGTGCGCCGGCTTCTCCTGTATTGGAAGGGAGATGGGGACCTAAGCGGATCGCAGCAGACCAATATCATGAGAGCGAGTCTTGGGAAGTCACGAAGGGACCTTGGATTGGGCGCAAATCTGAACTCCCTACAGCTGTCAAGGGCAGTGTATGAGCAGTCAGGCGCAACCTCCTTTAGGGATTCAAGGTTGGAAGAATTCGGACCAACAGTAGAAGAGGATGACCAGGACGGGGTAGGTTCTGGGGCTGATGTTGACGGAATTATTGTCAACACGCCGACACGGTGGACGGGCATGGCATCGTCAGTCAGGTTACCGTCGATGACACCGTTTGCCCCATTACCAACACCTTTTGAGCGAGAGCTCCGTGAGCGGTATAACAAGAGCATGCCGTTAGCACCAAGCGGTCAGTTAAGCAGGCTTTCATTTGCACAAGCGCAAAGACTTTCCGCGGCCGAGACGAATACTCGACTGACAAAAACAAAAGCAAAAACAGATACGGGGTCTTGGGTTGAGGGGAACAATAAAGCGCTAGCAACTGATGAGAGAGTGTAATGTCAGCTTAGAATAAAGAGATGCAAATAATGATATGATTTAGGTGATTTCAACTCTGTCTTTAGCAGGTGCTGGATAGTCTACTCCAGTTGAACAATTCGATTCAGACTGCCCAGCACGCGCATTCACGTACATTGATGTGTTGATGAAGTTGATCGGTCAATAGCTAGTGCTGTCTGTGATCGGGAATATAAATGCCGAGATATTAGTTGTTCTCTGCAACCTGGCGTCATCGTTCCATATCGTCTTATCTTATCGATCTTTGGGCGCAGTCGCTAGGCTAGTCCCACTGTGTAGCCCCCATGTTTACCCGTTATACTAGTGTAGGTATGCACGTAAACCAGGAGTCTGAGTTCCTGTTAGACAGCCGAACCACTATTCTCGTTTTACTTTTGAACTTCGCCTTATTGCCCAAGCTCCAGCGCCTCCTCGAAACGTACCACAACAACTCCTGAATTTAGAGGGCAGGCACAGCATTTTGTCGGTCGAAACAATCCCGCGCTAACTACGTCGAGAACGCCGATAAATATCACGACCTAGACACCTGAGCAATGCTTCTTCAATCCTAGTGCTGGTAGGATGAGAGCAGTCCTTCCAGGCAGGCCTAGGTCGGGGCTCCACGCTCTCGCGACAGGATTCTGGGATTCGAGACATTTCAATGTGAGCTTTTGGTGCCATAGATCTTTGCAGGTCTTATCTCAGGCGCTGACGGCTGATCCTCCAGGTCTACATAACGGGTAGCGCCTTTACTATTCTCGGCGACTCCAACACCATCATTCAGACCATCTACGATGACGACCCAAGTCATTTGCAGGCTGTTGCCTTTGACGAATCATCAGGCAAAATTGCCACTTGCACCGGCTCCCTAATTAGGATTTACAGACCATTTGGACAGTCGGAAGACGCTCTAAAGGTATGTCTATAAATCATCTGCTGTAAAGCTGCTCTGGGTCCTGTCTTATCTTATTGTGCTGTATGCTACCAAGCGAACAGCTGCTAAGTTGACGTGTCTGAACTAGTGGGGTCTTCAATCCTCATTCCCGATACCTGATTCTCGAGATGTCATCGACGATATCGCTCTAAGCTGGGGCGCTTCCGAAGAACTTCTTGTTGCGCATTCCACCCTTTCCATGTATTTGACAACCGACGAGCCAATACCGTTATGGGGCAAAGCCTTACCGAATCCTTCAAAGCTTGCAGAAATGTCATACGACTCGGCTTACATCGCATCGGTTGGCTTTCAGGACTGCCTCGTTAAAGTCTGGCGACGTTTGACATATGGGGCTGAAGAGGTACGTTTCGACTTGGCCTACTTACGGCATCCAGACGTTGTAACGGGCATTCGATGGCGGAAGCCTTATCATATTCAACAAACTGTCGACAATGTCCTCTATACTGTATGCGCTGACAACGTAGTCCGTGTTTGGACTGGATCTGATGCCCACACGCCCCAGCAGCTGAATTTATGGGGGACTGTTGACCTGAACTCCTCGTTCAGAGACCAGAGCCTCCAAAGCGAGATGTTCACAAACCCAGTTCTTGCTTTCATACTCGACGGTAGGGAAGTTTCTGCTGCTACGGAATTGGCTGTTCAGCGTGGCCCAGTTCAAACCAGAAATCACGATACCACCCTTGAACATCTGATTTCACTCGCAAATAAAAGTCCCGAGCTCTGTATCGCATCCAATGGCGCCGGGGACATGGTCGTTTTTGCTTTAGAGGACGTCGGGTCCAAGAATAGCAAAACCAGGACCATAAACGACGTAGCACACTTGAAGTCGCAGTACCTTGACTTCTGGCCCAAAAAGCATGCTGAAGTACAAAGCTATTGTGACCGTCGGACCGGGCGACTTCACATATTGATTCACGACTTTGATGGCGAGATTCAACTATACGAAACTGAGTTGGCAAATTTTCTTAGCCCATCCACAAGGGAAACCCGTCTCACTCGACATTGCACTTGGTCTGGTCATTCAGCACCCATCAAGAAGATGGTTCGCAATTTCAGTGGTCGTGCTGTGGTTTCTAGGACTGCTGAGGGCGAAAGCATTGTCTGGACCCATGCTGAGAACAGCAAGTCTAGCCTTTCAAGGCAGTGTGTAATTCCAGTGAACGGCCGCATTCACCGCATTTGTGTCCTACGAAAAGGTCGGTTCGTTGTGTTTTTAGAGCATAGGGCCATATCTCTATGGGACTGCTCGCACCAAAGGGCTGTTCTCTTAGAGCGTCAATCTTATGAGGTTTCTGGCAAACCTCTATGTTTGTTAATTCTTCCTCGACGGCGACTTGATGAGTATGCAGTGGCTCATATTGCTACCATTACCTCGGAGCAGGAAGGTCTTGTCTGGGAGATTAACCTTCCACACTACTCTCGTCAGGGAAATGAGGCTCAGCACAATGGTGGCGAAGACACGTCGATACGAGAGTTTTGCAGGTTTCAGCTAGAGGATGCACAGGGAATCGCGTATGTGTTGCCTGTTGATCCAGCAGGTTCCGCGCCTGTTACGTCGGGTTTTCTCGATGTCTTTGCTAGGGACATTGCCATTTCATACACCCACAACGGACGCGTAGATTTCTGGACAGCGCGTGTTGACCGTACAGAGGACCATGTGGGGTGGCTTTCGACATCATCAGCAGAAACCGGTCTGTCAGAGCCAGCTCTTGTGAGTGGCAGTACTCTCAAGAAAGCGGCGCTCGTCGACTCAACCAGATCTCAGCTATTCATATGGGACATTGGAGGTGCTCGACTCGAGTTCACACAAGACTATGGAACGAACAACACTATCCAAGACCTTGACTGGACATCGACACCAGATTCTCAATCTATATTAGCAGTCGGCTTCCAGTCTAAAGTTGTGCTGTTATGCCAAATGCGCTTCGATTATCTCAATAAGGGGCCGGCTTGGGCGGCTGTTCGGGAAATCAGCATTCGAGAATTGACGCCTCATCCAATTGGTGATTCTACCTGGCTGGGCGACGGACATCTGGTTATTGGGTCCGGTAACCAAATGTTCGTTCACGACAGGGAGTATGACTTGTCTAGCTCACTAGTGAAGAGTCTACAACTCCCGCACAAAAAAAATGGCGTCTGGGATTTGTTCGAAGCTGTGCAGCGATTTAATGGTCCGCTACCAGTCTTTCATCCACAATTCCTCAGTCAAAGCATCCTTGCGGGGAAGAACACAGTGGTCCGAAAAATACTCATATCATTGCACAAGACACTCAAATTCCACGTTGCAGGCGAAACTATCGACGATTATCTTGGACTTGATCCAGCATCATTTTATCAAGATGAGGTATGATTATGATTGTTTTTTGGTCATGGTGCTTGCCAATGTGAAATGCGAAACTCACTGATATGCCCGTAGATATCAGAAATGCCAGCATATGACTCCCAGTTGGGGAACCATTTCAATGTCCAGGCATCTGCCGATGAAGATGAGACCTTTACCGAGGACGTGGCTTATGCCATAAACGAACGGTTAACAAAAATTGGTCTTCAACAGCTTTCGGGACATGAGCAAATTCAACTGGCAGATATCATTGAATGCATCGGGCTTGTTGAGAAGCAACGCAGGTCGTTAGATGAGAATGGCGCGCGTTTTATGCTTTTCTTCCGTCAGCATGCACTTCGAAAGGGTCGAACAAGTGAGATACAAATGTCTTGGCGAGAGATTAACTGGGCCTACCACTCTACCAGCCAAGATGTTCTCATCGATTTTGTCACCAAGCAATGCCATGGAAGAGTTCGTTGGGAGGATGCAAGAGAAAGCGGCATGTTTATGTGGCTCAGCGATCACAATGCCTTGGTATGGCTCATCTGCATTCAGGGACTGTTACATGATCCACTGACAAAGGCTGCAGCTGGCACAATTCGAAAATGTTGCTCGCAATGAGTACACAAAGAGCGAGATAAAGAATCCCGTCGATTGTAGTCTTTATTACTTAGCTCTTAAGAAAAAGACGGTTCTCCAGGGACTTTGGCGCATGGCAAACTGGAATAAGGAACAAGGTGCAACACAGCGATTGCTGGCCAACAACTTTGATGACCCTAAGTGGCGGACAACGGCACTCAAAAACGCATATGCTCTGCTAAGCAAACGTCGATTCGGTAAGAAAGAGGATAAATATACTTTGAGTGCAGATCTTGATGCTAACAATATGCATAATAGAATATGCAGCTGCGTTCTTTCTGCTCGCAAATCACTTGCAGGATGCTGTCAACGTCTGCTTGAACCAGCTGAAAGACCTTCAGCTCGCAGTGGCCATCGCGCGTGTCTACGAGGGCGATCAAGGCCCAGTCATGCGGAAGCTCTTAGAAGAAGAGGTGCTCGCAGTAGCAGCCAAAGAAGGAAATCGTTGGCTTGCATCATGGGCTTTCTGGATGTTAAATCGCAAAGATATGGCAGTAAGAGCCTTAATAGTAAGTGTCTTTCTTCTGGTGTTGGGGGTGCTGTTGAACGTATTCTAACTCCGCATCTACCTGCAGTCGCCAGTATACACGTTGATTGAAACGCCTTGTGCTCCTGACATGAGATCCAAACTATTCCTTACAGATGACCCGGCGCTCGTGGTGCTCTACTCGCAACTGCGACAAAAAACCCTGCAGACTCTCCGTGGAGCCTCAAAAGTCACTCCTCGCGTCGAGTGGGAGTTTGTGCTTCATAGTGCAAAGCTGTATGACCGAATGGGATGTGACTTACTCGGCCTAGACCTAGGTATGTTTAACGTGGTACACGTGACTACGATAACTGTGCTAACATTTTTCAAGTTCGGAACTGGGAATTTTTGAAACCGGCATTGAATACAGCAAATGAGTTTGGCGGCGAGATCAATCCATTGAAATTGTTGCGACGCCGTAGCTCGCTTGTAGTTGCAGACCTGCCTATTTCAAACCTTCACGTTGAAATGAGGTCGGGAGGGAGCAAGAGGAAAGATTCGGCGCCGCCAACTATATTCCAAGAGCCTGACTCAAGCTCGCTGCTCGACAGCTTTGGGTTCTGATCAGCTTCAGGGCCTCGTTGTTGTCTGTTCGGTTGGGTTCGTGTTTCAAGCTTCCTTTGTCTTGCCCCATATTGCTTAGTCATGGTCTCGGACATGACAGTTTAGTCCTAAAATGAGACAGAGAAGGCTCTGGATGGGCTACCATGTATGAATAAGAACCTAGCTGTCTGTGGTGTGCTATTTGTTGGCAATGAGCTAAGTTGTAAGGAAAGTGATGATGAATAGCCAGAGACGACGGCGTGCAAAATTACTTGGGATAGGTGGTGTGCTTAGTAATTACATCTTCTGTGGCTAGCGACAGTCGCACATCATTGGCTTGTTGACAGGCGGCCAGACTAGCGCTGTGGGTACACATAGGATGTGGGGATGACCTACTCTCAAGTTGCAACGTGAGCTGTGCCAGCGGCGGGCAAACGTGGACATTGAGTCTAAGAAACAGTAAACCTATTTCGAATACGAACCTTCCATGCTCAGCTCGGCCCTAATGTGCAAATGAGTTTGGACGCATTTCGCCTTGCTTGGATGAACCTTTAGCCCCTGTCGCGGCCTTTTATCCGTCCAAAGTCAGGTCTTCGGGGTCCCACGGAAGCGGAGTCTGCTCGTCTCCTCCAGCCTGTGTGAGCTGAGCTTCGATATCAAGATTGTCAGCACGTCATCAATAATCTTATCGTGATCTCTACCTTCTCCATAGGCATTCATCAACTCTCTCAACACCAATCAACTTCCCACCATCAAGCCGCCTTTAGTCAACCAAGGGAAATTTCGCTTTACCATGGCTCCTGATCGGGGTTTTCACGACAACGACCTTGCTGTGCAGATTGGAGCAGCGCATGCCCGTGGCACCAACCGCGAGGATACTCCTGAGCAAAAGCTGATGATACCTGGCCGCAGCTTCACTCTTCGCGGTCTCTTTGTTGGCCTTTTGGTCGGCCTGGTAATCTGTTTCTCAAACATGTACTTTGGCCTGCAGACGGGTTGGGTGAGTACTATGACTATGCCCGCCAGTTTGATGGGGTTCGGCATTTTCAAGGCACTCGCCCGTCATCTAAAATTTCCCTTTAGTCCTGTTGAAAATGTCCTCGTGCAGACTGTTGCTGGGAGTATGGCTATAATGCCGCTTGGATGCGGCTTTGTCGGTGTAGTACGTTCACCCGCTCCCACATACTGGCCTTTGCGTGTTCATCAAATCTTAAAAACCTCCTACTTATCAGGTCGACTTAACATGACTGACTATCAAGACAGATTCCTGCGATGAACTACCTGCTCACTTCTGAAGAGCAAGGCCCACTTCACATCAGCCTCTGGAAGCTAGTCGTTTGGTCCTTGGGTCTCTGTTACTTTGGTGTTGTATTCGCAGTTCCTCTGTAAGATAACCATTAGGAGATCCCAGATTAACGTCTGGTAGAGGACTTCCGGTGACCAGCTAACTATGACTAGGCGGAGACAAGTAATCATACGTGAGAGGCTGCGCTTTCCTAGTGGCTTCAGTACTGCCGTGCTCATCGGCGTGCTGCATGGACAGACTCGAAAATCTGGCCCCGGGGGGTCGAGCGATACCGTATCTGGTGGATTCGCGAGTCTGGTACCACGTGGCGATTTGTCGCCTGAAGCAACTCTTAACTCTGGCTACAATGCGAACAGCAATACCGAAAACTCCAGCCTAGAAGACCCGGAGAGTGGGACACAGAAGGAATGGGCCGAGAACACGAGGCTATTGCTGATATGCTTCGGAATGTCTGGCTTCTACACACTGTGTTCCTACTTTTTGCCGTCCCTTCGCAACATCCCCATTTTCGGAACCACCGCTGCCCGGATCTGGCTATGGACTCTTAACCCAAGCCCGGCGTACGTTGGCCAAGGGATCATCATGGGGCCCGAGACGACTCTGCATATGCTTTTGGGTGCAGTCGTAGGCTGGGGTATCCTTTCTCCTCTGGCTAAGTTCCAGGGCTGGGCACCTGGCTCCATCGATGACTGGGAGACGGGAAGCAAGGGCTGGATCGTTTGGGTCTCACTTGCTATCATGCTTGCTGATGCTATCGTAAGCCTTGGGCATATTGCATTTCGACCACTTATTCACCGGCTAGGCACTTCTGAGGCCAAAATGCTTTGGCAGCAAACGCTACATATGCTGCACCATCTCTTAGGAGCCCCGAATCACTCCATGCGAGGTTACTCGGCTTTAACCACTGAAGAGCACACAGAACCGACCGTTACTTCACATCTCCTACCTGGACAAGAGCGAAACTCGGTTGAACGATTGACTGCTTCAACCCCGACCAATGAGAGCCCAACTGAGAATGAGGTGGACGCCCCTGCGGACCAACAAATCAGCAATAGAGTTGTATCGCTAGGCCTCATCTTATCTATTATCCTTTGTATTACGACGATCCATATCGTCTTTGGCGACCTTGTTCCCCTTTACGCGACCATTGTCGCTGTTCTGATGGCACTTCTTCTTAGCATTATGGGAGTACGGGCGCTTGGCGAGACCGACCTGAACCCCGTGTCCGGAATTAGCAAACTTGCACAGCTCTTCTTCGCTCTGATCATCCCGCAGTCGAACAAATCAAGTGTTTTGATTAATTTAGTTGCGGGAGCTGTGGTAAGTTTCTCAGCTGGCCAGTGCTTCATTGACCTTGAATTTGCGAAAGCTAACCTTTCTCGTTGGTATCTAGTCTGAAGCAGTACGTTCAGTGTGCCCAATCACGCAAACAGATTCACTGCCTTCGATTGCGTACTAATGAACTCTCAGGGTGCTCTGCAAGCTGGTGACCTCATGCAGGACCTGAAGACTGGCCATCTTCTTGGAGCCGCACCTAATGCTCAATTCTGGGGTCAGGTGATTGGTGCGACGGCTGGTGCTATTGTGAGCGCTTTTGTGTACAAATTGTATACAGCGTGAGTTCGCCTGCTTGCTCTTCGTTGTCACGTTGCTGGTATGTCCCTGGTAGTTGCTAACAAAGTATGATCTCCTAGCGTCTACACCATTCCTGGCGACCTGTTCCAAGTTCCAACGGGATACGTCTGGATTTTTACGGCTAGGCTCGTTACAGGCAAGGGGCTGCCGCCCATGGCAAAGGAGTGGGCGTTCGGCTTTGGTGTCATATTTGCCATTATGACCATCGTTAGGATTACGACGAATGGAAAGCCATGGCGGTCTCTAGTACCGGGAGGAATTGCTGTGGCCGTTGGTAAGTGCTTTTTTGAACCAAAAATTTCAGTTGTTGGCAGTGGCGAGTCGAGACTAAAAGCACATAGGGATGTACAATGTTCCGTCCTTCACGCTGGCCCGGACTATAGGTGGCCTATTGAGTTGGATTTGGATTTCTCGACGACGCCAGTCAAGTACGCCGTTGATTGTACTCGCATCGGTGGGTCACCCCGGTCTCCCTCTAGGGACCCTTTGATATAAATTAAATGAGCCTTCCCTTTTCTATCGTAAGATGATGACTAACACTGAATGTTTTCCTGCTCAGGGCTTTATTCTCGGAGAGGGATTCATTAGCATAGTCAATCTTGTGCTGCAAAGTCTTGGGGTGCCACACTACTGAATTGTATAACACTCAATACGTTGGAAAGGCTTATGTGAAGAAAGAGGTTGATCGTGTTTTATCAAGTGATATGTTGGGCATGTCTCACGGGCATTATAGTGGCATCGGTCGCTTGGTAAATGAAGAAAATTCTGCAACACAACAGATGAAAACAAACTTGGCGAGCCTGGTACTTTGGTTAGCTATGTCGTATGTTTGGTCAACTGAAAGCCAAGAAATGAAATACGTTGGAATATCAACCGCTTGGGGGGCAATGAAGTGGTGATTAAAGAACTGAAATATAAATACAATCACCATTAGCGCATGACTCGCAAAGAGTTATAGCCAAGTACCCAACTGTTATCGCTGCAAGAATGGATGCTGGGAACACGGAGTCAGGCCAGTTGATCTTGCTAGTCGGCCGGAGAAAGACCGGCGGCGCACGACGGGCCAACCAGGCGGCACACCCATCCTAGATTTGATCTGCGCACAAAAACGGAAATCGCGTGTGGTTGCCCACGCGCCCCAGCAAGGTCCCACAGCTGAGGCAGGAGAAAATATCCGTCACTCGAGTTGGGTGGCATTGACTTCTGCGAGTGATAATTGCAGCAAACCGTCCAAAAATGCAGTTCGGTGCAAACACGAGCGATTAGGAATAAGACGCAAACAAAGGTGGTATTTTAGGACAGAGAAGTCTCAGGGTAAAGAACCACAAAAAAGTAGAGAAGAAGAAAAAAGGGAAAAGAACACAACCCCCAAAAGAAACACAAGCACAACTCAATCGCCACCATGGCCGACGACGCACTCAACAAGAAGAGCATCATTGACTCTGACGTCTCATCGGACGAGTCCGATTGGGAAGACGCCGAGGTCGAGGAAGAAGAGACATTGACTTTTATCTCACTCCTTGATGACTCGGTCTTCACCAGCCACGCTGCCATGCTACAGCACTGCCGGGAGAAACATAATTTCGACCTCCTGGGTGTCCGTCGCCGTCTCGGTCTCGACTTCTTTGGGACCGTCAAACTTGTCAACTTTGGTGAGATGCCTATTTCCTTCCTCCCTTCATTCGTGAATGTGAGAGTGAGGCTTCTCCAACGCTAACACTGTTGCTGCAGTTCGCCAATGCACCCATGATGGCACTGGGTTGCCCCAGAACATCTCCGCTGACGACATTTCTGATGACCGCTTTCTCAAACCTGTCATCGAGGACGATGCCCTCATCATGGCTCTCACAGAATTGGACCTTGACTCGGAACCCATTGAGAGTGCGCAAGTGGCACCTCATTCGGCCTCCAATCGCGAGGCTTTTCTCGAAGAGGAGTTGAAGAGGGTTCAGGACCAGTATGCCAGTTATCGTCTCGCTGTTGAGCAAACTTTGGACAGGCGTTGGGGAGATGACGCTCCAAGCACCTCTAGTGCTCGCAGCGAGAAGCCAGGCGAGAAGGAAGCTCGAAAGGATGAGTCTCAATACTACTGGGAGTCGTATGCTGGCAATGGTAAATCCTTCACTCGCAACTCCCAGAAGACATGGTTGTGACGTGACACATGGTCCTCTAACAATTCTATCAGACATTCACGAGACCATGCTGAAAGATGCCATTCGGACGGATGCCTACCGTGACTTTGTCTATGGCAATAAGCACCTGTTCAAAGACAAGACTGTTCTTGACATCGGCTGCGGAACTGGTAAGCACACAATCAACAGCGCTACTTTCTAAGATGCGCGTTCGTTGTTCTAATCTTAATGAAATGGCGCGCAATAGGTATTTTGAGTATGTTCTGTGCCAAGGCCGGTGCTGCCAAGGTCTATGCAGTGGATAAGTCGGACATTATCGACAAGGCCCGGGAAAATGTGTTCCACAACGGACTTGCCGACAAAATCACCTGCATAAGAGGAAGAATTGAAGAGATCGATCTTCCAGTAGACCAGGTCGACATTATAATCAGTGAGTGGATGGGGTACTGCCTTCTCTATGAAGCGATGCTTCCTAGCGTTCTTTGGGCCAGAGACCGTTATCTGAAGCCTAGTGGGCTTCTCGTCCCGAGCGTTTCGACCATCTGGGTAGCTCCTGTCTCAGACCCCGAGTATGTCACCGACAATATTACTTTCTGGGATGACGTGTACGGCTTCGATATGAAGTCGATGAAGGCTGGTATCTACGACGAGGCCCGGATTGAGGTTATGCCCGAGGATGTCGTTTGTGGCTCACCTGCCCAAATCGCGTTGCATGACCTACATACGGTCAAGGCCCAGGACCTCGATTTCGAAGCCCCGTGGAAGTCAACTCTGTTTAAGGATATACCTTCGCTTGATGGATTCTTGATTTGGTTTGACATTTTCTTCACCACTTCACGGAGCAACACGATCCCAGCGGACTTGCAGGTGAAGCCTGGTGGGAACAGCGTGAGCAAGCCTGGTGAGGTGGCCTTTACCACCGGTCCATTTGGGCCTGCCACTCACTGGAAGCAAGGTTTCTTGATGAGCAAGCATCTCGAAGAGAACGTCGGAGTCAAGGCTGATTCTGAGATATCTGGCCGGATTGTTTTCAAAGCGCCCGAGAACAACCCGCGCGCGCTTACGATCAGCAACACATGGACTACGACGGGCCAGGGTGTGAAAAAGCAATTATGGAAGTTGCGATAAATGCCGTGCTTTGTCAGACAGTATCTTCGCCTGTGTAGGTCAGCAGAGGCTCCAATTCCTTGCCCTTCAAGTAGCATTAGGCAGGCCGACATCAAGCCACGGGGAGCGGGTTATGACGAGTTTTCTGCACGTGGAATGTTGGCATGGATACAGGTGTCGATTTGCTACCTTGGTAGGACGCAAAACTATAGCTAGCTAGCTGGGTGACGGCATCAGAAGACCATATATGAGAAGTCAGGCGTGTTCTGTGCACTGAGGCCAACTGCATTAGCGTCCCATAAGAAGCCAAGTAGGCTGAACGCAGCCAAGTAGAAGACAACAAAACACACTCCCTGATGGTTGTCATACACAATTGGACTCACTGAAAACCTCGAAGAGAGACACGTCATCACTCCTTTCTATTTATCCTTATATGGGTATTGCTAGTAAGTCGCAGGGGCTTACCAATGTAGGCCTAAAGTCAACTGATATCGAGAGGGGCTGTTATTTAATGCTTTTCACATCTTCACTCCTCGCGTCTTCGTTGTCGTCCTCGTTTTCCGCGTCACTATTCTCTTCATAATCTTCACCATCTGAAACCTCCTCCCCGAGTGCCTTGAGTTGAGCCTGGTAGTGCATGCAGCATTAGCGTCCAGATTGGATGATATTGTATCGGATCACATACCTTATATTTAGCGACCTTTTCTTCCAAGTCACCGAACACCATGAGCAGATCATCTAGCTCGTTTTGCGTTGTCGTTCTATCTTGCTCGGCCTTTTTCGCAATTATATCACTCTACAGCAACGTACGTCAATATAAAGACAGAAGTGTGTCCAAGTTTGAGGAGGGTCTACCAACCTGAGCTACCTTCTCCTGCGTCTTCTGGAGATCGTGTTCCAACTGCCTGACCCGTGATTCTGCCTTTTCAGTAGAACTTGCTTGCTCCTGTAATTTCTTGTCCATTTGATCTTGAATCGTTTGGATTTCTTGCGCTTTGGTTTTCTTGGCCTGTTCCATAGTTAAATGTCGTGCTTATCTGTAACCTCATCTGACCCAACTCACCTTCATTAGATCAACCTCAAGCCGACTAATGGTGGCTTTTAGGTCAGCCATATCAGCTTCCGCCCGGTGACGAATGCGATCAGCATCTGACTCTGCAGCCTTCCGGGCTTGGTCTAGCTGCTTGCGGTGCTCTTCGGCCTGGCTCGCAGCTTGGGCCTCGGCCCTTTGCTGGATCTGGCCCATTTGTAACGTATGCTCCTGCTGAATGGTGGCATGCTTTTGCTCAAGGGCTGCCATCTGACTACTCGTCTGTCTTTGGAATTCTGCGAATTCTTTCCTGTGCTTTTCCTCGAGAGCAGCAACTTGGCTTTCCGTTTTTCGTCGAGTCTGTTCCATTTCTTTTTGATGTTCCTCTTGTAGTGACATGATTTTATGTTGCATGTTCCTAACCAAGGCCATTAGCAAAGCCTTGCACAGGAGCTCCAAAAAATGCAACTCACCGTAACTCTGCGTCATGCTGCCTCTGGAGCCCTTCATTTACCTGTTTGATCCTCGCCAATTCCAAAGCAGACATCTCCCGACTTCGTCTGTGATCTGCTTGTTCTTGGCTGATCTGCCGCCCGATGGTTTCCATACTGATTTGTGCTTCCTGTAACGCCCGTTCTTTCTCCGCTAACTGACTGCGAAGCGAATCAACTAGTTCTCTTGAGACACCCTTCTGGACTCCGTTAGAAACAACAGAAATCTCTAGCCCTGGATCGCGGTCTATGCTACGGAGAACACGGCTGTAATTATCCTTAAAAAAGTCGACAAACGTGGCATCAAAGTATACGTCGGGCAATTTGCCAGACAACGAGCTACTCAACTTCTGAGGAATAACTTCAAAATCTCTCACCAGCGGGTTGCTTCTCAGTTTCGACAATTTGTCCATGTATCGTTCACGTCCCATTCGCGACAATAAAATGGAATGGAGATCAGTTCGCGAAATTGGGGAGTCCTTGGTCGAAAATTCGTAAAGAACGCCAAGGAGCATGGCGCAGAGCCCTTGGACGATATCCCCTGAGGGATAAGGATGATTGACTGCCTGTATGAGGCTTTGGGTGTTGCTTCCCTCGCCAAGGAAGTCATTGACTGCATCCAGATCTTCGAATAGCCAACCAAGAAGCAGCATCATGTAGCTGACTACCACACGAATGTCCTCTTCACGGTTCAGTCCCGATATCAGGTGGGCAGCGATAATCTGAATGCTGGTAACAACTTCCTCGCCGCTCTCTGCATCACCCTCTGTGACAGTCATGGCAAGGCTTTTAGCTTCCGGGTTGTCAAAGATAAGATGAAACATGATAGTGGCAGCAAACCAAATGCGGTAAGGGTTGGTGACGGCAGCGTCTGGTGATGGCCTCAAAAGCACTGTAAGCACATTGGCCGTTTCGTCGCCACCGGTTTTATGCCCTTCGATGGCTCTTCTGAGAAAATGAAGTCGAATGTCTGCGTGATTGTAGAAGTATGCCTTCAGACAGTCAGATGCTGCCAACCGCAAGTCGAACGCTTCCAAATCCTGCACACTGAGCGTAAGGTCTAACAGACCATCAATCACATATATTTTGACGACTCCATTCTGTTGCCCAGGGCCGCGTTCTGCGTGAGACTCGAGGGGCGAAGGGACTTGGAGCTGGGCGAAGCCCTCCTGAAGGTTAGGGTTGCCTTTGATAATGTCGGCGCAGGTTACAAGAGCCTGCGGGTACGAAGTAATTTAACACCATAGTACAAGCAATGTAATTGACGGGAAACAACCAACCTCGGCTTTGATTGGAAGCTGGGCTACAAGGCTGAAGGCGAGTTGGAGGGCATTGTACAACAAGCCGTGCTGCCAAAAGGCAAGCTGATTCTGCGACGTTCCTACAGCCCCGGCCACTAGAAACAGGCGCACGACGGCTAGAAGGGCATAAATGTTCCGGTTGCGTTGGGTTTGCGCCCAAGCAGCAATCTCTGCGTCCTCCCGCTGGGCCTTCTCCGCACCTTCTAGCAACACGGCCAACCGACGGATTCCACCCGACTCGCGGAACAGAGACTGGTTAGACGGATTTCTCCTGAGCAGGTTTGCGACTAAAATAAGACAGTCTTCCACAACACGGTCGCCTTCGGACAAGGAACCCTCTGAGATAATGATGTTAAAAAGCCGATCGAAGGCGTTCTCGAAAGCGACCAGCTTCTGGATATCAGCCGAAGAAGGGGTTAGATAAGTAAGAAGTGTGATAGCCTCATTCCTGATGGCTTCGCGGCTGTCGTCTAGAACAGCTACTAGACGAGATATGCCCAATGGAGCCGTGAAGACGCACTCCTCAGTTCGTTCGGTGCGAGCAGAAAGAATTGCGGCGAGAAGTTGTAGGGAGTAGAGTCGGGAATAGAAATCCGTCGAGTCTAAGAAGTCCAGCAGCAGTGTAATATTCTCCTGACGCTGGGTAAATTCGTCAGCCAGCCACAAAGCGATTTCTTCGGAAGCCTCTGGGCTATCTTCATTAGGACTGAAGAGCATTAGCAAGGTCTCAAGGACCACCTTAACGGTGTCGACATCTTCAGCATCCTTGCTTAGGCTGCCTATCAGGCTACGTAGTGCCCCGGAGGCGACGGAGGCAGGAAAGTCTTTGGCAAAGCTGCGCAAACCAAGTATTGCTGCACGACGATCTTCGAGGAGGGTCGCCGAGCTCAGACGGCCGCTCAGGACTGTGATGGTCTCGCCGACCGACTGCTTCGCTGGAGCAGTGGAAATAGAAAACATGCTGGTTCGTCATGCGCCGGCCATTGGTGTTTGCAGTGATGCCATGGACAAGACAAACTTAAAGAAAGGCGCAGTGGTAGTGACAGTTGGAGAGCTGGGTGTATTATAGAATCAAGAGGTAACCGTCTCTGGAGAAAGCTTCAGGTTGTGTCGTATCACTCGCGTGTTAATCAAACAGTGAAGTGGAAAGGTGTACTTTGAGCGGAGCAATCTGTGCAACAACCAAAAATATTATGCATGCATAACGTGTTTTTAGTTGGTTTCGAGAATTTCTGGTTGAGGCAGGGGTGAGTTTTCAGCGAACTTTCAATTGCCTTTGCATCCACCATATTAACCCTCTGTGCTGCGCCTACTCACACAGTGTTAATTACTGGCAACTAAAACTGCCCTCTCAATGCTAGCAGATTGGTGCTAAAATAATGCTCAAACTATCTGTATTGTTGACATGAGACAGTGCGTGTCCGCTCCTGGAGTGTTTAGTGGGGACTACTGGCCGGCAATGCAGAACCTGTGGAATTGGACCTGTGCAGGATTGATAGTTTATTCGAATTTCTGCATCTACATCTCGACGTTGTCCAAATCCCTACCTTGAGCAGATCACCCTTGCGATTGTTTTTCAGCATCGCGGGTCATAAATCATTCAGTTTATTACAAAGGTGTCGAAAGCTAGGCACGCCTGTGCCGAGACAGCTTTAAATTCTCCGTCCGGCATCTCATCGCATTGGCCCTGCTGGACTCAAACCTTACCTCATCTGTCTCTTGATCATTCTGTATCGCGGCTGTGAAGGTGCACGCGATTGCAACCGTCATACCAGTTTGTTCAGCACATTCTCGACTTGAACAATACCGACCCAGAGAACTCTCAATATCCATGCTCCAGACGCCTCCCACTTTACTGTTTCCTGCGACACAAAGAGCTTTCTGCTCTATTCGCTCTCTACGCTCCATCGCCAACCTACACTCTTCATCTTCAGCCTATTTACCATCAATTTCGAGACAAAATGGGTATTCCTGCGGCTTTCCGATGGCTTTCCAACAAGTACCCTAAGATTATCTCACCGGTAATCGAGGAACAGCCTGTCAAGATGGAGGATGGATCTACCATACCAGTCGATACCACCGGACCTAATCCTAATGGCGAAGAGCTCGACAATCTTTACCTCGATATGAACGGTATCGTCCATCCTTGCTCTCACCCTGAGGATCGTCCAGCTCCTAAGGATGAGGAGGAGATGATGCTTGAGGTATTCAAGTATACCGATCGTGTTGTTAATATGGTCCGGCCGCGGAAGCTTCTCATGATTGCTGTCGGTTAGTTCTTCCTTTCCTCCTGCATAGGAACCTTTCTCCACTCCATTCAGTTCTTTGCTTAACACAACATTCAGATGGCGTTGCGCCCCGTGCCAAAATGAACCAACAGCGTTCCCGACGATTTCGATCCGCTCAAGAAGCCCAGCAAAAAGAGGAGGATAAGCAAGAGCTTCTAAAGCTTCTTAAGCAGCAAAGCAACGACGTCACGTCTGACAACACTCTGGAAACTGTGACCAAAAAGGCGTTTGATTCCAACTCAATCACTCCAGGAACCCCGTTTATGGATATCCTAGCCACCAGCTTGCGATACTGGTGCGCATACAAATTGAGCACTGATCCTGCCTGGGCTAGACTCAAAATTATTATCTCAGATGCCACAGTACCTGGTGAGGGTGAGCACAAAATCATGTCTTTCGTGCGGTCACAGCGGATATCTCCTGATTATGACCCCAACACTCGCCATGTTATCTACGGTCTAGATGCTGATTTGATTATGCTTGGTCTCGCGACTCACGAACCTCATTTTCGAGTTCTGCGTGAGGATGTCTTCTTCCAAGAAGGCAAGACCAGAATGTGCAAGATATGCGGACAAAAAGGCCACGAGGCTCGTAATTGTCGGGGAGAAGCCAAGGAGAAGGTTGGCGAATTTGACGAACAAGAGAAGGGTACAGCACTGAAACCCTTCATTTGGCTTCATGTCTCTATCCTACGGGAGTACCTGGCTGTGGAGCTCAATGTACCAGGTCTTCCTTTCCGCTTCGATCTGGAAAGAGCAATTGATGACTGGGTCTTCATGTGTTGTTTCGTAGGTAACGACTTTTTGCCGCACTTGCCTGCACTGGAGATCCGTGAGAATGGCATCGATACCTTAACCACCATATGGAAAGACAACCTCCCGTACATGGGCGGCTACGTTACAAAGGATGGTCATGTTGACCTTGGCCGCGCGCAATTGATTCTAAACGGTTTGGCGAAACAAGAAGATGCCATTTTCAAAAGAAGAAAGGAACAAGAAGATCGAAGGGAGGCTAACGCCAAACGTCGGAAACTTCAGGAAGAACGCAATCCCAGGAATGCTCGGCCCAAGCAGGTTGACAATGCTGCTTCAGGTTTACCCCTATTCCCGGCTGCAGGCGGTCCCGATGGCATTACTCACGATATGGTGGTTGGCCGATCCTCTAACATGAGTGCCAATTTTGCCAATAAGAGCGCGGCAAGCGCCATTCGGGACCAGATTAAGGGCATGATGTCCAATGCAGAACCTCGCCAAGAAGGCGACTCGGCCAAGACCGCAACGGACGATAGTCAAAGCACCTCTTTGGATCAGAAGTCTGTTCTTGGCAAACGCAAAGCTGATGACGAGCTTGACCAACCTGCCCCCACCCTTACAACAGGGACTGGGCCTAGCATGGCGCCTGCTACTTCTTCAGCTGCCGAAGAAGCTGCAGTAGATCACGTCAGAATGTGGGAAGAGGGTTATGCTGACAGATATTACGAACAAAAGTTTCACGTCGATCGCAAAGACGTTGCATTCCGACAAAAAGTTGCTAAGGCTTATGTCGAAGGCTTGTCCTGGGTCCTTCTGTACTATTTCCAGGGTTGCCCATCATGGGAGTGGTACTACCCATACCACTATGCTCCATTCGCAGCAGATTTCGTCGATTTGGACAAGATGGAAGTCCAATTCAACAAGGGTCGCATTTCCAGACCTTTCGAGCAGCTGATGAGCGTGCTTCCGGCTGCCTCTCGTCACGCGATACCTGAGGTTTTCCATGACCTTATGTTGAACGAGGATAGCGAGGTCATCGATTTTTATCCAACAGATTTCGAAATCGATCTAAATGGGAAGAAGATGGCCTGGCAGGGAGTGGCATTATTGCCATTCATAGAGATGCCGAGGTTGCTGGCTGCCGTAGAGAAGAAATATCCCCTTCTGAATGCCGCAGATCAGGCACGAAATGCTGTAGGTAGAGATGTTTTGCTCTTGTCAGATGCTCACCATGAGCTCTACGACGAAATTACGACCAACTTCTATTCCAAAAAGCAAGGACCGCCTACATTGAAGCTTAATCCTCGAACAAGTGACGGCTTGTCTGGCAATATTGAGAAGATCCCTGAATATTTGCCCCATGGCGAATTACTTTATCCTCTGGAGCGTGGAGGTATGCCAAGCCTCGATTATGACAGGTCGCTTAGGTATGTTTGTCCTGAGATGGGATAAGAATCTCTGTTAATTTTGTTTTCAAATATTAACTTGCGATGCAGTGTCTGGTACTCTTTCCCAGAGAGCTCTCATCCTCACAAGTCGATGCTGCTGCGGGGTGTGAAGCTGCCCACTCCTGCTCTCGACCGCAATGACATTGAAACACTGAAGGGTAAGGCATCTCGGTCCGGGCGGGGCTATGGCGGCGCACCGCTGGGGCGCAATGGATATAATGACGGTGGCCGGAGAGAGCATTTTAGTTATGCCCCAAGCGGTGGAAACGGCCGGCAAGATCGCCCTCCTCCGCGCTCGGGTAATGGCACTTACGGACGATACGGAAACCAGCCGTCGGGGGCGCCGCAAGCACAATTTTGGCAGCCACCGCCACCAGGTCATCCCGGATTTGGCATGGGGCTGCCCCCTCCTCCACCAATGTATCACAGCGATGGGCGGAATTCGAATGGGTCCTATGGCGGTGGGGGTTATGGACAGCATCAGAATCACGGGCCGCCGCCCTCGGGACCCTCCAATTCAAATCATGGCCATCATGATGGCGGTCGGCGTGGAGGTCGTGGGGGTTATCAGAGTAGAGGGTACAGTGGTGGGCGGGGCGGGGGCTACGGCGGCGGGCGTAATTACAGGTAGACGATTTGCACACCGCTTGAGGTTCTCTATGAGAGATGGAGTTTGTGTGACATTTCATTTGCAAGTCAGATCGAGAGGGATGATAAAAGAGGGCAGAAAGCCTTCACAAGTGTACCATTACAATCATCAGAGGACAGCCAACAGCTGTCAACATCGGAGGTTTGGTTTCATAGCCTTAACAGAAGAACATGAAGATTTGACTGCTACCAATTGAGACCAGACTTCGGGTCCGCAGCTGGCTGCTTCGGCCGAGTGGATGCTCCGACGGCATATTTGTAAGGAAGGAAAAGCATCTCACCTCGACTATGCGACATTTGAGAAGCTGGTGTAACTGGATCTCAGTCTGAGCACAAGCTCAAAGTGCCGCCCTTTGGTGCGTTTGGAACTTAGCTAATGGGACTAGTACATCACTTTTGGCCAATCATAGCGGACCACCACAGTAGAGGAAGCCCCCCTCAGCAGATCGAAACGGGGTTAGAGGCTAATCAGACGATCCTATCCTAGGCCGGTACCTACAGTAGCTCGACGAAAGACAGCATTATGCGTACCCGCTTAAAACGACATCCACTGACACACGACATTGCTAGCTTGGGCTCTTTCTGGGCTTTCAGGTTTCCATTACCCCTCCACCGCCTGCCCTAGTTTACGTTGGGATTATGGAGCTAAGATACTAACCTGCGCACTCCTACTTACCTCAAACTCCAAGAGCCGACTTGGAGAAGGGATCTGCAGACAGATTTTACCCAAGATTGAACACGAAGAACGACACCCTTCGAACTAAATGCGAGGTACCTTACCTCTTGTGTCTCCACACCAAAGTACGGTGCCCGGCGCTTGCCTCGGTTCAGATACCTCACAGGCCTTCTTTAGCTTCAGCGGCTCAAAGTAAAGCCAGGATCCGCATCTCAGAAGTGGGTTGGGTGTCATCCGGTCTGCTCTCAATCAACAATACCAACATCATCAACCAGTTCATCTGCCCGCTTCCCATACATCGCGCCGCCAGCCTGTAATACCCCATGCCCAATTGACACCTTCTATCCCCATTTGTTGTTGTTCTACGTCGAATGCTGCGAGCCTCAACTTTCACTGCACCCCGCTGCCATCGAAGTCATATCTCGAGACGAGGCCTTGTATCGAGTTAAAGGAGGAAGAACAATACAGGGCGCGGGCGCATGCGGACATGAGCCCGACTGTCTCGATCTACCGAAATGAATGGCGATGCTGGTCTCGTCGGGTGCCTGGTTGATAGACTTGCTACCAGGGTATGTTATGGTTATAGTCATTATTATCTTCATACCATCCCGTTGGCTTCAAACTGGAAGACACTTAGCTGACAAATGGTGGTTACGCGCGCCGACAGCTCCCGCACAGGACAGGAACACACGGTCAGGAACTTCAACAAGACGATGTTGTCCTCATTACAAGAGCCACGCTCGTTAAGATTAGCACTACTGCTGCTGCTTTCGTCCTAGACGCTCTCATCGCCCTCCTCGAAGACATAGTCCGAAACTATAAGGGCTTGCCCCCGCCTACTCACCCACCGCATGTTCTGCTCTCTGAAATTTATGTCATCACTTTGGCTGCTGATTGTTGTACTGCCCATTGGGAGCACATCAAGTGCCAGAGCCTACGTCAAAATTCTTCCGAATCCGAGTCGCGTCGCAACCCTCTTAAACACGTTCCTGAGCCCTTAAAGGAAGCGCTCGTCAATCGTATCTTTGATCTATTTAAGTGGCTTATTGAGCCTATACCCGAAGGCTACGTTCTTCCTTCGTCCACCATTCTGGATGACACCCCGAGACCTGCCGACCCCATATCTGGCTCTACGGATGGTTTCACCTCGTCCTTATTTGGCGGTACCAATGGGCCCCAAGATGAGGTCTTTTCTGCTGCCCATCTTACCGTTATGGAGCCTTGCATAAGAGTAGTTGTCGAATATGTGACCGCCTCTACCTGGTCTTACTCCTTCGACTACTTCAGAAATGTTGTATATACTGTTCGTACTGCCGCCGTCGTACAGGCAGCACCTGGCCAATCTGCCACCGCACCCGAGGACGACAAGGCAGCTCTATCCGTTCTTAAAATTTTATCCTTCTTCTGGGTCGATGCACAGAAGCTGGGTCTCATCATTCAAGAAATATGTTCCAGCTTCTTACATTTTCGGAAAACTTTTCAGAACACAGTTGCTGTGGTAGCCCCGTTGCTCATCACTCGATGGCTCGAGAGGTATCCTCATGAATTCGTGCAGCAACATACGCTGCACAGACGTCTTGACGGCGGTGCTGACACGCTGTTTGACATGACGCAGACCGTTGTAGACAACGGTCGAAAGAAGGGGGTACTCTACCCTTTACAAACTACCCTGTTGTTTCTCCTTCCAGACGTTTTCGAGGTCGCTAGCAACCTTCGCGAGGCCAAGAGTGGTAGCATGGCCAAAAAGGTTGGCTTTCTAGACGGTTTAAGAAAGGCATTAAGGAACAAGAACGAACAAGCTGCATACTCTCTTGTATCATTGCTGAGGGCTGCACGTCATTTTGACGCAGAGGACGATGCCGCACTGGTTAGCTACGCCATGGATGTCCAAGATGAAGTTAGGGAGGCAGTTTTTCGTCGCGGTGGCAATGATGCTTCCCTACTTGACCAGGATCTGATGACAGCGGCTTTTGTTAGCCTAGCACAACTGAGTCCGGACAGCTGCGTTGATTCACTTCAGTCATATCTTAGCCCATCTTCACCACAAGGCTTCAAGACCGCTGTCGTGCAGGGTTGTCGTTACTTCGCGCGGCAAAACGATTCACACATATACGAGCAGTTGTTCACCGTTGCCGGTCCGTACATGCGCACGCAACTTAAGGTATGCCCGGCATACAGCCCCTTTCCTAACTCTAATGTTTTCCCATTGTCTGTTCGTGGACTTGGTATAATAACCAGATTGTAGGCTGTGGCGGATTTGCCAACAGAAACCTCCGCTGTTGTTCTCTCCATGCCACGTCGTGATTCGAACCTTCACTCCTCCACAAATATGACTTGTGATGTGCTCAAATTCTTAGATGCATCGCCGCACTCGCTCTTTGGTGACAATGGATCAGGCGAGTCTGTGGCGCCCGCCACAGAGGAAGATGTCTTCTTATCGTTCTTGTCCTGCGTTGTGTCTGTAAACCCCACGGTCCGCAGACTTGCGACGGGCGTTGCAAAGCGGCTGTTTTTCGACAAATCTATCCTTGAGGTACTTCGCACTCGTAGCAAACTAACTTCCCCAGCTCTCAAGGGAGAATTTTGGAGACGAAGGTACGAATACTTAGTTTTCTTTGCCTAACCATGTTTCATCTTTAGCTAACCCTATCGCGGCAGTTCTCTTGTGCTACTGAATATGTGTAATCAAGTTACGTCGGATGGCGACGGCCCAGAAGTCAAAGCCATCCACGAGTACCTTGAAGCGCGAAAATTCGTGATTGCGTCCCTTCGCGTAAGTGTACTCTCGTAAAGTATCTATGATGCAGTTCTCAGTCCTGCCATCTAATAATCTTTTGTCGGGCAGGAACTCTCTGAATTACCAGACGATGTACCAGAGCTAGAGGCGGCTTCTTCTAGACTCGAGACAACTCTACTTGTATCTCTATGTTCCGCCGATGTTGAGACCTGTCAAACCGTCACTTCATGCATCCGGATCTTTTTTGAGGAGAATAATCTGGTGGACATCACGTCAGATGCCGCCAAGACTTTTGCTACGTTACTACGGAACGGTGATGTATACGGCGAAATTGCATCACGAGCTTTCCGCTTTACCGGCCTAGTCGCCTTCCAAAAGAGAGTACGCGGGCTGCTCCGGCAGCTACAGTACCCTACCAGCGGGATTCTTTCAGCGTGGGAATACGGTTTCGAGAGGTGGCTTCTACTCTCAAGAGAGGTTTCTATGGCACCAATCGATGCGATTGATGAGAGAACTCTGACCGAATGGCGGAATTACTCTGGCTTCTTGGCGTCCCTTGGGGGGATCTGTACGGCGAACCAAGCAATTATACTCGAAGAACCAGCCATCAACGGCCTTAAATGGATCGATAGGCTTCCATCTGAAAACTACGAGGAGCCCTTACTAAGCAGGTATCTGAAACTGAGCATTCAACTCCTTGGGTGCGCAAGCGTCCGAATCAGGGAGGCTACAAGAGAGGTTCTATCCAGCGAGGTTTCGTCCACATTATACCAGTCCTTATTTAAGGCGCTCGAGTCTGAGCTCGAAGTTCTTTTCACTGGCGCACTGGCACCGAGTGATAAAGCACAGGATGTTGAGATCATTTTTGCCGAGCAGGCTATTTCCCTCTTAAAAGCGTTAGTTGAGCGTCTCGAGAGCCCCTCGGATCTCGGCGCAGCCTCCTCCATTCATCTTGGCGCACTTGCTCTCAACTTTGCGAAATTCCTCGACGGTGTAAACGATAGCAACAACACTCTGCGAGTCAAGATTAAAGTTTGTCAGTTGTGTGAGGCCGTAACCAAAAGGAAAGAGCACTTAAACCTGAGGGACGATGTGCGTATCAGGAATCAGCTTCTTGAATATATCTTCGGTTGGATCGCTCGACCTCGATCTCCTCGCCTAGATTCAACCTCAAGCACGAATGGCCGCCCCGATGAAACGACAAGGGTGCAGAAGGATCTTGACAGGGCATGCCTCAAGTCCCTAGCTGAGCTCACATTTCGTCTTCCACTCCAGCCAGGAGAGGGTCAAACTGATGCCGGCATGAGCGAGCTCAAGTCGCAAATGTTCCACACTTACTTCAATCGGTTTCTCTCCTTGCTCAACCATGAATCTCCCGAGAACGGCAGAAACGAGCATCTAACGGGAATGGCAAGTCGGGACGAGGGTACCCCATCTTCTGAACTTGCGATAACCATTCTTTCAAATCTGTTAAGCGCAAACATAGATGTCGGTTTAAAACACTCCCTGAACATTGGTTACCACGACAATGTTGAGATCAGGACAGCCTTCGTCAAAGTTTTATACAACATACTCATTCAAGGAACTGAGTTCAGCAACTTAACAGATGCTGCTGTGAGCGAGAAGTATGATGAGTTACTAGAGGTGAGTACAAAGTTCTGGCTCCTACAAGGACTTATTCTGTTCGCAACAATGTCTAATGCGACTCATAGCTCTTGACCAAGGATATGACACTCGTTGCCGCTATGAGCGCCGTATGTCCAAGCAGTGAGGTTGATGAATTGACCATTTCTTTGCTTAACATTTTTGAGCATCGGGGCTTGAGCTTTGATTTATTAGAAACCCTCATCAAGCAGGAAATTGAGGAGACAGGTGAGCGGTCATTAAATATATGATGCTAACCACTCGGCTGACCCCTGCACGAAGATAACGAATCTGAGCTTCTTCGGCGAACTTGCGTTGCGACAAAAATGTTATCTGTTTACGCCAAGTGGAAGGGCCAACCATATCTCAAGGCAACACTACAAAAGGTTGTGGAAAGGTTGATGCTCACATCCAAGGATCTCGACCTCGAACTGGACCCAGCGAGAGTCAGCTCAACAGACGAGTTACAGAAGAATGCCCTCCAGCTCCGTATTGTGGCCAAGGTGTTTATAGACGATATTTGTGCTTCTTCATCCAGCATGCCCACCTCGTTCCGTAAAATTTGCAACATTGTAGGTACTCTAGAGCTAAATACACCTGTACAGATCGCGCCTAACGAGAACCTCTTAGATCTCTGCTGCTGTACTTCCAAGATTTCAGGAAGCCAAGTACACAGCGGTGGGTGCATTCGTTTTTCTTCGTTTCTTCTGCCCGGCCATAGTCGCGCCGGAGGTTGAAGGTCTCGTCACAACAGCTCCCTCAAAGGAGATGCGTAGAGGTCTCCTTCTAATTGCCAAAGTCATTCAAAATCTCGCAAACAATGTCTTGTTTGGGGCTAAAGAACCCTACATGTTCCCTCTGAACGACTTCCTTACCCAAAATATATATCGGGTCACGACGTTCCTCCGTGAGATATCTGTCAGTTACCCTGTGACCCATTTCCGCGCTTCAAATCTTATTGACAGGATTGCAGGTGGCGCCAGAAAGTATTGATTGCCCGCCCAGCATTGAGTCATTCGACTTTGGCTCGTGCGTTGCCCTGCATCGTTTTCTTTACGATCACTGGGATCATATGCGGCAGAGGCTTGTAACTCAGGAACGGAAAGATTATGTACGGTCTCCAGCGGAGGTCTCACGAGGCCGGTCGCCAGTCCTCGAGCCTCTTCGCAATCTCATCACCAACCTTGGGCCGCCGCCGTTGGCTGTAACTTGGAACAGACCGCAAATATCAACGAACACCCCGCCGTCATACTCACGGTTCCAGAACTTCATGCTTCGCAATGCATTTCGAAGTGCTGAATCTTTTGTAACAGCCAGAGCTGTGTACGATGGAGGCGAGAGCAAGGTATGACGCTACAGATTCAGTTCATCTTGACGATGTTTGTCGCATCGCTAGACATAGGCTAACTGTGGCTCACAGGATTCTCTTTCGATCATTTGCATCATCTTGCGGCACATTGACGCCGAAAGCATAGATTACGATACCTTGCTGTACTGTTACCTAAAGGTGTGTCAGGTGGTCACAAATTCCTCATTCACAAAGCTGTCCTGAATCCGCACCAGCTCACATTCCCCTCTTTAATACATTGGCTGATTCTTGGTAGATTGCAAGCCGTCTATGGCACAAGCCCTTTGGTCTCCTTATCGATGCCACCTGCTACAATGGCCAAAACGAACCACAAGATGAGCTTTTCAAAAAGCTTGAACTGCTAACCCCTGTGGAGTTGTCTAAGAACCTAGTAAGAATTTATGTGTACAATATGAATAGCGCATTCAGGTATGAACACAAGACCAAGGCCAGGAATGACCGTAGCTGAGACTCCGTTTCTGTTGGCGGCATGCGTGGCAAGGGCTGACAAGCACCAGGAAATGCTTCCGGAGACTTCTCCGGCTGTCGGCTAAGAGCGAAACCAGCGTCTTCAACCCCAAGAATGTCGACTACCACTTGATTGGCAGTCTTCAGGATCTACAAGCCCATTTTCACCTCAGCCAACTTCATCTGCCCAAAGAGACGATCAGCGTAGTAACTGATACCCGCTACGTTTTTCAACCAATCACTAGACTTTCGAAGACTAAGGGCAAAATCGAAGTGGTCATCAAGGTCGGAAGTCAATTTGTGCAAGTGACAACGACCAAGAAGCAGGAGGTCTTTCCCGGCTATAGATTAAGCACTACAGTCAATGACATCTTCCGCCTTGGAGAAGTGGAGGAGGCTCCAACTTCGATTCAAACGGAGGATGATTCAGCCTTTGGCTTGCGCGCTGACAACGGCAAGATCGTCATGTATTTCACAAGCCCCAAGAAGGCCGACGTATTGCAGACGATTCGTGGGGCCAAGGCTAAATATGGTAAGGATACGAGAGCGCATAAGGCCTACGAGCGACTTATCCGACCGCAAGATGTCCCGGGAACCCTACTCAACTTAGCCCTAACAAACTTATCAAGCTCTGACCATGTATTGAGGCTGTCTTCTTACAACCTGCTCGGCGCCCTCTGCAAAGCATTCAAGTTTAGTGCTGCATCGAACTTGATGTGTACCAAAGGTAAGCCGATGTTGCTGCTGTGAACTCACAGTGCATCATTGCTGTCTCCTTAAGAACATATTAAACCTGACTAATTGAACTTCTTAGACTTGTCTGTGCCTATGGACCCTTCGCATTTCGTAATCAGGATCAGCAAACAACTCGCCATGTCCGAGCCGCAACTAACGTTTGATTTTTTGACTGAGTTCTTTGTCGGCTGGGAGACTTTCACCGAAGAGCAAAAACCTTTAAGTCTTGCATACATGGCCCCTTGGCTTCCTGGGCTGCGGACAGCCGTGCTCGTCAATGAAGCAGATGCGGAGAAAGGCAAAGAGAAGATCGCAGTGCTTTTCCGAAAGCTTATTGATATCGCCATGACGGACCATTCCTTGACCTTTATTTTGGAACAGACTGTGTGGCCAGCCATTTACCAGGACGAGCCAATACTAGATGTGTTTCTTGAAGAGGTCATGCGCGCAGCGTTGAGCTTCGGCTTTTCCGAAGAACCGATGGAAGCCCTATCATCCATTGTCTCAGGTATGGGCAGCATTACGCTACGCGGCAAGGTGATATCTCGATTACGCAAAGCTTTGAACCGATCTTCCCTTCGACCAACTCGATACCTTCCTGACAATGCTGTTTGGGCGGAGATCTGTGTTCTGCTGCATTTCTGTCTGTCATTGTCATTTGACAACGGTGTACAGTCTCAGCTTTACCTACCAGAGATCTTCCACGTTGTTACCATCTTAGCGAACACAGGATCCCCGGAGGTACGCTTATTGGTTCACAGGCTCCTAATAAATACGGTACATGCGGCCTGTACGTCTTTCAATTTGGACGACACCCGATTCAACAAGCTGAGGGGCAGCCTGGATTTCCTCAGTGAACCGAAAAGTGAAGTATTCTCTACTCCTCCTCCG